TAGGCCTTACTATAATAGTGAGACAGATTATGGTGGTCAATATTTATGATCCCGCTAGTTGTTTGAACATCTTTTTATCACATCGGTTATTTTCATTGAAAAGAATCTTTTTAACAAATTGCAATGGCGTTTAAGTAACTATTGTATTTTTATTTATACTTAAATATTTCGTTAGACAATGTATGCGTTAATTAAATAGACTACACTCTAATTCTTAATTACTATAAAACAAAAAGTTCATATCTGTCTTTATAAGCAGTTAATTTTGTAGCGTTACAAGCTTACAAGCATCCGCATTGGAGCTAAATAAATTGGAATCATCCTATTTGATCTTGAACGAATGTCCACGACACAGGAGAAAATCATAATGTGAGGTTAAAGCTATTATTAAAAAAATGCGAATGTTTTGTAATGAATTAATGTATCCTCTACCTATGTTTCTCTTATTTCTGTTTTAAGTAATTAATTTGTGCTCATTTAATTGGTTATACATTCTGCAGTAATTAATAGCAGACATACATTGCGTGCAAAAATGTTGAAATTAGTATTTAGTTGTCGTTGTCTATCGTAGGTTTGCGGTTCATTTAAATTTTTTTTGAGAAATCACTACTAGTTTTGTTTTTAGTTTTGATTGTTATAGCATTGCAACAACATTGTATTACGAATTACTCTTTATTGCTTATTTTATAATTCAATTTATTAACAACGACGTTCTGAATTTATATTTTCAATGAAAACATGCTAACTTAGTTCCGCCACTGACTCATACCTTATGTTAAAGACTTAAGAGCTTACATCATCGAAATTTTCTGGCAGCGGCACAAAAAAAGGTTCGACAAAGTCGTTTTTACCCAAAGTAAGCCGAAGTGTTAGATCGGACACCGCAACGGCGCATCCAGCTGCGCGCGCATCTCGCAAAGCCAGCAATACGAGTATCGAATAAGCCAGTCATTTTCATAACCTCAAAACAATCTACCTCTAAAACAGCTGTTTTTCGACGCGTATAGTCAGGAACGCGTAATAAACGATTAAATAATAAACGACAAAACCAACACATGGAACGTCTAGACGCGGTGGAAGCTGTTACGAAATAATTTTAAATTTAGCGTCGCCGGTATTTTTTTATTTCGATTTACGGTTTTCTCGCGTTCATTCAGTTTTCAGCTAGTACGGACGGCGTAAAGTCCGTTCCTTTTTGGCAATTGACGTATTTTAATTGATACAGTAGAATTTTTTTAAATAATTTTTCGAATGTTATCTTAGGTTACATTTTACACAATATAATTTAACGTTTGTTAACTATGATTAACTCTATTAATATAAACGATGTTATTATTATGTGGACGCTATTAATATTTTAGTGTTGTGTTGTGTTGTGAACTTAGTGTGTACAATGGAAGACTACGATTATGACTTCGCATATGAGTGCCGGGTGGGTATATATTATTACTTTTATTGTTTGAATAATTTTTAACTAGATGGTTCTTTTACAAGCATTGACGGCAAATTCCTAGTAAATATGTTTAATGTTATCATTCAATATATTATATTTACATGGTTATAATAAAATCAAAACGCTTATAATTAAAATTTGAGTATGTAGTACATCCGGAAACTCGTTTGTATCCTTATTGTATGCCTAAAGCTAAATATTCCAACTGTCCATAGAAGTTCCCGTCTTCACGAGGGACACGCTTCTTATCGACGGTAGCCAATTAGTAACCGACTTTTGGCTTAAAATCCATCCAAAAATGCTTGCCCAAAATTTACTGACTAGAAATGGGCCGTAGCACCAATGCAAAGGTATTGACAAGTTCAAAACCCTCTTACTAAGCTTTGTGGGATGACTCCTCCAATGTCAAAATATTGTATTGGATTAATAGATGGTAGTTGGCGCATCCTTGGATTAGTTCATGGTAGTCATGATATTTAATAATAATATATATTCTTTGGTAATAATACATTTTTTATATAAAAGACGTAATCTCTATTAATATGGACATGCTTTTTAAATTTACTTTTTAAATTTTTTAAATTTAAAAAGCATGTCCTTTCCTTCTTTTTACCAAAAGAATTCATTCATTTTTATAAATATGTACATCAAAAAATCAAAAAACCAACGCTTGTTTTAGAATTTATGTCCATGTACTACGCAGTAACTTATATGGCTCTAAGCTACATTAAAAAAATCGTTTGATTTATTTATACAAGTTAAGAGTTACAAACGAGAAATTACAAACGAGATACAGTCAACATGACGTAACCACGCAAATAACGGTTGAAAAAAAAAACTAAAGGGTTTCAAAAGGAGACACCGACTCTAAAATTATAGACTTCGAGCTTCGTAGGTTAAGCTCATGATTGAATTCCGTAATGTTCAGTGTAACGACTTAATATAATATTGATTAAGTCTTCAAAACAAAAGGCGTAGCTTCAAGATGCCTAGTAACTGTAACTGGTCAAGGCTTAAGTAAACTATTCACGTAAACCATTACCAAGAGATCAAACGAAGAAGTAAAAGCTTAATGGTTGAGTGCGAACCTCGAACTTGAAAATCGTGAGTTCGAATCCGTTATTCACCTGCCGTCATTAACCACTCCTTACACAAACATTTTAAGCTCACGTAGAGTGGTTACTGGTGATGTTCATGGCGTTACTAGTATTCTTCAAACAACATCACAGATAGTAAAGACATAAGCTCATTTCCATCAATAAAATATAAACCGGACCGCTGAGGATTATGTAGCTAAAGATATTTTATCCTTATTAATACATAATTTATTGTCTACTATTATTGCTGTAGCAGTTAACTCTTAAACTTGAAATGTTTCCAGTATTTTCGAAATCATTTATGTAATTGTTAAACGTGTTTTATAAATCTGAATTACTACAGCAAACAAAACCTGTCTCCGACTGGCTCGCTTTAAACCTATTCGTTTAAAATTTTAACCTCTACCATCGAGTGTGCTATAAAGCAAGGTTCCGATTTACCTGAATAAATTTTTATTCAAGTATATGTGCGCCTTTCTACTTTCTCTTTTTATTAATTTTCACATCTAAATCCTGAATCGCTTTACTTGTTTTCGTTGCTTATTTGTTTACATGTTAATGTTACCAGTCTAATGGAAAATTGACTTTATCGATTTACGCTTTTAGTTTTTCGATGATGTATATTTGAAATATATGTAAAGTCTGCCATTACCCATACACTAGTGCATCACGACGGAGTTTCTATCTAGCTTGCTAGGTCTCATTTTTGGTAAAATTCTTTTTCTGCGAATCAAATCAAGCAATAAACTTGACTAGCCAGCGTACTTTGATTGATCGTTTTTCAGTTACAATAGTCGTAGCCTAAAGAGTAAAGGTACGTAAGTGCTTTTTAATTCTTTTCTTTAATGAGACTGTGATAGATTCTAGTCTCATTAAAGAAAAGAATTAAATATTTATATTTAATATTTATTATGTGATAGAATTATCACATACAGTCTCATCGCTAAGCGAAAGTAAATTATTATATACTAATAAAATATTTTATTTACTGAGTAATGTAAAATTTTTATGGCACTATGCGTACTACAGCTTTGGTCGAATAAAGTTTGATTACCGTATTCTTACAAAAAATCATTGCCTTATCCATTTATATTCCATTTGTACAATAAAACCTATGTATTTTGAATAATTAATTTAAAATACATTGTTTTCATATGTAACTAGTTTTTCGGAAACAGCTCTATCGATTCGGATGAAATGTTGTACTTAGATAATGTTTTACTTCTTTCGTTACAAGTATATTTCTAAATAGGTGTAATCCCTTAGGATTCTTTTTCTAACGTCGAGCAAAGCGTGGTCATTTAAGTGCTTTATGTAAAACGCCTTCATATATTATACATATAGGATACAGGATAAATACCTAGTGTTTTCAAATGTAATTATTGAATAAAAAACAGCAGTAATTCACAAAGAGAAGAAAAATATTAATTAGTATTTAATTACAGTATTGTGTCACGTAGGCATTGGTTGCAAAATATTCTATATGAATTTTCGGTGCGTTCCTTTATATGAGAACTTTTACCACACCGCGATTAAGACAAAAACATCCCACAATAAGAAAGACTTTTACCTGACGAGGTGATAAAGATAAAAATGTTAACTTATGATTAATGACATAACAACCACACGTACGCTCGCATCTAGGACTAAAAAGTAGCTTTTCTCGAAATTAGTTTAGTATACAAACTACTATATACTATAACTATTGCGGAGGTATGTTACCCCCTGTCGCCATCACTGTTTAAGTAGGAATATCTACCATTATGATATAGATGCGTTCGTATGCTGTAAAATGCGTTGCGAATACTATTGCATAAATTGGGTATGTGTATGTATATAACGGTAGCCACATAAATGAAATTAATATAAGTTAAGGTTTAAACTTTATCTGTTGCTTATTTTAAGTGTTGCACGTGCATAAGTCGACAGAAAAGCCAGAAGTATAATTACAGGCTGTAAGGTATTCGAACGTAGTCCTCAGAGGTAACAACATATCTGTAGCTTTTTGTTTTTTCTTTGTATGAAGTTAGTTGCGGGTGTCCATAGACTACAGTAGCCACTTACCATCAGGTCGACTGCAAGTTCAGTCGTCACTTCATTTCTTTTTAACAAGCAAAAAGAAGTGTCTTGCTATATAGGTTTTTTTATAGGATAGGGTGACAAACGAGCGCACAGTCCACCTAATGGTAAATCGATTACGAAACAAAATGTAGATGCTTTGTCACCCGTGAGGACTAAGATGGAATGCCTCGTTTCCAGTAAAATGTGTCTCTGGTTCTCTAAAAAAGGGTCTTCGGTTCATTTTATTTTAAAACAAGTCAAAGCGTTGATTGATTTGTCCAAAAATAAAAACTTTCTATTATATCTTTTCGTTTAAGATACGTAACAAAATATAAAACATAAGAATTGTCAAATGAGAAATGTAACGTTTCCAATGAAATTATTTACAGCGGCTGGTGGAGGCGATGGCACCTCGATCGGCAAGAACTTTCCGCCAAGAATTCAATATGCAGGACGTTGCGACTACTGAGCATACATACACTACCTACACTTCAGAGAAGTAAGTTATAATGAAACCGAATTTAAAACTTTACAACAGCTTATGTATTTTATTTAAAAAAAACTTCAATAATTAGTTACATTTTTATTTTACGTTTCATAATTAAAGTGTTTACTTAAAACAGATATATGAGGACTTCACATTCAACGGAACTAGACGGTCAAGTACCAAAATCAATGGCCAATGGAAAAATTAGCTCGCCTTCTTACGCTACTAAAACAATTATCACAGAAGAAGACAGACCTGATGTGAGAAAGCTCAAACGAGTACATAAAATGTACGAAGGACCAAATATAATAGAGTCACGAGGTATAATTCACCCGGAAACAAGAGAAATTTTAACAGTTGGTCAAGCAATAAGTATGAGAATACTTGACGTTCGAACGGGAAGACTTCTATCCTCTCCCGAGACGAAGCAAACTATGACAATAGAACAGGCAGCAAAAGAAGGTCTAATCGATCCAAAACTTGCTGCAAGGTTAACAGGACCATGTGGAATGACGGAAGATGGTAACGAAGTAACGCTTTTAGAAGCAATTCAAAGAGAGCTTTATGATGCTGAACAAGGATTGTCAGATCCAGCAGAAAAAAGAATAAAGGTAACTGTCGAAGGCGAGAAATTCAGCACACAAGGAATGAGTATTTCAGACGCATTAAATCGTGGTCAGGTCGACCTACAAAGAGGTCTCTATAGGCTTCCGAACGGCAGCCATATCACTATTGCTGAAGCTTATCAACGAGGTTATCTAATTTACAAAGAAATAATCAAAATAAAATCAAGCGCTTTGTCACTTTCCGATGCTATTAGTCAGGATCTAGTAGACAATAATGGTTGGATATTGGACAGAAATTCGGGCGACAGATTCCAATTAGATGTTGCAATTAAAAATGAACTAATCAATACCGACTTAAGAGAAGTCGTTGATCCTAAAAACGACACCAAAATAACACTTGCTGAAGCAATAGATAGAAATATTATAAATACAAAGCTCTCTAAGTATACACATAATATTACTAAAGAAAAACTAAGCTTCAAAGATGCAGCGAGTAAACGTTATATTAGTAAACCCATGACCCTAAAAGATATTTGTGATAATAATTTAATGACGAATGATGGCAAGATCCTTTCACCAACTAAGAAAATACCCCTCAATATTTTAGAAGCCATTTCAACAGGTGTTCTTGACAGCGATAATGTAAAGTGTATTACTGATACTACTACTGGTCAGCTATTAACTTTGTCTGAAGCTTTAGGAGCTCGTATTATATTACCTGATAACAAATTCCGTGACAATTTAACGGGTGAACTTTGCACAATACCTGAAGCAGTCGATCGCGGCTTAATCACATCCGTTTCTCAAAGATCCATCTTCGACATTGATGGATTTAAAGATCCCAAAACCGGTGAATTTGTTTCTTTTAATAATGCATTAAGTAAAGGTTATCTGAAGTATGTTAATGGCGAAACTTTCCTCAAATCCGAAAGTGGAGATTTCGTTTATCTTGAAGATTGCACTAAAGTTTCCTTAGTACGTCCTGAAGTTTTAGAGATGTTTAACCGTAAGATAGGTATTTTCGAAAACAACAAAGAACTATCTGTCTTAGACGCGGTGTTTAAAAATATATTAGATCCTAAAACTGGTCATTTGCTTGACTTAACGACTAAAAAGCCTATTCCATTTAATAAAGCTGTAGAAATAAACATGATAACGCCTGAAGGTGCCGCTTTATTAAATTCTCTTTTGAACATTACTCTAACTTTACAGACTGTTACAAAGACTGTCAAACGATACGTTACAGTTACAAATACAAATACATCTCATAGATCAGAAACTATCATTACATTTGCTGAGGCCATTCAACGTGGTCTTATTGATGAAACTACTCAAACGTTTACAGACCCTACAACCGGAACAGTGTTTCCGATTCAACAAGCGCTTGACGAAGGTTTGTTAGGCGTAGAAAAAAATGAGCCTCGAGTAGCTCGCCTTTCCGATAAAGTAAGCAAAAAAGAATTAGTGCCTGGTCAAGTTGTTGAGCTAAAAATTACAAAGAAATCTTTTATCAAAGATCTACCTCCAAGTCCTGAAAGTAAGTTGCAAAAAGATACCAAGCCTGAAACTATTAAAAGCCCAGATTTCACTTTTAGGGAAGCTCATCAACCGCGGCAGGACATTACACACGAAATCAAAACCGTATCATCGAAATCCACGTCTTTAGAACCCACTGTAACTTCGCTAACAATCAAAAAGAACACTATTGAACTACCTCGCGGGGGGTGGTCTCTCAAAGACGCGATTCAACAAAATCTTTTTGATCCTTCATCCGGTATGTTTATAATTCCTGGTACAGATAGAGTTTTAGACTTAGGAGAAGCTCTAAAACTTAGCATTATTAATCCGGAATCGGCTAATGTAGTAGACCCTAAAACTAAAAAAGAAGTTCCTTTGTACAGAGCAGTTTTATTACATATTCTAGATTCCGTAGGCCGGTATAAACATGTAACAGAAACTTTAACAATGAAAGAAGCAATTGAGCGTAAATTTGTTAAATTTGTGCAATTAACGCCATCTACATCTATTCACAAAGTTATAACAATTACGTCGATGGCAGGTATGCCTGATAAAATGGAAATATCAGAGGTAGAATCGCAGAGCCTAGTTAATGAAGAATTAACAGCATTAGAACCAGTACAGGTAATGCCAGGTGTTATTTTTGATCCAGCGACAGCATTAGTTATTTCAACTACGTCAGGTATTTCTGAAAACATTGTAGAGGCAGTAGATCGAGGTGTTGTTCCTATGAATACTGTAAAGGTTTTAGAGCCTCATACGGGAAAAAGAATATCTTTAGAGCAAGCTTTCGAAAAAGGATTAATTGACAAAAACTCGGGAGAATACAATGATATTCACGGTAACAAGATAAGCTTGGCTGATGCAGCTAAAGTTGGTCTCGTTGCTGTAATTGGGGCTCCATTAGTTGCAGCCTCTAAAATTATTCAAGTTGTAAAGAACACGATGGTAGTTGATCCACAAACAGGTGAAAATGTTCCTATGGAAGTTGCATATGAAAGAGGACTTGTAGACTTAACTACATACAAAAAATATGAGGACTCATTAAAAGAGAAATCACCAGATATCTCATTTATATCGAGTCAAACAGGAAAACAAAATACAACGATATCATTATCGCGCTTTAGTGAAAATGATAAAAATGTTTCTGGTAAGGAAGTATTCGAAAGAGGTATAGTAGATAAGAACGTGCAACAAAAAACTGAAACATCCTCTGTAATAACATCAACAAAAGTATCTGAAATGATTACAAATGAGGCATACGAAAAGGGATTGGTTGATCCTCTGGTTTACATGAAACATCTAGAATCAGTCAAGGATTTGTCACGGGACGAAACATATACAGTAAAAGAAATAAATAAATCTTTAGATCTAAACAAAATTAATAAACCAATGTCTGTAGGCGCAGCTGTATCAGAAGGTTTTATAACTGTAGAATCAATACAAAACAGTATATTGGCTAATACTGGCAGTAAAGAGTTTTTGACGGATAAACATACCCGTCCATCACATGTTATTCAAATTAACAAGAAACATGGCGGTGAGAAGCCTAAATACCATGCCGCTAAAAAAATTATGAGTGAATATGCCGAATCTAAACCAATTATACTATCGAAACTAAGAAAGCGAGTTATTAGTCCTCTGGAAGCTTTGGAAAAGGGCTTATTGGATGAGGATACAGCTAAAATGTTGGACTCAATCAAAATATATAAAAACAAAAATGACCAACCTATAACACTTAAAAATGCTATAGAAATAGGACTTATCGATGAAAATAAAGGAAAAATTGTGGATCCAATTCATGGTGATTCGCTCACAATTAAGGAAGCCATTAAAAGAGGTATCTTAGATGAAGAATGCCAAGATGAAATATTAATTCCAATTGCTAGAAGCTTATCGATCCCAGAAATAATGCAACAGGGATTATGGGATCCGGCTTCTGAAAAAATTATACATCCTGAGTCTGGTAGTCTTCTCACACTTAGAGAAGCGATCATTTGTGATATTGTTGATCCACTATCTACAGTTACAATAGCTCCTGGTAATGATATAACCCTTGCACAAGCTATGGAAAAGAACTTTATCGATAATGAAAAAAATGTTGTGAAAACGAGTGAAGGTGTTTTAGATTTATTATCAGCAGTAAATGCAAGAATTTTCCCTGAAGTTCAAGTTAAACCTTTGGAACAGATTCCCTTAGCTGCAATGACCCTTTCGGTGGCAATAAAACATAGTTTATTAAATCCAGTAAAGAGTGAAGTAAAACATCCTCTGACTGGTGAAATAATTCCTCTAGAAGACGCCGTTGAAAAGGATTTATTGATGGGAATTCCGTATCCACAAACACCTAACACACTTACTCTTAAAGAAGCAGTCGATAAAGGTGTAGTGGATCTGTTGAATTACACATTCACCGATCCAAACACAAAAGAGTTATTACCTGTTGATAAAGCAATGGAGCAAGGATTACTGGCCATAAAAATTGATCCTGAAATATCAGATAAAAGTAGTATTGTGACTACCATTACTGAAACATTTACATCGCAACATACAGTGACGACTAAAATGGTTGAACTTCTGACGGACTACGTATTAATAAGTGCTAACGAAGTACAGAATACGAAAACGGGAGAAATAATTTCGATAGAAGAAGCACGGTTAAAAGGCATTATTAGAGATGAACAAATGAATAAAGAACAGTTTTTAACAAGTGACTCCAATATAAGTTTTAATGATGCTTTAATGTGTGGTTATATTAATTTAGCAAAAGGTACATTCACTAATCCTATGACTGGGGAAACCGTTAGTGTAACGGAAGCTGTAAACAGTGGATTATTAAACACTGAAATTCAATCCAATACTACAACTGAAATAAAAACGCAGGATTTAAATATGCTTGATCTTAATGAAGCATTTGAATTACTCTTTGATGAGAAAACTCAAAAATTCAAAGATCCTAATTCACCAAACAAGGTAATTACCTTTAAGGAAGCCCTTGACAGAAAATTGATCAATCCTGAGTCTGTTATATATAAATTAGGTTCAGATAAACCCTTAACTTTACAAAAAGCTGTCGAATCAGGCGTCTTAGATACAAAGAGTGGAAAATTAAAAGAACCTAACTCTGGCAAATCATTTGATGTTAGAAAAGCAGCGAAGATGGGACTGTTAGCAGTCGTTGCAGCACCCGTATTAGCTGGCATGGCTGTAGTCCAAGGAGCACAAGCTGTCACTAAAAAAGTTATAATACCTAAACCAAAAGATTCTGTTGCTAAGAAAATTACTAATGTCGTTTCTAAAAAGGAGAAGACAGATGCTATGCATATTACAGCCCAGAAAACAAAATTGGAAACTGCAGAAAATGATGATAAAGACATAAACATCAAGAAAATTAATATAAATAAAATATTTTTAAAGGGATCTCAAGATGAAACTCCTACTTTACAGAAATCAGAAAATAAAAATCAAAATAAAGACATATCTCCAAAGGATGAACAACCAAAAACAAAATCAGAGAGTTATAAAAAAGGATCTGATGAATTGTTAAAAAATAATCATTCTGTACTAATTTTGAAAAATGAAGAAAATTCGTCTCCACAACCATTAACATCTCAAGACTCATTGCAAGAAAAAATGTCTAAGTCGTCATTAACGAAACAACAAGATCAAAAAGATTTTGAAACGACATCTTGTAATATAGAAGAATCAGCTGTGTTAAAAATCGTTTCAGACAGTAAGGATCAAAACTATCAAGGTGATGATAAGTTTTCTTCTAACTATGATTCAAACATTAAGATTGAACATGGAGATGAAGTAAAAGTATCAAAACCAGAAAAAAGTATACTTCGTACTGACAAACATTTAAAAGATGTAAATTCCAAACATTTGAATAAAGATGTCTCCAATATTTCACAATTCACAGAAAAGGATAAGTCAGAGCGAGTTTATGACCATCAAGTGAAAAAAGATCATCCTTCCACTGTTCAAGATTTTGGGAGTTATGTGCCTGGTAGTGAGGAAATTACCGAAGCTAAAAAGATGATTTCTAAGAACACACCTCCAGAATATATTCGCGAGTATAGTGATCCCGTAATATCAAAAGCTACCAAAGATACAATAATTATGAATAAATCAAATCAAAATCAGACTAGGCCTGATATCGTTACTGATGAGAAAAGCTTACCATCCAACATTCATACACATTATGTTGAAAGTCATCAAGTACAAGTGGAGTCACCCGATCAAGTTGATAAAGATTTATGTCAACTGCAAGATGCTGACAAATCAATAAGAAAAGAAGCTCCCCAAGATTCGTCTTATATTTCTAGCAAAGAAAAACATTTAGATAGTGCTAGGCCTGTTGTTGATACAGAACAATTTAAAACAAATAAATCTGCAAGTCAAATAGAAAAACAAATTACAAAAGTAGCAGACATTAACAAATCAGAAAACCCTCTTGAAATAGCAACAGGGCTAATTTATGATCCTAAAACAAAAACGGTAATGTCTACTTCTTCCGGTTTGGAAGAAGATATCTTAACTGCTGTTAATAATGGCACTATTTCCGTTGAATCTGTAAAAATTTTAGAACCTATAAGTGGAAAAGAAATGACTTTAAAGCAAGCCATTGACAATGGCATTGTTAACAGGGAAACGGGCAGTCTTAAAGATAAGACAGGGAAGTCTATAACTATTGCCCACGCTGCTCAGATAGGATTAGTGGCTGTAGTAGGTGTACCAATTTTAGCGGCCTCTAAATTGATTGACGTTGTCAAAAGTGCTGTTGTAGATACCAATTCTGATAATCAGACTCAGTTGGAAAAAACACCAACTAAAGGTTTAATTTACTCTGACATCCCAGTTGAATTTGCTAAACCAAAAATAACTGAGAAAGCGAAATCTATTCCTGTATCGGAAATATTGGATTTCGATAAAAACTTAGAAAGTCATATTTCTACTTCCGTCACGCACCCTTCGCAAGTAGCACTTACAAAAACCTCTGTACAAATCCCAACTCAGTTAACTTCATCAATTGAAAGTACATTACTTCAAAAAGAAATCGGTGAACGCCCACATGCAGATGTTAAAACTATATCATCTATGTTTATTGATGCTGAAAAACAGCCCCTAAGAGATGTAGACGAAATTACTGAACATAATGTAACAAAAATAAAAGCGGAACAAGTTAAACCACTTTATGAAAACGTACCTTTAATTGATGCCATTGTAGAAGGTAAAATAGAACCGAAAGTATGTAGGATTATAATAAATAATATTGAGTCTCCGCTCACAGTTCAAGACTCTTTAGAACAAGAACAAATTAGTAGATTCACACCTGTAGACGTAGTTTCTAAAAACTGTGTAGTTGTAAAACAATTTAAACCAAAGTATAGCATTTCAATTTCTCAAAAGTTAACCCCTGAGGAACTATCCGAAATGGGAGTTTACGATATAGAAAAACAAATATTCTTAAACCCTGAAACTGGCACGAAAATTACCTTTGAAGAACTTGTTTATGGCTTACATATTTTTGATCCAACAACCATTTTAGTTAAAGATCTAAATTCAAAGTCCGATAATTATATAACTTTTGATGAAGCTATTGCTAGACCTATAATTGATAAAACAACTGGCCATATGGTTAATCCTAAAACAGGTAAGCGTGTTTCATTTTGGGAATGCGTCCAAATAGGTTGGATAGTTGAAAAACCAGAAGATGTTTCAATTTCTGAACAAACAACTATAGAAACGGCTTTTGAAAAAGGACTATATAATCCTAAAACTGGTGAGATCCAAGATGTTAATACAGGAAAATTAATACCAATTGGTGAGGCAGTTGAAAAACACCTAGTAGATCAAGAATCGTTACTGATAAAATTACCACGTTCTAATAAAACTATTTCATTATCAGACGCTTTAGATCGAGGTATTATAGAGATACATAAAGGAGTCATTACGATTATTGAAACACGTGAAACTATGGAAATATCTGTCGCAATACAACGTGGACTCATAACCATTATTCGACGGCCAATTTCTATCGAAGCAGCTATTATTAATGACATGTATGAACCCACGTCAGGTAAAATCAAAGATAATGTTACTGAACAATTGATATCTGTCGAAGATGCAGTTGACAGAAATATTGTACATCCTACTATATCTGAAGTTAAAGATACTGCATTAGAAAAATTCGTACCCCTTTCTGAAGCTCTTGAAATGAAACTTGTTGATCCTAATACTGGAAAATATAAGGATAAAAAGACTGGTAAAGACATTCCTTTAGATGATGCTTTGAAAAAGGGCCTAATCGCGACAAAGGATGTTACATTTTCGTTATTCGATGTTATTGATATGGGCTATTACTCCCCAGACACTGGTCTTGTGCTAGACCCGAAATCTGGTCATAAAATAACACTTAAAGAAGCTATAGAGACGAAACTAATTGATCCTTCTGATTTGAAAATTAAAGATGATAATTCGGAAGCGGTTATACCTTTCAAACAGGCTGTAACATCGGGTCTTTTAGACTTAAAACGTGGCGTTATAACCAGCCCACTTTCTAATCTTAAAGATGCTTCTGAAAAAGGTTATTTATTAAGCGATAAAAAACCAATGTCTTTACAAGAGGGATTGGTTCAGGGCTTTTATGATCCAGATACCGGCTTTTTAACTATTAACAATGACACCATGACCCTAGAAGACGCAATTAAAATCGGTAACATCAATCCAGAAGCCTTAACTGTTAAGGATTCTAGTACGGGAGAAATTATTTCACTGTCAGATGCCATTAAAGAAGGAATCATTGATTCTAAGGAAGGTAAAGTTACAGACCCAGTACAGGGAGATAAAATATCATTAATTGATGCTTCTGATCGAGGTTTAATAATTCCAGCTAAACGTAAATTGAGTTTACCAGAGGCCGTATTTAAAGGATTTTACGATCCGAAAACTGGTAAATTTTCTCATCCTCAATTTAAAGACAAAATAGCAACAGATAGGGCAATTAAAAAACGTATGTTAGATCCTCAATCAACCCTTGTACACATTGGAGGTAAAGTGATACCATTTGAATTTGCCGTCGATAAAGGTATTGTGGATGGCAGAACTGGTACAATTGTGCTAGGTGATGAAAAAATTGATTTCCGTGAAGCTTTTGAAAGAGGCATTTTAGTAGAGGTGCGAAAACCTTTATCATTAATAGAAGCGCTTGAAAAAGGCGTTTACAGTGAAATAACAGGGCTTTTTATGGATCCGCAAAGTGGTAAAAAATACACCCTGGCAGAAGCCATCAAAATGAACCTAATAGACCCACATTCTGTGCATATTCGGTATAACAAATTAGGCAAATGGGACAATATTACTCTAGCTGAATCGATAGAAAATGGAGTCATCGATAATAAGACAGGCAAAATAAGAAATATCAATAATGATAACGAAGAGATCAGTCTTCGTAAAGCATTCGAGATTGGCTTACTTGTAGACAGTAAAGCTCCTATTAGCCTCCAAAGAGCGTTACACCAGGGCTTGTATGATGAGAGTACTGGTAAAATCATTGACCCAGCAACAACTCGTAAAATCACTCTTCATGAAGCGATAAGACGCTCGATTATAAGTCCAAAATATCTATGCTATTTCGATAAAAAATCTGAAAAACCTTTAACATTAACCGATTGCTGTCGCAGCGAAATCGTAGATAGAAGAAGTGGGAAATTTATTGAACCAGGTTCCGACGTTCAAATACCTTTATCTGAAGCTATGAGTATAGGCCTTATCGTTGACATTGAAAGTGCAGGATTTAGTCTATACGAAACTTTATCTATGAATATGTATAATATTACGGAGTTAATATTTATCCACCCAGTTACTGAACGAAAACTTTCACTTAAATCAGCTATCACTGAAGAACTCATCAATCCCAATACATCCCTTGTTAAAAATATTCCGTCAAGTAAATACATTAAATTATCTGAAGCGATACAAACTGGTATTATAGATGAAAATAACAGCGTTTATATCTTGCCAAATGGCAATCAAATCAATTTATTAGACGCAAAACACCGGGGACTCATTGTAAATCCTAAGAAGAATCTCAGCCTCGAAGAAGTAATTAGAAACGGCTTATTTAGGGCAGACAATGGCAAAATAGTCGATCCAAGTACAAATGAATTTGTTGACATCAACAAAGCCATAGAAATTAACCTTATTAATCCTGAATTAACTATTGTTAAAGACAACTTAACAAACAAGTTTAAACCTCTGCTTACTGCAATACAACATGGTGATGTGGACATCACTAAAGGCAGAGTTCTCGATACAAAAGCAAAGAAAACATATAGCATTGATATTGCTTTTGATAAAGGTCTGCTAGTTACTGTTGTTCAACCATTAACTTCACAAACGGTTACAAAACGTTACTTAACTGATTCGTCTGCTGTAAATGAGCCGATATTAAGGGAGTTTACGTTAGATGAAGCAATTAAGTATGAATTTATAGATCCGGAAACTGCTTTAATTAAAGATCCACATAAAAACAAATACATTACATTATCGTTAGGTTTATCTGAAGGTATTGTTGATAAAAATATTAAGGGATCCTTTGACACACAAACTGGTAGATCACGTACGTTATGTTTCATTTTTGAAAATAGCGTTATAGTTTACGTTCGCGAGCCACTTACGTTTGAGCAAGCGTTAGAAAATGGTCATCTCAATGTTAATACTGCTCGATTTACTGATCCACATTCCAAACAAGTTTTAACTGTAAAAGACGCGGCCACCTTAGGCTATATTGATTCAGACACAGCGCTTATAAAAGATAATCTGAAAAAGAGGCTAGTGAAGCTGCCAGAAGCGTTCCGAAAAGGGCTTATGGATGCTGAAAAAGGAAACATTTTAGACACTGAGACCTCTAAACTTAATACTTTGTCGGCGGCCATTGATAGTGGCCTCCTTATGACTCCCAAGAAGAGCTTTAGTTTGATTGAAACTTTAAATTTCGGCATTTATAACCCAACAACAGGGGCACTAAATGATCCATTCATAACTACAAGCGTGATGGATAGAAAGAGACTAACCCTTGGCGAGGCGATCCAACAAGGAATTGTGGATCCATCTAGTACTGTCGTCAAAGAACCCGAAACAGGAAAGATTTGGCCATTGATTCAAGCTATAGAACAAAAATTGATCAACCCTGTTGAAGGCAGGCTAATTATTGATCCGGTAAAAGGCTCTAGCCTCGATTTAGTCAAGGCGCTAAAGAAGGGATTCTTGCTGCCAGCAGAAACAAGGGTAAGCGTTATTATTTTAAATTAACTTTGTGCTTTTATCAAGCAATGGTGTTGCTTTGAATTTCCTTTTCTTCCACTTTAGATGGTTATCTATCTTATCTTAAGCGTTTGGCTTAAACATTGGCATGGCACGACACTCACAAGACCTACAGTGTCGTAAGACTGGGGCAACTTTAGTGTGGTTTAAATTAGATTTACGATGAATCATTAACATTAATTTCGCTATTACTTTTATTAGTTATTAAAGTTACTATACTCTGCATTATGGAGTAGTTACAAGCACTTCGAACGTATTGTATGCGACGTTAAACGTACTATGTGACGTTTAATGACAAGTTATGACAAAAATATTTGTTATTTCTATATAAAAGTAGCTTTTAGAGCAATGGGCTAAATAGTATTTTCATTATTTTTTATTAGTTTAGTCAAATTACATTGTCTTGTGTTGTCTCTAGTTGCTTAAGTTAAGGTTAAAATCCTCCTACAATTATCACTTTTCGTTTATGCCGAAACTAACCTAATTTATACGGTAGAAACCCTATGAACAAGGTTAACTTTGGCATTTTATACTAGGAATTTTCAACCTAATTAAATCTATGTTATTTTTACCTAGAATACATATTATACAAGACGAAAGTAAAATACCAAAATTTGATTTCATTTATATGTAATTTTAAAGAAAAATTGATAATTGTTATTAAAAAAAAACCGCCTATACACATAGTAATAAGGCTCGATGTATGTTGTTTTTTATTTCCAGCCGTTGCCTGCGATGCTAAAGAGCCCTTTTGAGCTAAATCGTGAATGCTTGCCTTTGAGGGATCATATTAACGACGATACGAACCATCACCGTTTCGCCATATATCTAACCCATGTTCACGTTGTGCTAAGAATTCCAATGATCAAAAGGGCATTGCCCTTCGATCTATGTTACGCGCTTAATTATGTTCGCTTCTTCATTTGAAAAGAAAAACCAGCTAAATATGACTGGCTGGCCAGTGATTTTTATATTCATTACGCATTTTGTTTTTCAAAATTTCTTAAATTAAGTTCCGATATACTCATTCCTTGGACCCGTGCTCACATATGTTTGGAATGCATGATCAACCCTAAGCTATCATGATATTAATTTAAAGGCAATAATCGCGGTGCAAACATTCACAAAAATCACGAACTGGTAAAACATTTTCAACGAACACAAACACCAAAGGTAGTATTTCCGATTCATATACGTCTTATTATAAATACTCGCCTCAATGAGATTTTATTTTACTAAAATTATCAACACTTTTTTTTACAAGTTTATGTTCTTTCAATTTTCAACTATGAAATAAAGTCTCATTTTAACTGTAAATTCAATGTAAATCCGTTTCCAACTCTATATTCTTAAAAATTAAGTGTACATTCTTTACTTGAAAACCTTAAACTTACTTTATTTAATTCTTCAACAGTACCTACCCCGAAATATGTTTCAAAGTTTCAGATATCTCAAAAGGTATTTTTTTTTATTTTTCTATACTTTTGTTAACAATTAACTCTACGTAAATATTAATCAGATGTTCATACCATTACAAAATTTAAAGCTTTTTCTATTTTTATGCTTGACACTGAATTGAACAAGCTTTAAAAGAAACTATTCAATTCGTGTCATTCGCCGCCGTCACAGCTTGCATGAGCCGCTTATTTTGCACGTGTATGTTATCTACCTATCTATTGTACGCAACAATTCGACCTGTTGTGCGTCGTCATCTCCACGCTAGTGTGAATTGGCTGTATGTTGTAGTTTTTTTTCCTTTGTTTGGGATGAATTTCTTCGCTTCTTTGTACATACTTATTATATGTTAAGCTTTACAGGTTCTATGTTTTTTAGTCCTAAGAATTTTGAAACATCATTATCTGTATAAAAAGAATATTTCTATGCCAAGTTTGTAAACTTTGACACTGCACTGTATAAATGCACATAGATGTTGTAAATGATGTGTAAATACATCAAATGTAGATAGACGCATAGTAGCAATAGAAGTGAATGCACATCACAGAATTTGATACTGTAATTAGGACTGTGATGTTGAGATTAGTTAATAATTGGATTTCTCTTAACCTTTAGCAAGCAGTTGAGGAGAAATACAGACTATGCGATGATACCCTTTCCAAGTTGCTGGAATGGATCGCCGATGTTGAGGAAAAATTAGCAAACCAGGAGCCAGTGAAAGAGAACATGGAAGAGCTTCGTAATCAAATCAACGTTTTAAAGGTAAGTTGCCATGCACAGTTCATGAATACTTGGTCCTGGGTAAGATTTTGGGGTGTCTAATGAACCAGTTATCTTTTCAGATAGTTAAGGATGACCTCGAGAGTCATCAGCGCCAGGTTTCAGCCTGTGCCGATCAAGCCAAACAGCTTCTTGTGTCTGGAGGCGACGTGCTAGCCCCTCATGAGGTATTTTTATTATTTTTACGGGTATGAGCCGAATATATTTATAATATTTGAAGTACTTTGAAACAATGTCTAGTTCTTGTTAGGATGCTTGTGAGCCAGGTTCCACACAAAAAAAAAAACAACAGCTCTAAATCAGTAGTACATATTTATCATATTTATTCACTTATATTTACTAAAATTTAAATACTGTACGCAATAATTTTGACCAAAAATATTCAATATAAACAATTTTTTAATTTATCTATTTTTTTTTGCTGCATTGTTTAAAAAAATATAAAGACGTTGTGCTTTAGTTCCACTTCTAGCAATACAGTATTCCACTAAAGTACTCAAAGGTACCTTTATACATATTTATTTACGAAGTTATATCTAATTTATCGATTATCGATGAATGGTCCTCCAGGGTGACTTTGCAAATATATTTTAATCCCTCCTTGGTCGAATAGAAAATTTTATTCAGATTATCTATGTGCTAGGTGGCAGCCCTTGAGCGGGGAGTGCGTCAACTGAAGCAGAAGTATGACAGATGCACTGAGAGATCTGACAAGATGCTGAGAAGGCTTGCAGCCGCCAAAGATGAACTTGGCAAATTCACGTAAGTGATAAGTATTGAATATATTTTTGAATTCAATAGTTTTTATAGTTATGAATTATTGTTGTACTTACTATATTTATTAGACAACTAGCTATTACTCGCGACTTTTCCTGCGTGTAATAATTTATGACGATTGTAACCCACGAAGGGTTTTAACAGTTAGCCAGTTGCATTTTTTACTCGTGGCAACGTCTAAATTAAATGTCCCATTCGAATTAGTTAAGAAGTATTTTACTGCGCTGCGCTTTATATAAATACTACGATACGTTCTAACTTTTGTTTCTACCGGCGATCCAATCAAATTTTAGAATACAAAAGCTACTATTGTGACTTAAATAAGATAGTTAGATATATTCCCTTGCGGATTTTTTTAAGGTAATAATAGGTACTTTAATCATGTAGTACATAATTTTTATGTGTCGTCAATAGTTTTTCAGCACACGCCAAATAATGAATTTTATAGGCAACATTTTGCTACTTTGGGTCAGATTATTGCAATTTTTTTTCGATTATTATAATAACTATTGACGGATTCGACTCGGCTGGGCAGCGTTCGGGAAATTACGACACATCTTCTCGTCAGGTATACCACAATCTCTGAAAACTAAAGTGTACAACCAGTGCGTGTTGCAAGTGATGACTTACGGATCAGAGACGTGGTCCTTCACTGCTGGCCGTATGAGGACGCTTAAGGTCGCTCAGCGAGCTATGGAGAGGGCTATGCTTGGAGTTTCTCTGCGTGATAGACTCAGAAATGAGGATATCCGCAGTAAAACCAGAGTGACCGACATAGCCCAACGAATTAGTAAGCTGAAGTGGCAATGGGCCGCCCATATAGCTCGAAGAACCGATAACCGATGGGGAAGAAAGGTTCTCGAGTGGCAGCCTCGTACCGGTAGGCGTAGTGTAGGGCGACTCCCCACTAGATGGAGTGACGACCTGGTAAGACATGCAGGAAGTCGATGGATGCAGGTGGCTCAGGACCGTGCTTTGTGGCGTTACTTGGGTGAGGCCTATGTTCAGCAGTGGACTTGTGAAGGGCTGTAATGATGATGATGATGATAAAAACTATGTTATTAAGGAAACATTGCTGCGCATCTCCTGAGTTGTTTCATTGTGTGGTCTCTTACGACGCCACTACTATATAGAGTAGTGGATATTCTTACACCGCCACTACACTGTGTTAAATGTAACGCTGAAGCTCGCTGCATATGTACCAACGTGTTTTATTCCGGACGAAGCGTGACGTGAAATTTTGGAAATATCGTTTCATAGGAAATGTACGTGAATGCATGGACGAGACAGGGACGTGGTATGAACGAGATGGGAAATATATCGCCGGCGACGATGTTTATTGCGTCCCGCCCCGCGCGCGCCACGTATTGTCCGTGGTGCCGCTGCGTATGCGCACAGTCGCTCTATTGAATTCTTCAAAAGAAAATTCCATGTTTGATGACACTAGCACGTTAGTTTCGAGTCACTGTCACTTTGCGTGTGCATTAATTTCCCGTCCGTGTTAACATACAATACGTTTCGTCTCCGTTCCGTGCACGTGCTGATTCCGTCCTGTATGCAACGATCTTAACTTTGCACTAAATGATACAAATTAAAAAGGTACTTTTGAATTCAAATACTTTTGAAACAAAGCAACAAATATGTGATTTTTATATGTTTATTGCATATTGATATTTCTTCGGTTAGGCCTCTAAATTACAGGAACAATTAAAGGAAAACAAAACTTAGCTTACACTACTATGTTATATTATTTTATATACAGGAACGAACTTAACGCCTTCGAAACGTGGATGGACAGCGCGTACAGAAACCTGGAAGATAAGGAAGCCGCACTTGCCAATTTAGACAACCTGCCGTCGCACAGCGAGGATGTGCGCGAGTTCGTGTCGGACGTGATCGCACACCAAGCTGATTTGAGGTTCATCACCATGGCCGCACAGAAGTTTATTGATGAGAGCAAGGTTCGTTTGGCGCATTCTATTTGTACGGGCTGCAGCACGTACATTTTTGTGGCGTCGGCAGTTTACGCTATAACGCTACAATAATGCATTTTGAGTCAGTGCGCTAATTGAGCCCAGCAATACCGGTCGCGCGTGCTCGTAGTATCATTTCCCATCTATCATTAAATTAGATTTAGTTGGTTCTATCAATAAACTATCAATTATCAACTTCCCAGTATTGACTATCATTAACTATCAACTACTGTCAACCGATCACGTGGGGGTCCCGCCACAGCCCTTACATATTTTTGGTCCTTCTTCACTGATATCCTCCATCTCCCAGAATTTTTGGATCTCCTTTAAGTCGTTAATGATCACGTTACACTGTAAAGTTTTGATGTTACCGGTTAAAATCCAGCCTAAACGAGTATTCTGAGTAGTGATGCAACGGAAGTGTCATATCGGAAGCAGAAACGGAAACAGATGTTAAAAATATTTTTATGCAGAAACGGAAACAGAAACGGATGCGGAAACGGAAATACTACTTATTAAAAAATTACAAATAAAACTTTTAATTAACATTCAAATTTAAGTAGCGGTAAGTTATATTTTATGAAAAGTAGTTCGGCCGCTTTTACACCTAACAATCGGTTCCAGTATTCTTCATATATAGGTCCAGCTCCGCTAAGTAATTGCTCACTGACGATGCTGCTAAAGCTAAACTGGCACTGAAACATTTAGATTCAGCAAGTAGGTAATTTAGTACAGCCCTCGCAAGAAAGTACGACGTAAACGAACTTTGAATCCAAAATACTGATTAGTGTTTCTAAAAATAATTAATATAAACTAAAAGTAAAAAATAAATAATATAAACTTCACGTGAAAAATAATTAACATTAACTTCATGTAAAAAAATTAATTATTATGAGCTTCACGTAAACATAACTGTTGCCTAATTAATTTTACAAATGTGTGTTGTATCAAAGGAATTTAGTAAAAACTAGTTTCCATTGGAGAAAACATGTTTTAACTAAAAACTGGTTTTAACTATAATAAAGGAATACATTTTATAAATAAATAGGTATGCAATTCCTTGACTGAGCATATGTTTTAGTATTAGTCTGCGATGAAAGTTTTACAGTTTCAACTTACTGACTTGTCAAACTCTGCAAACTCTTCGGCGTGTATCACTTTAAGATAGCTCTTTAAAGCGTTAGTTGTGCGTTCTTTTCGCGAGTATATTTTGTTGTCACCAAAATATATACAACGTAATACTATTCAACATAATAGTTCCAAACGGGGATTGTTTTTGCCTTCATGATTGCACTTAAATTACACACATGACTCAAATTACTAATTACCTAACTAAAAAGCAATCAAAAAGAAAATCTTACGCACTTACACTCATGTCACGCCGCATAATAAAGTTAAAAAAGTTTGTAAATAAACCCGTTGGGACAAGTGCCGAAAGGAAAGGGCTGAAATGCCCCTCCTCCGCTCCGCCTTTATTTATGTATGTGACTACGTTGCTGAGTTCCGTTTAAACTTCCGTTATAAAACTTGCGGAAACGGAAACAGAAACGGATGTTAGAAACCATGCGGAACTTCCGCAGTTGCGGAAACAGAAACAGAGTTTTTTTGCATCACTAATTCTGAGCTATCGGTATATTATCATTCAACCTACAAATTCCCTCCAATAAAATCAAAGAATAAACATCTGCTCCTAACAGGAGGTCGACCGGGTGACTGATATTAAATTCGGTGCTGTATGTTATTTAAATATGTCCAGGACAGTTTTGAAAAGCTAAAGTTAGTTAAATTTTTGATAAGGCTTTTCTGTTTTATAGAAAGGAAGGATCGATATGCTGTTAGCAATAAACTGATGATTTCGATCTTCTTGCATCGTTACATAGAGCACTAGTGGGTTAGATTGAATTAGGGAACAGGCGTGCCTCTATAGGCACGAATCAAAGCATGTTGTTTCCTAAGCAGTTGATGGCTTGGTATTTTAATTATTGGTTTAATATCAGAGTGACATATGAACTAATAGCCCATTTGATGGTAAGTGGCTTTTACAGCTCATGGATACGTTTAATCAAATAATGAAAACTGTAGAGCTACAGGATGTTACCTTTGTAAACAGCTAGAACGGCTATTAAGAAAAAAGCTGTGTTACATGTGTTTGTCGCGTGAGCGCGCGCGTGTAACTGACACTGTAATAAGCAAGGCAGTTGTATTTTCACTGACAACAATACTATTTTTAGGCAAATATGAAATAAAATTACATATTATCTGAAATAAAATAAAGTGTCCACATAATTAATGACAACGAATTCGTAGTCACATTAAAGAAAATCGGTGTTAAAATGTCGAAAGAAACGTTAGCGTTTTCAAAACAAACTATTCTTCTCGCCCGCTTGCAGTCAACTAAACTAGAGTTAGAAGTATTGATCGGAACTTAGTGTGCAATGTATTAAAGCTGCAGAGCCCGTGTAGTGGTATAGAAAATCTCTTTGGAGGATTAAGATGAAATGCCTCACAGCTTGTAATTATGTAGTTCTCGTCTGATATAAATTTAAACATAAAAGTGACTGCACTCATGTTTAGTTGTAAATATAGATGATTTCTACCTTATTGCTACATATACGGACTTTCTAAGTAAAAGAGGAGTTTTATTTTATTTCTAAGAAAAAAAATCGATATTTACTTAAAATATTTTTGAAGTGAAAACTTCATTAGCGGCGTTGTACACTTTTTGGTAATGGGTAAAAAATGTTAAATTCGCTTCAAGACACGTAACTTAGTAACGTAAGAGAGAGAGAGAGAGAGACAGTCGGCGCGGCGTAGGAGAGGAAGTATCCCCCTCTCTTTCTACGGCGTGGCGAAAATGTATACCTGCGCCTGCTGTGTCGTTTAGGTGGCACAGGGCGCTTGCGCGAATGTACCTAATATAAATTGTCATGTTTGTGTATGATTGCGCAATAAATAGATATTGTATTCTACCACATAAATGATATTACTTTTAACCTGATAATTAAAGAATTCATGCAAAATTATTCTCTAACCATTCTAAAATATCAAAAATGCACAACGTTAATATTGAAGTTTTCACTTCTGCCGGCACTCCCGGAGTGCTACCCGTCGTTTTTTTTTATAGATTTTGACACTGATAGTAGTTTTAAATACACTTACATAGAATATTAATTTTCACTTAAAAAGTTGATAATAATTAACGTGGTTCGTATGTACAGGAGTTCGCGACGACAGTGAACGAACATCGGGCGTCCATAGAGTCTCGCGGCGCAGCATTGAGCGTCAGTGGTGAGCGGGTGCGCGAGGAGGCGGCGGAGGCGCGCCGGCGCCACGCCGAGCTAGCGGCGCGCGCGCAGCGACTGCTCGAGCGCTTGCGAGCTGCCGACTCACGTCTGCAGCGCCACCGCGCCGCGCTGCAGCGCGCGGAGCGCTGGCTGCACGAGGTACGTACAGCGAGCGCTGCGTGTGGAGGGCTGATAGTGCGCGCTTTCAGCGCTCATTCCACAAAGTACGTTCACCGACTGTCGCAAATGACGAGCTGGCAACGCGCGCGAGGTATGTACTTCATCTCCGTACGTGGCTAACTGGCAACGCACACAGGGACTCAGTACGTAGCGAACTGGCCGCACGACGTGCATAGACCAAATCTGTACGTGGCGAATTTACAATGCGCGCGAGCAGCTCTCATCGCAGTAGATATATAGTACAACAGTGCTCACATTCACCTACCATGCTCTAGGTATGCAGTGAAGACACACCGAAGCTGTATTATGGCTGCAGCACGAATCGAAAGGTCTGTCCAACGGGGAGGGTTCGCCTAGTTCTTTCCTAATACCAACTTAAAATGACAGTATAATGTTGCTGTAGTTCGTATGGTGAGTAATATTAACTGGTGACGCCTTTTAAGAAACATCGAGACAATAAATATTAGTTCTTAAGAGCGGCAACATATCTGCATTTTGATTCTTAAATCGAAGGTAATTGTGTCTATAGACCAAAGCATCCACTTACCATCAGATGAACTTGTCCTTTTATCACTCTTACCGAGCAAAGCGCTCTAATAGACATGCGCGAGGTACGTAGCTTTGTAAAATAATTACTAATTGCCATTGCTAACCCGAATTATTAAGGCCCTGTCTAAAGCGCCTGATGCAGCAAGCGCAATATTGGACGTAGAAATTACAATATGCGGTAAAAATATACATAGAGCTTTTTTTCTCTAATTCTGAATGCCATATGAATGAATGCGATATAATTTATCTCGGTGTACCACTAACGCGTTCCTTTTAATTTAGAACTCAATGTAGTATCCGATAATGTTATAACTAACTACTAAATTCATTTCATTCAACAGGTGGAGCCACAGGTCCGAAGCGCCCTAGAAGAGGCGATCGGTGGGGAGCCCCGCGCTGTCGAATCCCAACTGCAGCACATCAAGGCCCTGCACAATGAAATACTGTCACAGGGACGCCTTATTGATAACGCTAAAGAGGTGAGTTGACACTCTCACATATTTTTTTCACTCTCGTGAAATATATAACAACTGTTTATTGGAAATATTTTAACAAAACGTATTTGTTAAAGTAACAACTAACCGTATAGTTATAAAAATAATTCTGTGCCTATATGAAAAAAAAAACATTAAAATAACAAAAATCACAGGCTTGCGAGCAGCTCCTCAGCAGCCTAGAAGGCAGCGTCACACCATCAGAGATGCGGCAACTGGAAGGACCAGTAATAGAACTAACGGAACGTTACAACGAGATCGGTAACGCGGTGGCGTCGCGTTGCGCCGAGCTGGAAGCAGCGTTGCTACAGTGCCAAGGACTCCAAGACGCCGCGGAGACACAAGCAATGTGGCTCAATCAGGCTGAAAATAATTTGACGTGAGTATTTAGAATGATCCTCGTGTTGTGGCGGTGTAAGAGTATCAAGTACCCCACATCTTCCCGTGGAGTGTCGTAATAAGCGACAGAGGGAAACTGAGGCAGCAGACAGGCAGTGGCATCTTGTTGATAACACCAATATAGCTGCAAACCCGCTCGCTAAGCGGGGCAACTATGGCAACATACCCCTCATGGCGAGGTATAAAAAAGATGGCCACCAGTCCCCGGCGGCCCTGCAATTCTTGAATATGGTGGCGACCATGGTAACAGCGGGTCAGGCGGGGCTAACAATGTTAATGGAAAGAAATAAGAATATACGGTTTTCCTCTTCTCTCATTAGTTTATTTTGACTTCAGAATATCAATACGCTTGGAAGTATAAATGTTAAATTGTTATTATTTGTCAATGTTTAACGAATATCCCGTCGATCTCAGGAGTCAATTGAAGCCGGCGTCGCTGATTCGCGAGCGGCTCGACGAACAAATCCGCGAGCAACGCGTGTGGCACGGCGAGGCGGAAGCTCGGCGCGCCACGTTCGCTAAGCTGCTGGCCGCCGCCAGGGACGCCGCGCTCACGCCATCCAACGCCAGAATCGCCAAGAAGCTGGAGCAACGCGCTGAGGACATGTACTCTAGGTAAGTTATATGTCCTTTTTTAACTATTATGAGTTAGTGTTCTACGACTATCTCATCTGATGATGGTAAGCGGAAAAATGTATGCAAACTGACAACAAGGAGTATTATCACTGTTTAAAAGGACCTTACAGTTGGGAAACGTATTCACTTGTGCAGAGTAACGGTGGGGATACTGCGGGACAGGGGGCGGGTAGACCTTGTGCTAGCACACTTCACTGAGTCTGATAGAAAATACACGGAGTTGGCGCGAGCGTGTTTTATAGTACTTATTAAATTAATTTTAAGTGCCGTTTTCAAAAAATATTGTATCTATAATGGTGAATTACTATTATAGCTATGAGTTTCTAAGTAAAATTGATTTCAAATGACGGCCATGCTTATTTATTTATTTATAATTTCATGCACAAAATTATACACATGGCGAACTTAATGCCATATGGCATTCTCTCCCTGTCAACCATGTTTCTCTCATTTTTTTAAAATTACTTATCTGAACGCGAATACATTACGTAATTAAGTTTAACAATCGAAAACTGAAAACATATATAAATAGAAAATGTCACGAAAATATTTGGCATTTAGTAATAAAAAATGATTCTGTTCGATAAATGTTTTAAACTTTTAAGTATGTACATAATGTATTTATTAACATTAATGAGTATTATTTATCCAAACTTATTTTAATTCCATCTTTGTGACAACTCCTAGCATACACACTCCCGCGTAAATATTTACGCGGGCGGTGGCATCGCCTTTCATCAAAGGTTTCATAACCGTAAGGTCTAAACTGTGGTGTGTTATCAATGCGAGTGTATCGATTAAAGGCTTATTTATTCTGCCACTTAGCATAGTTTGTGAAAAAGAACGAAAGAAATCGTTATATATAAAATTGTGTTGCGCGTGTGTTCGTAATTTTGTTTTTCTTCTAAATTTAGACTGATTAAGTTTAATATTTTTTTGGGGTACTTATGGGGTTACCTTGATGTTTTTTAGGTGTAGTTGGTCTATACAGGTGGCGCTACTGTTGAGATTCTGCAATCGCTCTTGTGAAACCGGGGCGGATTGCTAGTATACTTATAAATTTGGCTCTACCGTGACAAAAATAATTATACAAGGGAGGTTTTTTAACCAGTAAAACTTAACCCATTCGCTGAATTTAATATTGTTACACTATCAGCATGTAAGGTTTATTCACACTTCACCTTGAAGTTAAAAGATTTCAAATAAAGTAACTCTTTCCCAACTGAATGTTACACGCTAATTTCGTGTTAGACAAATATACATGTAGCTTAGAAGGAGAGTATTAAAAGTGTTTAAACGTTGAAAATTCTGGCCTTAAGTACATTTTGTAATAGTATTTATTATTCATCACCCAATAAATGCCTATTTTCTTTTGTTTCAACTGGTTACATTAAGTGCAAAAATTTTATATAGTATTTATTTCTTATTTTAAACGACTTATTTAACAAAACTGATAACCTATATCTTCCTTGTTAATGAAAAGTTGGATTTTTTGTATGTCGGTTATAGGACGCGTAGTGGCGAGGTGCGATAGCGTAATTTTTTTCTATATGTGTATCCACCTACAGATACGAGAAGCTAGTGGAGAAGTCTCTCCGACGCGGGCAATTCCTGGAGGAGGTGAGCGGCGAGCTGGGCCGCTTCCAGCAGCAAGCCGCGCGTCTGGAGGCCGCGCACGCGCAGCTGCTGCAGGCGCTGCATGATGCTCGCGCGCACGACCTGCCCGCGCAAAGGTACGCATTGTACGTGCTGCATTGCGTTATGCTTGCAGCACGAATGACTCGGCTCCACCGGCCAGGACTACGCTCACACTGTTTTGTATGACGATTGCAGAGAACCGGAGACCCTTTTTACATTTTAGTCTTTAGGGCTGACAACACATATGCGTTTTGATTCTTAATCGAGGATAAATGTAGATGTCTATGGGCCACAGCATCCACTTACCATCAGGTGGACTGTGTGCTAGTTTGTCACCCTTATTCTAAAAAAAGATACAAGTCAGGACGCTACACGCAATAGCCTGCAGACACCTGCAGCCAACTGAAGACCGCTAACTCTAAGTACTAATATATAATTGGTTCATAACCTCCAATTACGCTGCTACTCCACACACTTCAGACCGGAACACTGCAGTGCACGCACTGCCATTTAGTATCAAAAATAGGTAAAAGTATGATATCTACCTAAATGGGCTCCTAGACAAAAAAGAAATTCTACCACCTAGCAAGTTTTATCACCTAAGTTGTCCAATATAATTACCACGCACAGATATGACTCCATGTGGCTATTGCAGACTGTAGACATTTGTAACTAACTTCAAACAAATAAGGTTGTAGATAAGACGTAACCGCTGAAGACTAAGATAGAATGCCACGCGAGCATCGTAACTACACTGGCTGTACTACCTCAGATAGGAACACAACAGTGAAAGAATTGCTTTTCCTTTACCTTTTCTCGTCTGCACCCCCGTAGCTAAACGGCATTTTCATTTTTAAATTTTTTCTTTGGTATATTTCTTTTACAAATACCAATACTCTGAAGTAATTTAACTCTACAAGTAATTCAACTCCACCTCATATTTAGCCCTCTAAATAATAATAATTAGATGTATGCCCTGTAGTGAAATCCAGGTGTATTCATGGTCCTTCGAGCCAGATTTGAACCAGTAACCTATGGATACACAGTACACAGATTTGAATCCTCTAAACTTGCATTGAAATTACTATTTAAATGAATGTAAATTGTACTCACTATTCACTATTTCACTTTTAATCCTTTGACGTATCACTGCTAACTCGAACCACACGAACTTCACAATTCCTGCCCTCAGCCGCTTTCCTGACGACATCCATTGTATGGTGCTCCCCTGCAGTCCACTTATTCTTCGTTTCTGTTCCGCCCATCGTGAACTACACCGCAGGCCAGTGCGTAGTCACGACTGCGCACTAGGCTGCTTCTTACCTCGCACCTTATAAGCTGCGATCCACTAATAAAGCTGCCCTTACTGGTTCTATCCAACCCGCACCTGGCCGTTTATTTCCCCAATGATATTTTTATAAGCGTTATTTTTTATAGTCTGTGTTTTTTAACCAACAACTTATGTTTTTATAGGGACAAACAAATGCCGCTGCTGGAGGAGTGCCTCCATACCGGCAAACAACTTCTCGCCAAGAAAGACATCACCGACACCTATGTTGTGCGTGATAGGATGAAGGTTTGTGTATATGCATTTATTTCTAACGCTTTTTAATCGTTACTTTTTAAGTGTTTCGAATCAATATATAAAATGTTCATACTATGTCCTAATTATATATTAACATTTATTTATTCATTCATTCATTCATTTATTCGTAACGGTCCAGTGCTGAACATGGTATGTTCCTTGTCAGGGGGGTAACCGCAGTATTTAACTATGTTTTAGTCGTTATGAAGCTGCCCGTATCCTCATTCATTTCCCTCTATCGCCTCTTACGTCACCCACGGGACGATATCAGGTAGTGGATATACTTGCGCCGCCACTACACCGCCATTTTTTATAACAGTATTAAACATATAAGGAATGGAATGTTGCTTGTACAATACCTCGTCTCCATAAAAGTCTCTACCGTATTGTATAACTAAATAAATGAAACGTTTCAGGCTCTGGAGAACTTATGGCGCGACTTCAATACCGCACTGGAAGAGAAACAGAAGCTATCTAAACAACGTGCCGACCAACTCAATCAATACGAGTCGCTCAGGATTCAGGTATAATGATCATTTAAATGAAAGAACTATTGATAGACATCATTTAAAAATGAAATATTCAAACGCAAGGGGCAGATATATGTATGTATCGGTTTTAAATTGCTTACGCATTAACAAATAAGAAGGGATGGTTATATCTCACCATCATAATCATGACCATCACCACCATCTTTTCCATCATCAACACCATCATCATCATAACCACTCACAAGTCTTCTGCTGAACATAGGCTCCCCCAAGAAATGCCGCAAAGTAGAGTCCTGAGCCATGATAATACAATCTTTTCTACATTTCAAATAGTCGCCTCTCAAAACCTTAACACGAAATGACGTAATGAATTTGCCATATGTTAACTTCGTGTATAATTATAAATAATATGCAGCGTACTTGTTACTGTTACGTAAAATATTTAACAGCTTACATCACCAATGATAAAATTGTTGATCAAATGTTTGAGTTAAGAATATGTGATTGATGAAATGAAAGCAAAGTGTGTTTACCCTAATATTCGCTCGACCAATTAGAGCCTTGTTGCAATGCGATACAACAAAAACTGCAAATAAATATAATTTTGGATTCACCATTCAATTAGATATCGGCTGAAGTTCGACTTGATATCAGTTAGGTCATATATCTAACCTGGTACATATTTTTGCAGGTGCAAGAATGGCTGCAAATGATGGAGGAGCGGGTTGCTCGCTTGCAGCCAGTCGCTGTTGACTTGGACATTTTGAAGACACAGCATGAAGAGCTGCGACCGCTGACCAAAGAACACAGAGATTTCTCTATTACCATAGACAGGGTGAGCAAAACAGGACCTATTGCTAGTTTTATAGAAAATTTCAAGAAAAATTAACTAAAACGTATACGAGTAATATTTTTTTTCAGACTTTTCATATCGTATATCTTTTGCAAATTTATTTAATTACCTTTTTACTACCCAGGTTAACGAAGCCGCTGCTTTGTATGAAAATCTAACGAGGGGCGACCGTGCCGACAGTCCACACAGAAGGAGACAGATATACAGCCCGACAAAGAGGCAAACACCAAGTAAGTCTTTCTCATACTGTTAAATTACTTCTAAGCTCATATTCTTCCCATTTCTAAATATCGTAAAAAATTCAAAATAGCCTTATTTATTGCATCAAATTTTTAATATTTTAAAGAATAACATCATTGCAAGATTTGAATATCATTTCACGATTATAAATCTTGAGTTTTGTGATGAAGAAGACATTCTTATTTTCAAATTATAATAACACTTAATCATATGAATAACGAATATGTAACTAAGTTAAAATATACCATTATTCTTTTCTATTTATTATATTATTTATTAAAAACTTTTTCATTCTACACTTTTCTAGCTCTTTTGATTCTATCTATCCCCTTCGATAAATCTTTAAAAAAAAATACATTGGGTGAGAATAAAAATCAGGGTTCCATGAAGTACGGTTTTATCCTATATTATCCTAAACCCTGTCAACTTTAAGAAACGCCTAAAGCCCTACATATATTAGTAGATTTACCCTAAAAAGTGCAAAATATCTGAAAGTGGACTCCATTTTAGCACCAATGAGACGGTGCCATTTTGTATTTTCGATGACCCGGTCCATAGGCAGTAGTAAAATAAGTCTATGATATAAATATTTCTTTTGTATGTGTGTTTGTTACTGAACTCATCTTAAACGACTAAACCGATTTTGATAAAATATTTTGTGTTTGTTTGAGTGGGTCCCTGGATAGTTTAGATTCACAATTGGACCTGGTAAATCACGCCCTTGCAGAGATTCAGAAATTAGCCGTACGAATCCGGGGCGGGTTTCTATATAGTTATATTTTCTCGACTTATTGCCGTTAAAGCATTCAGCGTTATATTTTGACTATCATAAATACTTATTTAATTTAATTTTTAATCTTATTATAGCTCGTTCGTTGGACGCGAGATCGCCGTCACCAAGCAAAGGGCACTTAGTGAGCCCTGGGTCTCACTCGACTTCTAGTGGATTCTCGTCGCGACGCTCTAGTCAAGATGGCTTCCATCTTGAAGGTAAAGCTTAATTGTAATACATGATAATATTTTAATCTATGTGTTAACGCCATTTTTTCTTAATTAATATTAAATTAGATTCAAACTACCCATGGTAACTTTATTTGCATCTATTAAACCGTTGTACATATTTTCTTGATATTTGTTCCGTTCTATGTAGGAGCCTATATACAAACTATAATAAAATACGTTTTTCAGACCTATCTCCAGTGCAGCAGCATATTTCCGACATCAACAACCGGTACGGGCTGCTGGGCAGCAAGCTGTCCGACCGCCAGGCCGAGATTGACAATATCAGGGAGGAAATCCGGAAGCATCTCGACAACTTGCGCACTCTCAACAATTTCCTTGACAAGGTACGTCATTATTCTTGTAGTCATTGTTTATTCGGCGTCTTTTTAATGATAAACGTTACTGAAAAGAGTGACAAATCAAATTTATACTGCAAAAGTAAGTGGCAGAGTCGCCAACGAACGCTTTAGACGGGAGTTTATCGAGCAAATTAGAATTAATATTAAAATCGGCCATGCGTAGATATATAGATGTGGAAGAAGCGAGAGTGGTGGTCTAGATGGCTTCTCTTACGCAGCGACCATGATATAGTAATGTATCTCTAGTGGTAACGTAAAATATTGACTTTCAATAAGAATTACTTGTAATCTATATTGAATAAAAAATTAGTTTATTATTTTATTTATTTTATCTAAAGTGTAAAAATAATATGTAATCGTCAATATTATCTTCATCCCAGGTGCAAAGACAACTGCCGAAGGATTCCGTTCCTAACACGAAAGAAGAAGCAGACAAGACGATCAAACAGGCGCGAGCCGTACTAGAGGAGATGTATGAGAAACAGAGCTTGCTGGACTCTACTAAGACCCAGGTACTTATTTAAAAAGAAACACTTGTGAGAAGTTGCAGTCTTTCAAACATTTAAATTACACATTTTACTTGTAAATTAGTTCATTAAACCAAATATATTAATAGTGTCAAACACATATTTATCCTATTCTTGAAAAACGAATTTGAACACTAGTATTACTTACCATATTGCATAATATTTTTCTTGACAATATCGAGTTACATTTTACGTAATAATAATAGAAACATTGAAAAAAATAATGACAGTTTTTTTGTGTTTTTATATTTTATCTGGACGTAATAAAGTTTTTCAAAATAGTATTCATGGCATATAATATTAATTTAAATATTGATTCTTAGCACGTAATACGAATTAAAAAAAATCTCGTCCATTTATGTATAAAATAAGGATTTATACTTTAAATATGTTAATGATATAATATTTTGCTTGCAGGTCCGCGAACTTCTGAAGCGCAAACAGAGCGTACAAGGCGCGGATCGACTGCACGATGAGATGGAGGATGTCGCATCCAGGTGGAAGTCCTTGCATGATGCCTTCAAAGACAAGTAAGTATTTTTGCACGTTGAGTTATTATTATATATTTCTTTACTAAGGATGAGCTGCAGAGACATTCCATGTCAGTGTTGGACCCTTCTTTATTTTCATAAAAGATTTATTTATATGTATGTGTCTATTGAATATGACAATTTATTAATATAGCGGAAATGTAACGCACTTATTTACTTTTTATACTTATTTATCGTATTGCAAGCTCGAGTCCTGTCACGGTCGCCATGTAATGTTGGGAGGTTCGGGGGAATAAATAATACGTCTAGTGGTTTTGACTGTAGATTTAATACTCCCTCAACGTCTCTTAGTTTATCGTATATATAGCTACATTACACCACACATACACTACAGAATTTCATAGACGTATATATGTAAACTAATAGTCTATAGATGGACATGGGCTTTTAATATTCTGGAGAAAATTAGTCGTAACGTTTGGTGGGTGGATTGGGGATTTTAAGACAATGTGATTAGCACTTTGACGATGCTCCAAGTCATTGACCTTTGGGTCTTTTTATATCTGCCATATACGGGATAGTACTACTGCCTTTTATTGGCGGTCCTCAGACCTCCTTACTTTTCTCATAGTTTCGATATCCACGAGACGAGAAGGTGTAACGGGAAACTTTATTTTGGCTTAATTTTCACAGGATCCAGCTAATGGAAGAGATGAAGGACTTCCATGACACTCACAGTAACCTGTCTCAATGGCTTGCCGCAAAGGACCGAATGATGGCCGCTTTAGGGCCTATCTCATCCGACTCGAGGATGGTGCAGACACAAGTCCAACAGGTACGCCGCGGATGTATCGATAGTGACAGACAGACATTTTTATGATAACATTATATCGTAAAATAAGATATATAAAAAAGATATCAGTTTATTATGTTAATACTGATACATTGTGTAATACAACGAAATCAAATATCAAACATCAAAATGAAGCCAACCACAGTTTCCACCAGAGCTACACAATTGCACTCTTGTTTTGTTATCAATCACCACCATCATTAGTCGTGATTGTTTAATGTTAGAATGTATAAATATCTCTCTTTACTCTTTTTTACTACTCCCCCTTTTTTCTTTTTATCGGATCACTTCTTGGATCCATTTCTTAACATAGATGATTTTAAGAATTGCATCAAATGACACATTTCATAAGAAAATTCTTTGTTCATTTTCACGACGCTGTTCAGGTAAGTTGGTAAGCGTAGAACCAATATTTATATTATTATATATAATATTTTGTATTGGAAATATAAATATGGTGATGTGTGCACAGGTGGTGGTGCTGCGCGAGGAGTTTCGCGCACAGCAGCCGCAGCTGGCGCACCTGCAGCGCGTGTGCAGCGCTGCGCTGCAGCGCCTGCCGCACGATGCTCCTGACGCCGCAGCGCTGCAGCAGCGCGTGCAGCTGCTGCAACAGCACTGGGCTCGCCTGCTCGACCAGTCAGTACACGTGCATTTACAGTATTCTATAGTTACCCACCCCCAAACTAGGATTTTTCCCTGTATCGAGAAGGCACAAAGTGACTATGTAAAGACGTACGTAAATTGCACAAGGATACAAATATTTGTTCCATTGGAATTCAAACTCGAGGCCCTCTGCGCCGCTACACCGTGCTAAGCCAATACGTCACGAAGATGTCAATTACCTATATTATTCCCTTCGCACAGGTCTTCTCTTATTTCTCATAGTGTAATAGCACGTGTTAGCTGATTTCACGTCCATCCATAACAGCCTATAAAAGTTCACTGCTGAACATACGCCTCCCCGTAGATTACCTCATCGAACGATTTTGGATATTCTTACATATTTGACATGCTTGGTTAGCTGGTACTAAACCGCAGTTTTTACTATTTTGACTTGTTATGAGGAGGATAATTCTACCCATCATCTGTATCAGTTTCCCTTTGTCGCTTCTTACGACACCCACGGGCTGTTATGGGGTCGTGGATATTTTTATATCGCCATTATACAGCTCTTGAATTATTTATATCTAAGAACCGTAGGTTTCTTTAAGATGTTTTCCTTTACCGTCGAAGTAGGTTGTAAATCAGAACTTAAAAATTCAATAAGCAGTTTAATTTGTGCTTGCGAGAATAGAACCCAGGTTGCTCGCGTACTGTTAAATATGCAGTGAGCATTTAGTAGGTACCACGACTCAAATTAGTTATTTGCTCACGTTTGTACGTGGACGATCGAGTGCGCACGTTGTACTTGAGCGTATGAGTACGTATATGTAGCAGCGTAAACATAGTCTTGACATGCGCATAGAGGTCTCTTTTTTCTTCTTTTTTTTTTCTTTAGACCGATTTACACTTCGACAAGTACAGTAGCGAGTAACGCGAACCGAGTTAAGTTTGAACCTCGTTTGAACGGCAATAAGCGAGTTAAGTAGCAAGTCAACGATTAAGTTGAACGGGATAGCCGGCCGGTCTATTTTTCAGCGAGTTAAGTGCGAAGTGCTGCCCTCCCGCGCGTCTCCCGCCACCCGCAACTAAACTCGCCGCTCATGTGAACGAGCGAGTTTAGTTCAGTGCATAAGTTGACGGGACGCAATGTTTGCGCGCCAAAACGTACAATTGTATCTTTACAATTAAACTCGCCGCACAGTTTGTACGATACTGTTTATTGAATATTTATTCTTTTTATATTGAATTTTAATAATAAAATGGACGGAAGATATCACGTATAAATTTGTACAGTAGTATTTAGAACACGAATGTTTATATAATAGCAGAAGTTCAAATTGTAAAATTAAACCTGCTCGAGATGCCGCACTCAAGAAAATTCTTTAACAACAATCATTAATACTTCTCTGACTGGATCATTTAATTCTTGACTTAATTCTACAACCATCTTAAACGAAAGCCAGAAAAATTCTGTAGTCTTGAAACGTCATACTCCAACGAACTCTATGAACTAATGTCCTTAACTAAACTCGCCACGAAGACATTGTTTGAACGTCACTGCCCACTTAACCGTTAACTGTCAACTGCCCTGTAACTAAACTCGCTACTGTACTTGTCGAAGTGTAAATCGGTCTTTTGGTGAAGTGCAAGGACGCGGGGTAGGTACAGTGAACATTCGCTTACGTGATTAGTCCGTTATTTAGTCTTCGTCGTTTATTGGATATTCACGTGTCATTTGCCTGTAATATATTGCATAGTAAGTACATAATATGCGTAAACTGTCATTTGGCGCTATTGACTTGGGTTGTCGTATATATTTGAGTCTAGTGAGTGCGCTCACGAGTGCGTACTTGAGCAAAAACTATGTCTACTAGATAGGCAATTTAGAATAAAAACTGAGTCACGGTTGTGGATCGTGAGGGCGCGGACGCGGGTAGCTGCTGGCATGATAAATATGTTATGCAGTTGCATTTTCTTTAATTAAAGTTATAGTTTTTAACTAAGTACTAAATGAAAGTTACATATTTATCATATATACATAAAGTTAATTGTTTTTTTAGTTTCATTAAACAAAATTAATGTTATATTCTTGAATGCAACGTTTGCGGTTTACAAAACAATAAAGTAGTCTTCCTGGTCGTTTGTAGTCCTAAGAGTTACGAAGAATTGAGTGAAGTTAGTGCGCAATGTATTAAGGGCCCAAAGCACGTTTAGTGGTATATGTAGAAGTCTATGGTGGTGTTGAGTGAGCGAGCGAGTGTGGTGTGTGCAGGCTGGAGCGGCGCGCGGCGAGCCTGGGCGCGGCGGCGGACTCCGCGCGCGAGCTGGACGCGGGGCTGGCGCGTCTGCGCGACGCGCTGCTCGCACTTGCCGACCGCCTGGACCAGGCGCCCGCGCACCCGCCCGACGAGCGCCTGCGCACCATCGAGGTAACCACCACCAGCAAACCATACACGTAACCTCAATACACATTACCAACCTTTCGACGTAACCTCAACACACCACCGATGCAACGACCGTTATATTTGTGTTTTCTTCAGTGATGGACTCGAATTCTTATGCGTTTGCCAGTGTCTCGTTTCTTTTTAACATTTGCTCATATTACATGTTGTTTTCAAAATATTATTACATAAAATTGTAACTGCATTCATAATTTTACATCTAAATCAAAATCGATAAATCCTGCAAGCAATACCAACTAAAAATATTCTCATATTACAACTCATCGTGTTTAACTGAACACACGTGCCGGCAACGCATCTGCGATTCCCCTGGTGTTGCAGTTGTTCACTTCTATAAAAAAGAAACACGTCTCTCCCAACGACCGTCAATGATCTTCAACTAACTATACTATACATATGATAACAAAAAATTCCAGTGTACTAAATCACTACTTTACCTTACACTTCAATTTCAATGCATAGTTAATAGTAGTGGTCATTACAATAACTTGAAATTTATAAACTACATTTTTTATAATTATAAATTACTTTTATATTTTATACGTAGTAGAGCCGCGCAGCAGCTACATTATGTTATTAGCATGAATAGGTCCACTCGACCGAGTAAGGACCACACACTCACAAAATAGCAGCTTAATACTGCTGTGTTTCGTATGGTGAGTGTGGAGACCCGGAGATTCTTTTTTACTGGAAACGAGTCATTCCATATTAGTCCCCAGGGGTGACAACGCATCTGCGTTTTGATCTTAATCGAGGATAAATGTAAATGTTTATGCACCACAGCATTCACTTACTATCAGGTGATGCACATTGGAACTAATACGCTAATTTCACCAAAAAAAGCTCTCAAAATGCCATCGTATGCTTTTCGAAAGTGCAATAATAATTCTAGAAACACAAATAAAGCTCAAGGTGTAATATTTCATTCGTAAATATCTATATTTTATTAAATATTGAATTTATTTTATTTCAATGTCAGAAAATACCATGAATTAATTACGAGCAAACGAAAAATGTGCGATAAAGAAAGTAGTATACACAATTTCTGTAAGATAATAAGAGATGACACTGTTGTCTCAGTACTCTTCTAATAACCAATTTAGTTAGATACTCGGACGCGTGATAAATAGACATAAACAGACGAAAATGCCGTGGTAGACAGATAAAGTAGTATACACAATTTCCGTACGATAATAAGAGATGACACTATTGTCTCAGTACTCTTCTAATAACCAATCTGACCTTAGATCAATTATATACTAGATTAAGGATCAGGAACAAAAATAGGTCGCAAAAGTGGCCACGTTTGCACACGCATAAACATCTATCTATCTTAGAAAAAAGTTTAATAACATTAACAATTTCAGTTTATTATAAACCTTAATAACACTCTAACATAAACTTTAATCACCATTGCAAAATATATTTATTTAAGTCCTTTCATCAGAGAAAGGTTAAAAGTAATAAGTTTAGAATGTCGCTGGAAAATAAAAAGTCATAGGTTACAAAAATATTTATTCTAAAATGAAACTTAAACTCTTAAGTAATAAGGTTAAAACATTATGTTGACATTTTCGTGCTTACTCTAATTTGGTAGTAGACGTAGTTCTTGGTATTATATTTCAATGCTCGGAACACAGTGAGTATTAAAAGACGTAGAGTTGCAGAATATAAATATTTTAGGGCAAGGGTCGTTTTGTATGGTGGCAAATATTTTTGACGATTTATAAAAGTAGTATGACTAAGTAGTAGGTATTCAATGAAAGGTCGTCAATTTCTTTTTTAAGTACCCTTTGCTAGGAGTGTCACATATCGATGTTAAATCTGATAATGATGATCAGGAGACTTCAAGCAAACTGCATCAGCCCGAGGTACGTCACGTTTTTTTGTGGTATCTTCAAAAGTTAAAGTTTATTAAAAAACAATTTTAAAGTATTTTATGAAAATACCTACAGGTATAGATTTTTTTTCTGATAAAGATTTTTTCTAATTACTTTTTCGATTTGATAACTTTTTCGTTATTCTGAACATAAAGCTGATTGCACTTTTATTGGTCCGTGAATCTAAAAACTCATATACAACTTACTTTTTTACCAAAAGCATTATCTTACACTAACAATTTTACTACTTTATGATAATTACCTGCAATTTGAGAACTACTGTTTTCAGTAATCTACGTCTTTGCGTGTTTCCAGTTATGTCCAATCTCTCAAAATGAATCGAACATATTTCCTAAATTTTTGCATGGGTTGTAAATATAGTTCTTCTCCTCTTTCTTTCGCGACAATAGATACTCATTCTGCACAGCGAAATGGGTTCCTAGGAAAACTACAAACAAAAAAAAATATTAAATAATAATACTACTCCATGCATGTTTGTTCAACAACAGTCGATGTTTGTTACAATAGTTGTTGCGTTGTAGCAAACATTGGCCAAACAATCATAATATTAACTAATTGAATTATTTTTGCTATTTAATTCTGTTTTTATTTTGTGAAAAACACTTATTGACATAAACTTGCCGAAAAAAAGGTATTCCTTCCAAATTCTTAGTGTGGTGGTTATTTGCACAGTTTCTAATTGGTGGCATTTTGACGTTTTAACGTTGGCTAGGATTGGACTATACTAATTTGAAATAAGACCACAGAAGTGTTTGTGGTCTTATTTTTCTGGCCGTTTTTGAAGCGCTCATCGGGAATTTAGTATATTATTGATCGAAGAATCTGACCGTATTGCGCACACATTAGTGTGCGCGCGTCATCGTCTTGCAAACGCACATGTTCAAAAATAATGCAAAAGATTTTCAAGGTGTAGGTGCATCTAACTATTTAAATCTTTGATACGCGCCAGAACCTGGAAAGACAACTGGAAGGGCAGCGGCCCCTGCTAGCAGACCTGGAAGGAGCAGGCGAAGCGCTAGGCGCAGTGCTCGGCGAGGCTTCAGCGCGGCAGGACGTGGCCGCCAAGCTGGCCGGCGCCGCGCGCCAGTACGATGCGCTGCAGCGCCGCCTCGACATCGCCAAGGCTGAGGCCGAGGCCGCGCTCAAGTCAGTACACACGCCTTTTCAAATTAATTGTTACAGACAAAAGTGCAAGTCCCACATAACATGTCCTCAACCCCGGTAGGCGAATATTCGTAGGCCTGCCTCGTTGTTCTAGTGGTTGTAATAGTGCGACTGCTGATCATGGGGTCCTGGGTTCGAATCCCGGGTCGGGCCACAAATGTCGGGAATAAAATGATATAGATACTACTACATACATATTCCTCAGACTAGAATTTAACTTTAAGTGTGATTGTTTGGGATTGGATGTTGGTCGCACTTACGTCTACCTATGCAGATATTTCGAAGACATTTTTTTTTCAAGTGATAATTCTATTGCAAAGTTTACATATTTTTATTTATAAATTTAAAGCAAACTTCTAAAGAAAGAAAAATTCCTACTTCTACGAAAGTTCCAGCGTACAGGGAGAGTTTCATTAGAACTAGAAATTTTTCCCGTATCTTAATATAGCTGCACGCGGGTTAATTATTTCTGTATAAATGATCAGGGAAGGACGCAACCTGGAAGAGAACGTGGCGCGCACATTAGGCTGGCTGCAGACAGAGCTGGCGGCGCTGCCGGGCCGCTTGCAGGTGTCGGCAGCACGCGCACGCTTGCAGCAGCAGCTGGAGCAGCACGAGCCGCTGTACCGCGAGCTCTCGCAGCGCGAGCACGAGATCATCATGCTGCTGGACAAGGGTCAGTGCATACACCATACATGTTGCTAGCTTTGCAGGTTCGCAAACAAGCTGATTGCAGCTGTTAGCGTCTACAGCTTGGAAAATATCCATATCTATTAATAAACAAACATTATATATTCTTTGCTACTTATGGACTTCTCTAGTAAAACGTGATATACTCTATGTTTAGGAACGTAAATAATTACGGATGCGTTCAATAATAAGATATTTAACACTGCGTTCTGATATGCAAAATTATTTTTATTTTTATTATGTTGTCATTTATATTTTCCCAGCTTTTAAAAATAAACTGAATTTATTTATTAATTTCATAGTTATACATTTTGGAAACAATATCATGTTGTTAACAATTAGCCTGTGAAAATTGATAGAACACATACAAATAATAATACATACTAACCCTTATAACCTGAATAAAACACTGTGGCATTATGACCCCGAAATCTATCTGAGAGCACAAAAACTGCTTAAGGATAACATGGTGAGTGTAGAGAACCGGAGACCCTTTTTACTGGAGACGAGGCATTCCATCTTAGTCCGCGCGGGTGACAACGCATCTGTATTTTGATTCCTAATCGAAGATAGATGTAGATGTCTATGGGCCACAGCAACTACTTACCATCAGGTGGACTGTGAGCTCGTTTGTCACCCTATACTATAAAAAAGCGCTGAAATTAAAAAAATTGTACAACCAACTTCAATATAAATAAAATGAGAACGTCATCAATGACCACATAAAAAGCACCAGCTTTCAAATTGTGGCGGCGCTGTCGTCGCGCCGCAAGTGAAACACACCGAAGCCTAAATCACGCTATCAACATTCCGAATCATAAACAGTATATGTAGAACATCTCCGAACTATCACACGGAGTGTCGGCCGCTCCCCGGGCAGAACGCCTTGCCCGGCGGGAGATCTCCCCTTTTCCTTCAACGGCCACAGTGGTGACCCCGACGTGATATGAACACGCAACCAACAACCTTCGGAAACTTCAAGCTTCATCATCGTCATAGAATACCCCACCCATTCGCTCCCGAGCAGATGTCGTCTGCAGTCTTCATATCCTGCAAGCCAGCAAGCTTCACAAGGTTCACCGCAGCACTGGAATAATAATGCTTCCTGTTTCTTAAAGCTACTCTCTGCGCTATACAGTGTTCGGCACGGCTCTGAGCCTTACTGCTCGCCTCTGCTTCACGGCACTCTCGCAGATTACTTGCCTTCTTCTCGACTCACCGCAGACTACAAGGCAATCTCCTGGCACTTGCACATTCGTTGACAACGAGACTGCACTATCGACCTCCGGTCTGAGCAGGGGGGTGATGTGGCGGCGCTGTCGTCGCACCGCAAGTGAAACACACCGAAGCCTAAATCACGCTATCAACATTCCTAATCATAAACAGTATATGTAGAACATCTCCGAACTATCACACGGAGTGTCGGCCGCTCCCCGGGCAGAACGCCTTGCCCGGCGGGAGATCTCCCCTTTTCCTTCTACGGCCACAAAATAAAAAAAGAGTCGTCAAAATCGGTTCTTCTAGAAAAAAGTTTTGAGGTACACATAAAAAATTCAATTAAACGTTATAAAATCCGAAAAAGTAGTTTTGTCCAATGACAAAAGATAAAGAAAATTAACTTTTGTATTCCATTTGTCTTCCATGTCCATTTTTCGTTTCTTATATTTAATCAATATTCGTTAGCTCTACAAGTTGAAAACAAAAACAAACAAGCAGTAATATTTAAAAACATAGAATATTTATAAAATTTCTTGTTACATACATACCCACTTTATTATCGACTCCCCTCCCTTTCCCCCTCCTCCTCTCTCCTCTCTCCTCATCCCTCCCCCCCTCCCCTCCTCCTCCTCTCACCTCCTCCCCTCCCCCTCCTCTTTCCTCCTCTCACCTCTTCCCTCCTCCCTTCTCCTTCTCCTCCTTCCTCGTCCTCCCTCCACCTCCCTGCTCCTCTGATCATAATTCTCCTCTGATTATAATCGACAAAACCTCTGATTACAATTTAAAAGATAAACGTTCTTGTCAACAGGCCGTGAGATGGAAAAGAAACCTTCCCACGAAGGTCTTCGTAAAGACCTGGATAGGATTCAGACACAGTGGGACAAGCTCAAGCGAGAAACTGTTGACAGATACACTCGCTTACAAACTGCTATGGTAAGTTCACAAATATTCAAAATGCAATCTTATGCTTAAGTCTACAAAGCTTTTTATACTAAAGACGTTTAAAAGTAAAATTCAAAACTTTAAAAAAATAACATAACTTTGTTTCTTCTTCAAAGGAACACTGTCGCAAATACAGCAAAGCGCAGGAATCCTTCTTACCTTGGCTTTCTGACACCGAGGAGCATCTGGAAAAACTTCCTCCAACTGGATTTACTAAGAAGGAAGTCGAAAAACTGCTGCGCGAACTGCAGCAAATTAGAAACGACATATGGAAGAGGTAAAATTAAAATACTTATATTTACAAATTTTTTACGTTTTCGAAACTTACAATTTTACATAATTATGTTTTTTGTTAAATTTTAAGTTTAATAGAATAAAGTAATGAATATGTTTTCTCTTGTTAGGTCTGGAGAATTCGAAAACAACAAAACTCTCGGTGAAACGTTTATTTCATCTTGCGACGTTGACCAGGAAGTGGTTAGGAAACAAATTGACAGCATGAAGGAGAGATGGGACAAAATCAATAATGGTGAGCTATGGTTAATTAAATTAGATTGTCTTGATAAAATATATCTAGATAACGAGCAATGAGAACACTTCTATTCTGCTAAAATGAATTCAAATTAAAGTCTAATTACCTGTTTTTAGTTATGTATTTCATAAGGCTCTAAATTCAGCGACCTATAAATGTAGAATTATGATTCTAATGTTGTTCATAGGGTTCTCCCATAATTGCGAATAGATTTTGTAGTCGTAATGTTCGTAGCGAGGTAAGGTAGTTGTGAGGTTAAGGAGCAAATGTCGATTTCAAAGAATAGAAAATATTAGAATAATTTCCATATAATAGCTTCTTTTAAATTGAGAATTATTATATACACTGTGGCTATTTTATGGCAATTATTTTATTTCGTTTAGTTCTTTGAAGATGGCTTTTATGTTTTATTAAAAAAATATGTGTGCAGTTTACACGCGGTAAAAAAGAAACCCTAAGAAAAGCAGACCGAGATAATAGGGAACACTGTATACAGTACAGTTTCTATCTCATTCTTTCGCATTGTATGTGTATATGCTTTTCTCTTTTTAGTGTGCTTTTTATTTTCATCGAATTTCAAATCAACGATTCTAATGACGTTTTCACTTTTTAACAATTTAACTTCCTGCCATGAAAAATGTTTCGTCTCCTTGTAAAGTAAAGCGATAAAAGTACGCGTCGCGCTGGTGGCAGAAAAGTTGTATAAGCCGTCACTAAGTGAGGGTTGTGTGTGTTGCAGTGGTGCTGCAACAGGTGGAATTCCTGGAGGCGACGGCGCGCAAGCTGGGCGAGTTCCAGGAGCGCGTGCGCGGCGTGGAGGCGCCGCTGCAGCGCTGCGAGGAGCGTCTGGCCGCCGCGCGCACTTCCTCCCCGGCAGCCGCACGGGACGCCGTGGCGCGCCTCATGGACCAGCTGCACGCGCTGCGTGCACCGCTGCAGGTACTACTATATGATACTCAACTCCATGGAGGTCAGAGAACAGGAGAATGATCGCCGTAGAAAATAGTGTCCCAGAAATATGGACATCATAAGTGAGGCACTGCAATCGCTAAGTTCGTTCAATAAAATTCATTTTCAGTCTAATTTTCTGATCAGATGCTAAACCACTTGCACATCTACGCACAATAAAATATTCCTCCATTTTTTAATGTTTTTATTTTTGTCAAAAATTAAAAAATTACGGAGCATGAAAATTTTTTCACCAATGCCGCGAAGAAAGTTGTACATTATTCAACTAACTTCATCTACTTGTACTCGTAAACAGCTAACTTCGCAGTCACTACTCACCGACATCAGCGTCGCTATAAATTTTACAATTTTCAAGGACAGGCGGGCTATGCTTTAGTACGTAGCGATCGTTCTCCTGTTCTCTAACCTCCATGCTCAACTCGCAGACCATTCACTGCTTAGTGGCGACTTAGTAACACTACTCCGAGATCCCACACGTTACTCAATATGCAGTACCGTGACTCGCGGACCTGCTGCGCGCAGCTGCAGCCAGCGCCGTTACACATTACTGATCTATGATACTATATTCACAGACCGCTCGCCGAGTAATGGCGGTGTGAGACTAATTACCCCCGTAAAACAATTGCTTATTTTCAATAATAATGGCTTAAATGACAACGTACTGATTAAATTAAATATATATTTAAAGCCATTTGCTAAATTCGATCCCCGGTGCGATCCCCGCCTGTACCGTTGAAATTTTAAGTGCATTTTAAATGCAATTTTAAATGCTGATTTTCCACATGCTACAGTGGTGATGAAATAAAACATTGTGAGGAAACATGTATTTCAGAAACAAAAAAACCTATTTCGGCCCGTAAACGAAATATTTAAAACCCTCTCAGAAGTGAGAGGAGGCCTGTGCCCAACAGTGGCATATTTTGTACATTATAGAGCAAAGTTACATTTTATCCACTCACACTCTTCACACTCCCGGGTCCCCCCACCCCCCCCCCTCCTCGCCAATGTTTATTGTGCCGCGGGACACTGTAAACATTATCCCGAATCACAGTTTTTTCCAGTTTTCAAGAAAACACGATACTTGAAAAGTGTGTACTGTGACGAAGAGTGGATAAAATGTAACTTCGCTCTACGAGTCTCGTATAAGTACATGTTCCGATAGATACAAGTACTCCATTAGTTTTGACACTTTCCATACATTATTATCTGAAATGCTTGTCACATCGCGCGGGCCAGACGCATGATATAGCCGCGGAACACAACTAGGTAAGTAATAATTATAAAACTTCTGTGGTGTGACCATAATTGTATCACGGTAACCGTGTCACGTACAATTTACGTGGTAGAGCCATGCTGCAGTTATATCAATAGTATAGTTGTAGCACGAATGGGTCGGCTCGATCGGAGAAGGACCACGCTCTCACAGAATACCAGCGTCAAATAGCAGCTTAATGCTGCTGTGTTTCGCATGGTGAGTGTAGAGAACCGGAGACCCTTTTTACTGGAAACGAGGCATTCCATCTTAGTCCTTACGGGTGACAACGCATCTGCATTTTGATTCGTAATCGAGGATAGATGTAGATGTCTATGGGCCACAGCAACCACTTACCATCAGGTGGACTGTGTGCTCATTTGTCACCCTATCCTATAAAAAAAAACTACAAGATCACTAACGATCCTACACTCCTGGCCTAGTCTCTTAACTTTAAATCGTTAAGTAATAATAACACAACGCTTTAAAGCCTAGAGTATCGTTGCAGATTAGCCGACTTCCAGGTGGTACCCGAAAATTAATGATTAACTTCTTTTAATTACTACTTGTGCCTATAAATAGCTTAATACTGTATAATTCCTAAATTTCATACCTGTGTCAAATTTCACCTTTAAGAATATAAAGAATTCTCTTTTCCTTTGTGTCAGACATAACCAGATTGATTTTAACATTAATTCCCTGTATGTAAATATGTATTTGTGTAGAAATATATTATTGTTATAGAAATATATTTCTAAATTTTCATCTATTTAAATATCCTTTTTAATCCATATTATTTTCTATTTTAGAGTGTTCACTCAGCAGCCGATGATATAATTTCCCTTGCACTTGAGTGCGGAGGAGCAGAACTGGCAAATAGAGCGCGGCCCGTATTGGAAGAGACCGCTAGAGCTCTGGCCGAACGTTTGCAACTCTTGGAAGGCCAAGCCGATGATGCTCGAGATAAACTTGCTGGTGCCACTGCTGCGCTCGCGCAGTTCCAGGTATAATGTATACTCCATGGTGATATGTTAAATATCTTAGGTAAAAGACTGGCTTCGAATATGAACGATATAAAAATATGTGAAGTTTTTTTTTTACTATTAATGTTATATCATATAATAAAAATAAAAACACTTTCTCTACAAAACATAAGATTAAATAGGAATTTTAACTAAATATCTCTGTGTTATTTAGGATAAAGTTAAGGGCGTATCCCACGACCTATCCGACTTGGAAAAGGAGCTGGACGGCATGAAAGCTCCAGGCCGCGACATAAAAACAGTCCGCCAACAACTCGATGATCTCGGACGCTTCTACAAGCGCTTGGAAAACGCAGAAGATCTTATTGCGGACACCGAAAGGGCGGCCGAGAACCTGGTCGATAGTGGACACTCCGTCGATACCTCAAAGACCCGGGATCAGGTCAGTTAATGTTCCTAGAATCAATTTTTTTTAAATTCGTCAATTTCATACCTGCATATTAATATTTATTTATTTATTCTTAGGTTGAGAGTCTACGTAAAAAGCTGGGTAAACTGGATGAACGCGCTCGTTCTAAGGAGCAAGATTTGGATGACACCTTAAGTAAACTGGAAGCCTTCTACAAGGCGTATGATTCGGTTATGGATGACGTGCAGGAGGTAAGATTACACTTAAGTTATAAGATGTAGGTTAGGTTACATATACAACCATAAATGTTTGTGTTTTCCACCAATGTTTTTTCGGTCTAGAATTCAAACCTGCGACTCAATTATTTGGGTACTCTGATTACTAAACCATATTTCCGTCGCTAATTCAATTTTTTTGACGTGACAACGTCTAATTAATCGATGAACGCCGGCTGCACGCACGAAAAAGTTTGAATCATTGGCTGCGTTTGGCAAAAAAAAGCGCTAGCAAGCGCTTGTAAGCAAAATGGCGAAACAGTTTTCGGCCAAGACACGTTTGCTAACTTCAGTAGCGCTGACACAATCCACCATTTTGCTTATTTAATTTGTTTGTTTTGAAGTAGAGTTTATAAGTTGTTTTGTGCAATATTAGTTTCAAGTAATATAATAATAAGTAGGCCGGGCCGGCCGGCTCGGCGGTCGTTCGGCTTGCTTTCTCTTTGTTTGGCTTTCGGCCGGGAAAAAAAATTTATATTTTCTTTTTTTTCTTCTCTCTCCAAAAAAAGTGATAATTCAAAAAAAATTATTCAATTTTATTCATAAGTGTATCTTTTCTGTTTTCTGAGTACGTAAATATCGTCCGTAAACCGACTTTACAGATAAACAATTTTTTTATCAGCCCACTGCTGGTCATGAGTCTCTTTCATTGTCGGAAAGATATGTCTTCACATTTGGCATTCGGATAGACGACCGTAGTACCATGTATCGCACTTTTAAAATATGCATTATCAAGATATATGCAATATGGTTATTCCGCCAACTATAAAAGGCCATGAGGTTTTTCTGGCCTTGTCTTTAACCGCCTCTTACGACATCAACCGGAAGAAATCGAGTGATAGATTCACTTACGACGCCATTAAAGACAAAACATAAAATATCAAATATGCTACGGACTAAATACATCATAATAACTTCCAAACGTTATATTTATTATTAAAAAATTGTTTGCAGGCCTCAGAACAAGTGCGTAGTCTCAAACCAGTATCGTCAGAGGTGGAACATATTCGCTCACAGCAGAAGGACTTCGCGGATCTGAAGCGACAAACCTTAGAGCCCTTGGGACAGAATGTCGCACACTGCAACAAGATCGGCCAGGGTCTGGTGCGGTCCGCGCTGCAGGGTGTCTCCACGCAACAGCTTGAGAAGGATTTGGAGAAGATGAACGACAGATGGAACGCGTTGAAGGAGAAGGTCAGTTTTATAAATAGGTACATTAAGTTTTATTATTTAAACGTAGAAAATTATAATGACAAATTACGTTTACGCTGTAAGTCTTTTTAAAAATCTTCTTTTTATAATTAAGAGTTAAAAATTTTATCATGTATTCGTTATTTATTATATTATTTCTTAACCTTTATTTATTAGTTTAGCGTTCTTATTTAAAAAAAAATGACTAAAGTAAAAAATGTTAAATTCGTTTGATAGAAAGCTAATTTTTGAATATTCAATTTGATAGAATTGAATATTTATGAAATTTAATTTTGAATATTCAATTCATTGATGAAATTTATTTTTGAATATTCAATTTTGATGAAATTTAATTTTGAATTTCAATTCATTGATAGAAATTTAATTTTGAATATTCTCATTGTGAATTATTGAAGTTCGAATCCGCCGTTCGACCACCGTATCAATATACCGATATCATGTTTATCATGTACTGCATCACTTTTAACATAAGCATTTTAAGCTTACCAGGAGTGGTTAAAGGGAATATTACTAATGTTAATAACATGACTAGTTTTTTTAATTATAATTTTCTTGGTAGAGCTACGCCTCAGCTATATTATGGTTGTAGCACGAATAGGTGGGCTCAACCGGGAGAGGACCACGCTCTAAAAGAATACCACCGTAAAATAACAGCTTAATGCTGCTGTGTTTCGTATGGTGAGTGTAGAGAACCGAAGACCCGTTTTACTGGAATCGAGGCATTCCATCTTAGTCTTCAGGGGTGACAGCGCATCTGAATTGTAATTCTTAATCGAGGTTAAATGTGGATGTCTATGGGTTACAGAATCCACTTACCATTAGGTGGACTGTGTGCTTGTTTGTCAACCCGATTCTATAATAAATATATTAAGACATTACGAAAAAAAGCGTAAAACTACATAAACAATTATATCTAAAAATGCTGCTTTTCATTCCTAAAACATTTTGTTATCATTTTTTTAATTAAAATTGACCCGATTAACTTATTAATATTATATACACAACTATTATATTATTTAGGTTAATGTTATATATTTGAATTCCGTCGTATGTTCGTCGTTCTGACGCGCACGTTCGGCTGCAGATGAACGAGCGGTCGCGGCGGTTGGACGTGGCGCTGCTGCAGTCGGGCAAGTTCGCGGAGGCGCTGGCCGGCCTGCAGCAGTGGCTGGCCGACACCGAGGACATGGTGCACCACCAGAAGCCGCCCTCCGCCGACTACAAGGTCGTCAAGGCGCAGCTCCAGGAACAAAAGGTTTCTCAACATCACATTATCAAATTATGCGCGTACCATCATTTTGATACACTAGCTGTTAGTTATTAATTATCAGATTTTTTTACATTTTGAAATAACTAATTAAAAATTAATTACGTCGTGTTTTATTTTCAGACAATCTTTGAATCGACTTTACCTTATCTCGTAAATTTTAAAAGATAATACTGAGGTATTCGAGGTAGGCAGAGACTACGGACTTCCATTTGGCATGATCCTAACATACCTCTTTCGCCTCCTTTACATCCCTATATCTACGCATACATGCTCGTCGGTTAAGGTTACTTGTAATGTAGCCCATTTTCAAAATATCGCCAATTTGGTCGATAAACTTTCTTCTAGGGGATCTCTTCCCGACTCTGCCGTTCACATCTGTCATATAAATGTGCTTTGTCATACAAAATCATATTTTTAAAAGATTAAACTTAATACTCGGAAACTTATGGCTTCTGGCATAGATGGCGTCTTTCACGTAAAAATATAGTGTAATATCAACACAGAGCAGTGTTAAATGTTCTTTACTATGAATAAACGTTGTAGTACAGAAATTGTCAATCCACTTGCCTAACATATGGCGGTTGCAGAAAATGTGCATAGAGCCCAAATATAAAATAGGATAGGATAAAAAAACCAGGATAATTACATATTGTGGGGCGTTCCACCTTGGGCCTCTATGTGAAAGGAGTGGTCTTTTGAAATTGGTTTATCATCATCACAAAATGGAGCTACCTATATATGTTTCTAGGAGATATTTGCCGTAGTTACCAAGTTTGACAGGCGGTTTAACAACCGCAGTGTTTTTTATTTCCTAGTACTCATTACAGTTTATATACTATAAATGATAAAAGAACGTTACAAACTTTATACGTACAGCTGCTGGGCACAGGAATGCATTTCTTAGTTCGTATTATGAAGACGCTACTGCCCGTCACCTTGTTTACTGCCCTCTGTCGCCTCTGATGACTGGGACAACATTGGCAAATAAATATTCTTACACCGCCACTACACGGTAGATTTTTTAATGGTTACAGATGTCTATGGGTACAAGAGTTAATCGCCAGTTGGACCGTTACATAAGTTTTCTTATATAAAAAAGACAAATCAAATTTAATAATGATGTTTCTTTCGCCTGCAGTTCCTGAAGAAGATGCTGATGGACCGGCAGAACTCTATGTCGTCTCTATTCGCGATGGGCAACGAAGTGGCGGCCGGCTGCGAGCCGGCGGAACGCAAGAGTATAGAGAAGCAGCTGAGGGGACTCATGCAGCGTTTCGACGCACTCACCGACGGGGCTCAGCAGCGCATGCTGGACCTGGAGCAAGCCATGAAGGTACTATCTATTAAATTCTTCGCATTGCGCACTAACTTTGAGTGCGTTGTGTAGGATGAATGATTATACATTTCTTGTTGAAACAAAAAACACACATTGATTCAATGAATTTTAGTATAAAGCTTAGAACAAGTAAATAAAAATTAAATAACTATAAATTGTAAAAGAACGTTACAAACTTTATGCATATACCTGCTGGGCACAGGTTTGAATTTCTTAGGGGGTTATGTAGAATGCCTTTACAATGTTTCCCTGCACCGCCGAGATCGTGGTAAATGCGGTGATGCCGGCGGGGTTCAATCCCGGGTTGGACGCGTACTGTTGATATTTACAGCAAGCACACTTGACCCCTGAGCTGCGGTTCCGGCATTCAATATGAAAAAGTTAAATGAAAGATTATACTATCTTAAATAAAAGGAGGTATTCTTTTAATTATAACAACAACCTTTTTTAATACTTTATCTCACCCCAGGTCGCGAAACAATTCCAAGAAGAACTTCAGCCTTTGGTGGAATGGCTCTCCAGCGCAGAGCACCAGGTCAAAGCTTTGGAGCTCGTGCCCACTGACGAGGAGAAGATTCAGCAAAAGATCAGAGAACACAAGGTTTGTGCCCAAACGTTAAAATTATTTAACCTTAAAATTATTTAATTTAATTCAACATCATAAAATGATGACAACTGTAATATCGACAATTTTCTAGAATAATAGAAAATCCTGAACTAATACCTTACTTAATCTTATAAAGGGTAGCTTAAGTAAGTTTTTTTTGTTGATATTTTTTAAATTTTTTTCTACTAAAACATTAACTTTCTGTAAATGACAAACTTATATAAAATGTTAAAAATTATTGTATCTTCCTTGTTAGATTCTCCATGACGACATCCTTTCTAAACAACCGGCGTTCAAGCAGCTCACTGAAACTGCCTCAACACTAATGGCTCTGGTCGGAGACGATGAGGCTACGGCCTTAGCGGATCGACTACAAGCCGGTACCGACAGGTGTGTTTATCTACTATGCATATAAAAAGCGACCTATGATTAACGCGTAACTAAATTAAAATTTTTTAGTTTTAACTAAGAGAATTGTTATATTAGCAGAATATATTACTTTGATTCTACTTATAACAAAAATTATAATACTATTTAATGATTTATATTTACGAGAACACTATAAAAAATTTCGTTTACGGATTCTATCGCATTTAATTTTGTTTTATTTCTCCACGTCCTGAGTGCGTGTCAAAATCTCTCAGTAAAATTAAACTATGAAATATATAGTCAATACTACTTATTTCTAACTCTTACCAACACCTAATACAACTGATTGTTTGCCTTGAATTATGTAATTTTTGTAACCGACTACCCCAGGAGATTAAAATTGTATATGTTTATTTCTTTGGCACATTCTTTAGCCTAAACGGCGTGATGTATTTTAATATATGGAATGTTAGTTTTGGAAGTGACATAGTGTGTTTTAATTGCTCTCTTTCCAATAAACTGTAAAGTAGAGTGTAAAGTATTTTTAATTGTTGTTATTACAATTGCGCTTCTAACAGATACCAAGCATTAGTGGACCATAGCTTGAACATCGGCGAACTTCTAGACAACTCTCGCAAAGGTCTTCGCCATCTCGTGCTGACGTACCAAGACCTATCTGCTTGGATGGATGTCATGGAACAGTACCTGGCTAAGAGGAAGGTGCTGCCGGTGCATATGGAGAAACTGCTCAGACAGATGGACGAGTTAGCAGTAAGTGATATTACTTATTACTATTATTATAGCCGATTTACACTTGGACAAGTATTGTAGCGAGTTTAGTTACAGGGCAGTTGACAGTAAACGGTTAAATGGACAGTAGCGTTTGGATGTCTTCGTAGCGAGTTTAGTTAAAAAAAAAGAACAATTTTATATTTTGAGAGTCGAACGCGAACATCTTGTGTCCTGTAAACTAATGCACTGAACTAAACTCGCTCGTTCACACGAGCGGCGAGTTTAGTTGCGGGTGGCGAGAGATGCCCGGGAGGGCAACACTTCGAACTTAACTCGCCGAAAAATAGACCGGCCAGCTATCCCGTTTAACTTAATTGTTAACTTATTACTTAACTCACAAATTGCCGTTCAAACGAGATTTTCTACTTAACTCGCCAGGTTCGCAAGTTAATTTGCTACTGTACTTGTCGAAGTGTAAATCGGTCTTTAGACTATATTACACTGATTATCCACCAAAATGTTGTTAGAAATATGTATACAGAGCCTTGGTAGCTCACATGTAGGAGGTATTTTGGATATGTTAGAGTTACGCTGCAGCATTATAGCTGCAGCACTAATGGATGAGTTCAACTGGGGAAGAACCAAGCTCTCACGAAATACAAGCGTAAAATAACAGCACAATGCTGCTGAGTTTCGTATGTAGTGTAGAGAATCTGAGACATTTTTTATTGGTAGCAAGGCGTTACATCTTGGTCCTCAGGAATGACAATTCATCTGGATTTTGTTTCTTAAACGAGCATAAATACAAAAGTGTCTGGGCCTCAACATGTGAGTCTGTGTACACCCATATGTTGCAACGAGCATTAATAATTGTTTTTTTTTACTAAACTTTTTTACATATTCTTTCATTGTCATCCGTTTCTGAGCTATGTTCAAAATTTCAATAACCTGAACAACCGTACACAAAAGCGAGTTGATTAAAACGCGGTAAAAAAGATAATTTTACTTTTATATGGCGTATTATATTATATTAATTTTCGTTGTATTTTAATATCAACAGGAGAAAACCGAGGAAATTGCGGCGAAACAGGAAGAAGTAGATAGCACAGTGGAATCTGGTTTAGAACTAATGAAGCACATCTCTGGAGACGAGGCGCTGCAGCTGAAGGACAAGCTGGACGCATTGCAGCGACGTTACAACGACCTCACGAGCCGCGGAGCAGAGCTGCTGCGCGTTGCTTCCGAAACCTTGCCGCTGGTGCAACAGTTGACAAACAGCCATACAAAGTAAGATATTAATTAATAAATTTTTAATCTCTATCTCTCTGTCTCTTTCACTCTTATTAACATTTGTATCTGTAATGTTTTTTTGCTATTAACCCCTCAGTCCCCTTAAAATTTCCATGCAGTCGCATGCGTCCGTCAAATCCCGAGCGGTCACATGCGACCGCACCCACCCACAGCTCTTTAAACCATTAAATCTATACAAAATTCTCTATATAAAAGTCAGGCTTTACTTCATTACAAAAAGACTATTATATTTTGATAACAAAAACAAAACATACCAAGCGAATGTCGGCAGCGTGAAAATCACAATTATTTCAATATATATTACTCGAAATTATTTACGTAAAAAGATAAATTATATTCACACAAAAACTTTCATTACAATTTTATAATAAGTACACTATACTAAAATACTAGAAAAATCCAAAAATCAATTTAATGACATTCACGCGAAAATGGCGTACGAAATGAACGTGGATTATAAATAAATATCCATATTATAACTGTTTTTTATTGCACTAGAGTATAGAATATTTCATATTAATTCTATAATGCCAAACTTCTTCATACAAAAGTAGTCTCTAAATATAAGTTTTAATGGTTTAAAGTGCTGTGGGTATGCGCGGTCGAATCCGACCGCTTGAATTTTAACTGAATAGCGCCGCGGTCGGATTCTACCGCTTAGATATTGAAGGGTTAAAATCGAATATAGGTATGCGATACGATAATATGGAATTACCTATTGTTAAAATAGACAACAACATCGGAATCGCCTTTAACGTACCTAATTTCTAACGACCTCTAAGTTATAGCAAGAATGATAAAGAAAGCTATATATTTATACTTACAAATTTTTCATCTTTCACAGGTTAACAGAATGGATGTCTGGTGCGGAATCGTGCTTACAATCTGTAGAACCGCGTGAAGAAGATATACTGAGATTGGAAGCTGAAATTCAGGAGTACCGACCAGTACTTGAAAACATCAATCTGATAGGACCACAGTTGTGCCAGGTAAGGAAACCCTTCAGAATTGAATGTTGTGTGTATGTGTGTTCAAAAAGTATTGTTATATGGTTATCATTATAAATTTTTACATCACCTGCCTTTTTCATTTTGAACTACAATTAGCATTCAGATGACATTTATATTAATTATGAAAGAATTGTAACCAAGCATGAGCCTTCTGGTACATTGAGGAAGAAAAAACATACAATAATTGCACACCATGTTCTTACGTTACTTAATAAGTAACGTAACATCATGATGAGCAAAAAAGAATAAGCAAAGATAATTTATTTTTAATAATTTAGTTATATTGAGAATCTACTACATCATATCATCCCGTGGGTGCCGTAAGAGGGTACAAGGCAAATAAAACAAGGGAGGGGCGGCACCACATTTTATGCGTGGTAGAGCCACGCTGCAGCTATATTATGGTTGTAGTACGAATGGGTCGTCATGACCGCGGAAGGACCACGCTCGCACTTCTGCGTCACAGAAGTGAGAGCGTGGTCCTTTATTACCAGCGTAAAATAGTAGCTTAATACTGCTGTGTTTCGTATGGTGAGTGTAGAGATCCAGAGATCCTTTTTTACTGGAAACGAAGCATTCCATCTTAGTTCTCAGAGGTGACAACGCATCTGTGTTTGATTCTTAATCGAGGATAAATGTAGATATCTATGGGCCGCAGCAGCCACTTACCATCAGGACGACGGTGTGCTCGTTGGTCATCCTTATTCTATAAAAAAATGTATAAAAAGTGCATCCCATCCCGCCTGCCGAGAGTGGTAACGAAGGCAAATATACTATGAATCAATGTATGGGTGAGGCCTCAAATTGGAAAAAGTTTGGAATTTAATAAATAAATTAAAATCTATCGAAATTCAAATCATATCCACCCTACTTTACACGGCAATAAAACAATAAATTTAGTAGGCGTATTTTATAATTTTACATTGTCAAGGGCAAAGTGCAAAATAATTGTTCAAAAAAAAATCAAACGTTTAATAAAAAAAATATATTTTTATTTTTTGTAAAATATCAGTGCCATAGGCTTTTCCTTCGTTCACATATTACACTCAAATTTTTTCTAGACGGTAATAAAGGTCATTCAGTATATAAATCTAGTCTTGAAACTACTATTCTCTTTTTTATATTAGTTTTATTTTCAATTTTATTTGCTACAAGTTTCATTTAAGTTTTTAAATGTATTGTGATAACAAAAGTAAATTTTACAGAGGTTTACTTGTATAAATTTATTGCGAAAAATATTTTTAATTTTTCTAACCAACAAATGTATGTATATTTTCTTTAGATTTCTCCTGGCGAGGGCGCCACTCATATAGAGGGCATAGTGACCCGGGACAACCGACGCTTCGATGCCATCGCTGAACAAGTACAGAGGAAGGCTGAACGAGTGTTGCTCAGCAAGAAGGTATATTTTTCATCAAAGTGTTATTTAAATAAGTTTCTAATGGTTTTCTGTTTGTATGGATTTGAATTATTATGCATTACTGTACAAGTTATATAAAATCATGAGATTAACTTAATATTTTTTTCTAAACATTATAAGAAATTCGTGATTAACAAAAATATTGCGCTAGCATTCACGTATTTAGTTTATTTATTTATAGACAGTAATTCGGGTAATATCATAATATATGCTAATGCCCATGTATGTGTTGGTGCTGCACAATGCTACCTGGCTGCATTGGACTCAAGGGAAAGGTGTGCTAAGAAGATTATTGGTGGCCTGAATGAGGTTAAAATCAAATTCACCGGTCTCGAACACAGACGCTAAGTAGCCTGCCTTTCGGTTTTCTACAGGATATATTTCGAAGAGGGTGCGCACTCTCTTCCATCATCGATCAACCAGACGCTCGGCAAGTCTCTACCCTTTCGTTATCGACTTGTCATGCATTCAAGACAATCTTCAAGGCAGGAGTGAATAGGCTTTTCAAGCCAATCGTGGGGAATAGGCTTTTCAAGCCAATCTTCAAGGCAGGAGTGAATAGGTTTTTCAAGACAATCTTCAAGGCAGGAGTGAATAGGCTTTTGTTAAGTCATAGTGCACAACGACTGGCTTAGCACGAAGAATCTGTGTTTAAGGATTTTATTATCGTGTTAATAATTTATTATTTAAACAATAGATAAGAAATTGTTCAAAATTCTAAATACATACGTCATAAACATGCAAATATCGATTGCAAGTTCTATGAGAATAATCATTGAATAGATTTATTAACGATTATACACCACCCCATCCCTACAGGAAGCTGTCAAAATTATCAAGCTAAATTTGAAAAGAGTTCAGTTTTATTGCCCGCTCGTCAGCGTTTATAGAAGTTACGGAGAATTGAACGTAACTTAGTGCATAATGTATTAGTGCCGTAATACTTACCTATTTAGTGAAGTCTGCGTGTTTTTTCTTGACCGGACTGAAGTTAGTAGTGCGGGCTGCGTAGATATTTCTATTGACGCTACGCCAGGCTGCCATAAGTACATGTGCGAATGTTTTGGAGAGTCAATTTACATCCGGCCAAGATAGAACCCGTAGACTTAAGTATAATGGAAGTGTGTAGTTTGAGTGTAGTAATAACTGTGTGGTGTTCATGTGTGGTGCAGCGGTCGCTGGAGGTGGCGGGCGACATGGAAGAGCTGGTGGAGTGGCTGCGCGCGGCCGACGCAGCGCTGCGCTCCGCGGACCCGCCGGGCGTGGCGCCGGCGCGCCTGCGCGCGCAGCTAGCGGCGCAGCGTCCGCTGGCCGAAGAGGTGGCAGCACAGCGCGTGCGCGCCCGCGACCTGCTCGCGCAGGCCAAGAAGGTACTCGCCGCACACTTACTGAGCTGTCTATTTGCTTTATTATATCCTATATCTTTAAATGAGCAATTCTTGTATATATCTATATATATAATCGGAATCTCGGAAACGGCTCCAACGATTTTCATATAATTTAGTGTCCAAGGGGTTTCGGGGGCAATAAATTGATCTAACTAGGTATTTTTAGAAAATTTTTAGGCAACTAATAACTGCTACAATATAAGAAGGTAAATTTTGACACTATATTAATGATCGTAATAGCTCAAGTGGATATCGAGGTCGTAGTGCCCTGGTTCGCGTCCTGTCTTCGGTCCGACTTTTTTCCTTTTTTTTTCAAGTTCCCTTCTTTTGTGAGAAAATCTATTATTTCGGGCACTTTATTTTAGTATTGTTTTAGAAATACGAAAATTTAAATGCACTCATGGTTTTTTATTCTAATAACCAGTTCAGTTTTTTCTGTTATGTCGGTAAGAACAAAAAATATTCTTCGTATTTTATCAGTATGTAATTTGTATATAAATATAATTTCCAAAACACAAGATTTCCAAAAAAATACCGAGCAACGTTCGGTCATCCAGGTACTAACTGCATTATGCATATTATTGCATTGTTCCTACTTTCCCACACAAAAATGACAGCATGAATTTGCATTGACATAGTTTTTAGAAAATATTAAAGCTAGCGCACTTGGCAGGTTCTCCGCGAGTGCCAGTCGAGCGAGGAGGCTGCGGTGATCCGCGAGCGCAGCGAAGAGCTACGCGAGATGATGGACGAGGTGGGCCGCCTCAGCGCCGCGCGCCTCGCCGCACTCGAGCAGGCGCTGCCGCTCGCCGAGCACTTTGCTGACACGCACCACGGGTTAGCGCACGCTCTACGTCACACAAACTATACACCACACACTACACGCTACACACCACATACACACCCATAGAATTCTATAATACATACATAATAGAACGGGGGAGTGGGCGGAGCCCGTGTAGCCACTAAAATGTAACTAACAAGTCAATTCACATGTATAAATGTCAACACGAGATGTGTTTTGACGTTACAATCGTTTCCAAATTTTGCATGCAAATTATTTAGAAAATGCCAAATTGCACGCTATTTACAAATAAATATGTATTAAAATCCGTCTGTCAACACAGCGAATCGGGTTTGTAGTAGTGATTAACTGATAATACGACGTAATTGCTTGTATGTGTGCTCCCGGCGACGCCGAATCTCGTACAAAATAAGGTTGACAGCAATTCTATTGTGTATTAAAGTATTCTATATGCACACTGCATACCAAATCCTATACACTACATAATACATACTATCAATGTGTAACAATCGTTTCATTCATGAAGATAGTTCGCAAACATTTTTAAACAAACTAACAAAATTATAATAGGTCGGGATAAAAGTTTCTTCGTATTTTGTTTGTATAAAATTGAAGAAAAATCTAAAATGGCGGTTGCACTGTTGCTTGACATTAAAAAAAAAGAAAAATAAAACAACTTCCCCGCCATTTTTCAATTGTTTTTATATCCGCCAAAATGAGTAAATCTAACGAATAAATTCGATACATATTGAAGTTTTATTACAAGAAAGAGAAAATGCGCCTCAAGCACATAGTTGATTCAAGTGGTTTTCAGTCCGGAAATTTTGATGTCAAAGATATAGCTCGCTCTGGTCGGCGTCATACAAATAAAGTCGACGCCATTTTTGAAAAGGTGAAGTAAGATTGGCACATTAGTAGTTACGACATAGCCGAGGAATTGAGAAATGATCACAAAACAGCTTTGACCCATTTTAAAAAGTCTGGCTATACGAAAAAGCTCGATATTTGAATACCACACGAGCTCACTGAAAGAAACCTACTGAATCGTATATTCATTTGCGATTCCTTATTGAAACGTAATGAAACCCAACCTTTTTTGAAAAGTATTATCACTTGTGATGAAACGTAATTAAACCGAACGATTTTTGAAAAGATTTATCACTTGTGATGAAAAGTGAAACGAAAATTGAAAAGTGAATACCTACGACAAGTACGTGCGAAAAAGATCATAGTCAAAGCGTAGTGAAGCTCCACAGACTGTAGTGAAACCCGAATTAACACGCAATAAGGTGAGTGTTTTGTGGGATTAGAAGGGCATTGTTTATTATGAGCTTTTACTGCCGGGTAAAACGATCAATTCGAATCTCTACTACCAACAGCGAATGAGACTCATGCAAGAAATTGAGAAAAAACGACCGGGATTCATCTACAAAAAAGGAGTGATCTTTCATCATGATAATGACAGACCACACACATCTTTGATCACTCAGCAAAAATTAAGAGAACTTGGTTGGGAAGTGTTGATGCGTTCATCATATAGTCCTGACCTTGCACCCTTAGATTTTCACCTGTTTTGGTCTCTTCAGAATTCTTAGGGTAGTGTTAGGTTAACAGCAAGGACTGTCAAAACTACTTGTCGCATTTTTTTACTGCAGCAACGGGATTATGTCACTACCTACAAGGTAGCAACAAGTTATCGAACAAAATGGCACATATATTTTTTAATTAAATGATATGAAAAAAATGTCTTAAATTTGTATATAAAATACGAAAAAACTTTTTCCCCGACCTATTATTAACTGTAGCTTGTTCATATTATCAATAAACCTTTGTGTGTCATAATTGTATTGTGTGTAGTAATTGTAAAAGTATTTAAAAAAATTGTAAATTATAAAATAATTTTGGCAATACCTATCTTAAATGCAAGTGCAACAACAACTCTTGTAACGCAACTTTTGTAATGAGTTATTAATTATAATTTTTAACACTTATTTTATTGCTCTTTGCCCAAAGATTGTCATCATGGCTAGACGAGATGGAAGATCAAATCCAGATGCTGGCTATGCCTGCGCTACGCCCCGAGCAGATCGTTCAGCAGCAAGACAAAAATGAGGTAACTATACATCGACAGATTCATAAAATGTTTGATCTAAAAATAATTAAATCTATTTTTCATACTCTGAGAGAGTACCAAAAGTAGACCGTATTATTTCTATTTCTCTTTCTCCTGCTTCACGAATCATAAATGAACATTTTGATTGTTTAACTATTGTGTCTATATCGCGGACAGGGAAACTGTTTAGTCTTTATATTTCATTGCAGTCCTGATATAAATATACTTATTGCATTAATTGGCATCGGAAAATATTTCTATATGTCACCATTTAAATTATTACGTTTAGAAAACTTTTACGTTTAAATACATTTAAACGTAAGCTTGAGGCGTATTATTTAAAATTACTTGATTAATTTTATTGATTATGTTTATTATAATTTCATATACTATATTTGTACGCTTTATTGGTTTAGTATATATTTTATTTAAATATGTATGTATGTATATATGTGTATACTCGACTCGACGACTTCCAGCCTCCCGAACAAGCCGGTTTCCGAAAAGGCTTCAGTACCATAGACCACATACATACCCTTCGGCAAATTGTACAGAAGTCCGAAGAGTACAATCTGCCACTTTGCCTGGCGTATGTGGACTATGAAAAAGCCTTTGATTCCGTCGAAATTTGGGCGGTGCTACAGTCTCTTCAGCGGTGCCTAGTTGACTGTCGGTATATTGAAGTACTGAAGTGTTTGTACAGTAGGGCTACGATGGCTATCCGAGTACAGAACCAGAGTACGAAACCTATCCAACTGCAGAGAGGTGTAAGACAGGGTGATGTTATATCCCCGAAACTCTTCACCGCTGCGTTGGAAAACGTTTTCAAGCTACTGGACTGGAAAGGATACGGTATTAACATCAATGGCGAGTACATCACTCACCTTCGATTTGCCGACGATATAGTCCTTATGGCAGAATCGCTGGAGGACCTTAGCACTATGCTCAATGACCTCAATGGTGCCTCCCAACGGATAGGTCTTAAGATGAACATGGACAAAACAAAGATCATGTTTAATGTCCATGTCACACCTATGCCGGTAGTTGTTGGGAGCACTATGCTCGAAGTTGTTGACGAGTACGTTTACCTGGGACAAATAGTCCGACTAGGTAAGTCCAACTTCGACCGAGAGGTCAATCGACGGATTCAACTCGGCTGGGCAGCGTTCGGGAAATTACGACACATCTTCTCGTCAGGTATACCTCAATCTCTGAAAACTAAAGTGTATAACCAGTGCGTGTTGCCAGTGATGACTTACGGATCTGAGACGTGGTCCTTCACCGCTGGCCGTATGAGGACGCTCAAGGTCGCTCAGCGAGCTATGGAGAGGGATATGCTCGGAGTTTCACTGCGTGATAGACTCAGAAATGAGGATATCCGCAGTAAAACCAGAGTGACCGACATAGCCCAACGGATTAGTAAGCTGAAGTGGCAATGGGTCGGCCATATAGCTCGAAGAACCGATAACCGATGGGGAAGAAAGGTTCTCGAGTGGCAGCCTCGTACCGGTAGGCGTAGTGTAGGGCGGCCCCCCACTAGATGGAGTGAAGACCTGGTAAGACATGCAGGAAGTCGATGGATGCAGGTGGCTCAGGACCGTGCTTTGTGGCATTACTTGGGGGAGGCCTATGTTCAGCAGTGGACTTCTGAATGGCTGTAATGATGATGATGATGTGTATATATTTATGTGTGTATAAGTGTATATATGTGTATAAACTAACATATACATAATATTATATAATAAGTTTTGAATAGTATGAAGAAATAAGTGAGTTTTTTTTCTCTCGCGGCTCTACACATAGCTCTCACCACACTTCAAAAGGTTAGCTGGCAGAGAATGCCTTTTCGGCATTAAGTTCGCCTTTGTACCAAATTGTTTTGTTCGAGAGCAATAAAGAATTTTCTATCCATCTATCTATCTAACCACAACCACTTTTTATGATTAAATATACGAAACATCAAGCCTAACTCCGTTTAGCCACGTATTTATATTAATTAAATAACTTTTCTCTCGAAGTTGCTGCAACAATCGATCGCCGGGCACAAGCCGCTGGTAGACAAACTAATGAAGACTGGTGAAGCGTTGTCCAAACTCTGCGGAGAGGAGGACGCGTCCAAACTACAGGACATAGTGGAGACTGACTGCGAACGGTACAACGCCTTGCGAGCGGAGCTGAGGCAGCGTCAACAAGAATTAGAACAGGTTGGTGGAATATAAAACCTTATACCGTAACACTTAAAGTTCAATTTGTAATTCCAAAATATCTCATTAAATACTTCCTCATTAATTACTTCCAAAATATCTCATTACACACAGTGCTACATGTAATTGCAAAATATTTCTAGACAAATGGGTTTCAACTCTAAACATTACATGGACTAAAATATCCTTATCAGTGAAATTTAATAGGTATTTATATGTTTTATATGGCCCTAGAATACTTGTTACCCTTGCTTAGCTGTGAAAGTACCCAACTATCAAATTTCGGGTCTTTGATTCGCAAAAATCAGCCAAAATCGACATTTGAATAGTAACTAAGTTATATACGTGTTTATATGTAGCATTCTAATATCACGTGCTTACGTTAATCACTTCTGGCAGTCTTCGAAAACTGTTGTCGAGGTTAAAATTATATATAACATTATCAGATGATACCCGCAACATCTTATTAATTTTACTTCCCTATAAATATTCTCCTTAATTAGATGTTCTCAGCGAGAAAAAAAACGTTTCAATTTTTTTTTATTTACGTCTGAAATAAAAATAACAATTTTGCAACAAAATGTCTGGTAATTAATTATAATCATAGAATACTAATCAATAATACATACACAATAGAACGGGGGAGTGGGCGGAGCCCGTGTAGCCACTAAAATGTAACTAACATTTTAATTCACACGTATAACTATCAACACGAGATGTGTTTTGACGTTACAATCGTTTCCTAGTTTCGCATGCAAATTATTTAGAAAATGCCAAATTACACACTATTTACAAATAAATATGTATTAAAATTTTAAACTATTTTTTTAATGATGGTCTTGAACATTAATCAAAAGTCTAAAATGTATATTTACTCAGTCTGTCAACACAGCGAATCGGGTTTGTAGTAGTGATAATACGATGTAATTGCTTGTATATGTGCTCCCGGCGACGCCGACCCTCGTACAAAATAAGGTTGACAGCCATTGTTTTATTGTGTATTATATTATATTATATATTGTGTATTATAGTATTCTATGATTGTAATAATCTATTAACCTTTAGACTTGATTTATTTTTGCTCACAGGCGTTACAAGAGTCATCGCAGTTCTCAGACAAGTTGGAAGGGATGCTGCGTGCTCTAGCCGGCACCGCAGATCAACTGCATCACGCCGAGCCAGTGTCCGCCCACCCGCCTAAGATACAGTCAGTGTTGCACTTATAACTCTCTATTCCTTTTTTATTTTACTATCGTTTGAAGAAGATCAATAATTTATTTTTAATTAATTATTATATATATTTTTTTATTTTAGGGACCAAATCGAGGAGAACAATGCCCTATCTGAGGACCTGGACAAGCGACAGGAGGCGTACAACGCAGTGCAGCGCGCCGCCACTGATGTCATCAGCAAGGCCAACAAGAGCGACCCGGCTGTCAGAGACATACGCAACAAGCTCGACAAGCTCAACAAGTTAGTTTTTCTTTTTAAATAACGTTGTCTACTGCAGCGGCAGCTCGTAGCTACTGGCAAACTACTTCTCACAAAGCAGATGATAGATACACTAAGAGATTATAGATAGATTTTATATAAGTAAGATACCTGCCAATAATTGCCTTTGGCACCCACGAGAATGCCACTTGGCATTAAGTCCGCCCTACATATACTTAACTTTAAGGTAATTTAAAATTTTGCTCTAAAAGAAATATATATTTGTTGTCTATCGTGAGGACTAAAATAAAAACTTCACAGATTGTTATTAAAAATGTCTATACTAAAAGGTTTTGTTTTTAAATTTTTGCTTTGTTCGTATGATTATTATAAACACCAATTTACTACTAATGTTGACGTCGTATAGTAGGCTGAATAATTCGCTGCCTTTGTCTAAAAAAGTAATAAGAAACACAAAAATTGATATTTAATATTTTACATAGATGACATGGTTGTTCTTTATATTGGCCAAACATGTTTTGCTATAATTTGAACTTGAAGCCACTTACACGGCTTAGGACTGTTTTCGGTGACATTCTTTTGGAGGAGCCTATATTCAATAATGGACTAGATGAGGGACTGTAATGATGATGATGATGATGACGATAGCCCATAGACTGTGGATAGCTCTCGTTTGCTCCCCGTTTAAATAGTATTATTTTGTTCTTGCTCGTAAAGCATGCTTTTATTTCTATGTGGTTTTTATAAAGGCAGTTATTTATCGTGTTCTTCTTAAAATAAACTTTTGTCGCGGATGAATTCATGACTGTTGATGAAGAAGTGTATATCTAATTACGCAAATTGCGTGGCAGGTTATGGGACGACGTGCAGAAGGCGACGAGCGCCCGCGGGTCATCACTGGAGAGCGCTCTGGAATGCGCGCGACGCTTCTGGCAGCAGCTGCACGCCGTCATGCGCACGCTGGCGGAGCTGGAGGACGCGCTCGGTGCGCAGCCGCCGCCCGCCGCCCAGCCGCGCGCCATACAGCTGCAGCAGGTGGCGCTGCAGGAGATCCGCCACGAGATCGACCACACCAAGCCCGAGGTACGTACCGCTAGCAGTAGCAGCACGTCGAGCTCAGCTGTAGGTGTCCTGCTGCTTGGCAGCAGAAATCATCAGAACGGAGGAAAACCATGCCTGACAGCCTTCTTGACATAAAACCCACTACACACCCTTAACACACTTTAAGACTAATATTACATTTTAATGTCTTGCTAGGTTGAGAAAGTCCGCAAGACCGGTTCGACTCTCATGTCGATTTGTGGCGAACCCGACAAACCTGAGGTGAAGAAACACATGGAAGATCTGGACAACGCATGGGACAATATCACAGCGCTGTACGCTAGAAGAGAAGAGAATCTCATCGACGCCATGGAGAAAGCCATGGAGTTCCACGACACATTACAGGTAAATTGCTTTGGCTATTAAAGTTAATTAACAGCTTATCCGACATGCTCGTTTGCCCCCTCTTCTATAAAAGAAATTGGTTGACCCTGCAGACCATCCCTGGAACTTCCCACTAATTTCAAATGCAAAGCGCTCCAAATTTTACCAAATTATGACGTTGAATATGAAATATCGAAGTAATTTAAAAAAAATCAATATTTAAAAAATTTTCTTCTTCGGTATCTCATGAACGGATAGATCGATTTTCCAAACGGCATTCGATGTCATTTTTTGAGGTAAAGAGCTGATTAGTTTTAGAAATCGATCGGTAAAGCCGTTTAAAAGTTATTCCAAAAAAAGAGTTTTTAATTTTTATTTTTGAGATTTCTCAAAGTCTACTCGTCCGAATCAGTCCATATTATCACCAAATCTATTCCAGATTGAGATCTTTAGAACGCCGTAAACCGCATCTCAATCGATCAAGATGTTCAAAAGTTATGAAAGGTTTACATACTTACACACACGTATACATACATACGTCCGTTCAGACGTCTTCGTGAAATTAGTCATAATAGCTTCCTGGGATCTCAAAACGTCGAGATCTGATGAAAACTCGATTTTCGAAAATCGGGGTGAAACCAATAACTTCCCATTTTTGTAAGTTTTCAATTTTCTTGGCGGGAAGTTAAAAAAAAATCTTAAAATCTTCCCTTTAAAATTTTCTTCATTAGCCTGATTTTATATTTCCGAGCCAAAACTACTATAACATGTTTTTTTAAGATTTCAAAACTAATTGAAGACTTGCACCTGACTCAGTAATATCTTTTGATCCATGAAGCTATGTACCATCTATCAGTTTCCTAAACATGTTTTTTCTCCAGAATCTCCAAGAGTTCCTGGACTCAGCCGAGGACAAATTCTCCAATATGGGTGCCCTGGGCTCCGACATTGACGGGGTCAAACGTCAGATCGCACAACTTGCTACCTTCAAACAGGAGGTCGATCCGCACATGGTCAAAGTAGAGGCCTTGAACAGGTATGTGATAGTTTCAATCTGCTAACTACAGTTTTATCCTATGTCCTACATAGATTTAATTATTATCAATGAAATTCCCTCCATAACAATGGATCAAATTTGGACTTTGATTTCTTATATTTACGCGAACGCTACACATTAAATGAAACTAATTTTTACGGATTTTATCGCGTTTAATTCACGACGTTTCGGGTGCTTTACGTCCCGATTTCCTTAACTTCAGTCAACTTTGTCTATCTAGAAATTAGCATTAATTAAAACCGTATATTGTGGATAAAGGAATACGCCCATTCTTGGATATAGTTGTTTCTTCAATAAAATTAATACAAAAAACACGGGCGGTCTTATTTAATAACTAAAATATAATATTGCAATTGCTTATTTTCGTTTTTAAAACTCCGGAACATCAAGATGAAACAAAAAGGCGATAAATTATACGAGAGACTTTGCTTTTTTCATTTATTGTGACGTTAGTTACATGACTTTCAGCTATTATCCTATAGGTAACGTTTAACAAACAGAAAATAATCTAGATTAATTTTGTTTTATGTCGCTGCTTACTAAAAATCTCCATATTTTATATTCCTTGATTTTTTTTAAATATAATTCCTTTAGTCCTTAGTGGTTGAAGCACTTCAATTGAAGCTGAGGCTACACCTAGTCTACTAAAGTGCGCGAGAGTAAGTAACGCGTGATGAGTTAGTATTGCCTGACCCTTAAGGCCAAAAGAATTTGTGATTTCTAAAGTTGTTAAACTCTTTATTTTAAGTTACTTTACTTTTTGTTATTTCTTAATTTTTACCCGTAATTTTAAATGTTGTTAAGATAAAAGACTAAGTGTTGCTTTAACTTTAATTTTCCATTTATAAGTTGATTATAACAAAGGGATATCTCTTATTTTGGGTATACTTGGTAACATTTAATATAATTAAGAATTTCCCCTGTGAATTTTAACTTTGTAACAAGGTGAAGTGAGTCTTATGAATTGTGCACTAATATTATATTTTTCTTTGCACCCCACCCGCCACCGAATCACCATTGCAGGAGTCTAATGAGGCAAGGACATGAATTTTTAGTTTCTCAGTGTGCAGCTTGTGTTACGTAGTTTTCTATTAAATGTAAACTCTGTCTTCTTCTTGATGAACCTTTGCACAAATAGTGTTATATAATAATTCTGGTTAAACGTAATATAGATACTGAATTCAATATGATGATTTTTATAAAAGTATGTTTACGCTATTGCATTGACAGCACTGCTACATGGTCCTCTGACTTGATCACTAATAATTCAAATCAATTTAAAAAAAACCTATGTTTATCATAGAACACAAACCCTATAATATAATTACTCAAGTGACCATGCATCAATAAGGGTAGCGGTATCTAGTTAAAGAAAAATTAAAGCGGTATATAATTAAAATATTTTGTGGGGGAAATGTAGTAATTATTCTGAAATTCAACATTTAATCTGTAATCTGAACTTGATCGCGAAACCCATATTTTGAAATTCGTCCATTAGTGTGCAAAGGTTTAAAATGTTTCGATAGTCCTTCATTGTAGTTACAGCGTAGTTTCGTTAATGCATTTCGCTTGTATTTTGTCCAATGTTATCTTCTAGCACTTCTCTCATACTATTTCTAACAAACTGAAGCGTGTTCATAATCATCAGCAAAATATATTTAAATTGGTGCAGACGAGAAATGCAATGATATAAACACGTTTCTGCTTTTATGTTTATTTTTAACAGTATCTTATGATCAGTTTTAATTTAACATAGTATTGCTTGCGAATTATACATTTTTTTAAATTTGTTTTTCCTTTTATGGCAAATATATATTTATATTATGGAATTCTTTTTTCTAGAGAAATTTTAATAGTATACCTACCGATTAATTAATTTTTTAATCGGTACACAATAGTATATTTTTATTTAATAATTTGTATTTTACATTGCCATATTAGTGCAGTTGAAAAATCTAATTAAGTATTTATTAATTAATAATTGAACTAAGTTATACAAATATAATTCAACCCGTCATTGAATCAATTTCGAGATATCCAATGTTATATATAATATATAATATCCATTATATACAAAAGTATAAATAATGGTTAATTAAAGTGTTTCATAGACAATTTTGAGCTTAAACTTAAACTTCACAATGTTAAAGTTTGTGTAATATAGTCTTGACTGAAATTCTGACATTTTGGAGTTTGAGATTGACTCTGAATATTGGTGGTGTAACCCCCCCTTCCCCTGGTGTCGCCGTGCAGGCAGGCGCAGGAGCTGACGGAGCGCACGTCCGCGGAGCAAGCAGCGGCAATCAAGCAGCCGCTGACGGAGGTGAACGCGCGCTGGTCGGCGCTGCTGCGCGGCATGGTGGAGCGCCAGCAGCAGCTGGAGCGCGCGCTGCTGCGCCTGGGCCAGCTGCAGCACGCGCTGCGCGATCTGCTGGCCTGGCTGCAGCGCACCGCCGACACGCTGGATGCGTTGCACCCGGTCAGTGCACACACCCACACACATACACCAACACCCGTACCGCACGCTGACTTCTGCTGCAGCCTTAGTGCTGCCATTCCATTTTACTCCTCAAAGATCACTTGAATACGTCTTTTAATTTGTTTCCATAATGGGAGGCAATTCAGAAATCTGATGATAACAAAATCTGTAAATATAATCATCTACATCCAAAATTTAATTACACCATTCGATAGCTAAAAGATTTTTAATTCGTTACGTTGTGTGAGGACTGCGACGCATCAAACGCGGTGGCGCTATTGTGAGGTCGTTTCGTTACGTACAAGTATTCACGTGTATATTTATAACACAATTACTCACGGTCGTATTCACAACACAGCGACACATCCTAATTTTTATTCTTCATCTAAGGTGTATGTTGACCACAGCATCCACTTACCATCAGGTGGACAGTTTACTCGTTTATAAGATGCCGATACCAAGTAAATACTGGAGTATTGCAAATATCACATCTGAGGACTAACATGGAACGCCTCGTTACCAGTAAAAAGGAACTCCGGTTCTCGTCACTCACAATACGAAAAGCAACTAACTGCTATCTTATGCTGGCGTTGTATCTTATGCTTGCAATTATATATCTTTTTTTCCTAATTTTTATCAACAATGGATAAATTTTACTTTTATTTCATTAGAACACATACAATATAATAAAAACTATTTTCACATTAATGAACGTACTGATTGTTTGCAGGTGGCGGGTGAGCCGCAGATCCTAGAAGTGGAGCTGGCCAAATTGAAGGTGCTGGTGAACGACATCGCGGCCCACCAGGCCAGCGTCGACACCATCAACGACGCGGGCGCGCACATCGTGCAGCACGGTACGCCATCACGTGCACGCACACATGCGCACACACACTCGAACGTACCCACACACACACACGCACCTACACGCGCTCCATGTCTATACATGCACGCACGCTCACATGTACTCACACTAATATGCGTGCGTGCCAAACCTACTTCCCCATTTCTAATCTCAGTTTCCTTTATATTTCATATCCCTACTTTCCTTACTCTTAACCTATACGAGTAATTTCCGTTGGTTCCTTTACCCCTTTTTCTCGACCTTTTCCTACGTTCTCATCTATCTACATCCGGAAAAAGTTAGTTTTGTGAAAATGTTTGAGCTTACCGTATATATTGTATATGGTACCGTCAACTATTTTCAATTATTTCAATTTAATTGTTTTCTGCTTTATACAACGTTTAATTTATTAAATTAATTACAAATATAAAAATGTTTATATTTTTGTAAAGACAAAAAATGAAACTATATTAACTGATATATTTCTAAACATTATTATGAACGTCTTTAGGCAGCGAAGAGGCGGGAGAGACTGCTGAAAAGCTGGCAACACTGAACAAGCAGTGGCGCACACTGCAACAAAAAGCTAGAGACCGACAAACCGAACTCGAAGATGCGCTTCGAGAGGCACAAAGGTAATTAATTTAAATATTCGTTTAAATACAATATTTTGCTTATATATAGTCTGTTAAGATCACAACATACTTGGATTATACTCAAAGGTTGATTACCAAAAAAAGTTTTATAGTGAAAACACTTTATACAAACAAAACAGAAGTAAGCGACAGTAGCAGTAAGTGGCAACAGAAAAGTTTATTGACCAAGTTGTCGAATATTCTAAAAGCTGGGCCAAATAAACTTGACTTATCTTAAAAATTACAACGTTGAACCGACGATCATATACATGGATGTAAAATATATTTTAACGATATGCTTATTACAGCTTTAACGCGGAGATCGGCGACTTACTTTCATGGCTGTCGGAGGTTGATGCTGTGATTGCGGCTTCGAAACCTGTGGGAGGACTTCCAGAGACCGCTACAGAACAACTAGAGAGGTTTATGGTTAGTCACTGAACTGTTTATGGTAGAACTAAGCGCGGGACTTCACTTGAACTTTAAAATTGAACTATGTTGGTCGTCAAATTTTATCATAGTAGCTTTTTTTAAATTGTAAACATTATTATTTATTGCATACATTACAATTTTATCAGTATACATTTATAATCATTAGATTGAATTAATTATCAGTTTTACAAAGCAAACAATTTCGGCATATGTAAGCTAAAACAGGCGGTAAAATTAAAAATTTTGTGCAACCGACTTCGATATAAATAAAACGAGAACAACATCAATGTATTCGAAGTCAATAAAATACGCGTTATCAAGGATAACTCAAAAACTACTCGTCAGATCTTTATTAAATTTACATGGGACCGCACGAGAAGCACTAGTTTTCAAATAAAAAAGAATAATCAAAATCGGTTCACCCAGAAAAACACATAAAAAACATACGGTCGAGATCAGTACCCTCCTTTTTAACCTCCTTTTTGAATTCGGTTGAAAAAAAATTATATAAATATAAAAAATTTAAACTATTATTATTTGTAGTAATTTATTTTTCTAACTGTCTGATTCTTCAATACTTTTAAGCACTATTTTTTTTTCTGATAAACAGGAAGTTTACAACGAAATCGAAGCCAACCGGCCTAAGATGGAGGCTGTGCTGCAACAAGGCCAGGAGTACCTGAAGCGGCAGGAGAAGCCAAACCCAACATCGCAGCTACATCACAACCTCAAGAACTTGAAGTCCAGATGGGATAATGTCACTTCTAGGTAAACACGTAGCACCTAGCCAACTAACGACAGTAACCACACTGCAAAGTTGATGTATTGCTAACGATGCAATTATATATTATTTAGGGCCTCGGATAAGAAGATCAAATTGGAAATAGCTCTGAAAGAAGCAACGGAATTCCACGACGCATTACAATCGTTTGTGGACTGGTTGACGAGCGCAGAGAAGACCTTGACCTCCGCCAAACCTGTATCCAGGGTCATGGAGACACTGCTAAGTAAGCAATCGCTTTTTTATATTTCAAATAGACTTGCAATAAATGTTAATGCTGTATAGGTACCCAAGTCACATTAAAACAGGTGGATTGTTTGCTCACTTATATGTATATCTCTTTCTCTATCTTTTTTCTTTCTTTCTTCAAACGTTATGATATTTTACTTATTATCGTTTTCTTTAGCCCAAATTGAAGAGCACAAATCCTTCCAAAAAGAAGTCTCAACGCACCGCGAGACGATGCTCCAACTGGACAAGAAGGGAACCCACCTCAAGTACTTCAGCCAAAAGCAGGACGTGATCCTCATCAAGAACCTGCTGGTGTCTGTGCAGCATCGCTGGGAGAGAGTCGTCTCCAAGGCAGCCGAGAGGACCAGGGCCTTGGACCACGGCTTCAAAGAGGCCAAGGAGTTTAGTGAGATGTGGTGAGTAACATTAGCCATTCATTTCCACTTCAGCTTACTGATTAATTTGGCTACGTTGGTTGCTCTAGTTCTATTTCGGGTATCTTCATTACGGAAGGTATCACTTTCCAAAGCTCGCTGAGGAACTTTGGGCATCCTCTTACGGTCAGGAACAGTTGTAGAGCCGAAATCTACGAGTAACATTGTATTTTTGCAAAGATCAAAATATAAAAATGTATTTTCTTACGAGACATGAACTCAGGACCTTCGATTTCCCAATATTCTAAGCTCGCAATAGGAAAAATCTTAACAACTTCCCTGTCCCTTGAGTCATAATACATGAACATTTCGATTGTTTTTCAATAGTGTCCATTTGTCGAACAAAGAAACTTTGTCGTTTGTTATTTTGTACGCTTACACAAAAAAAACTATAATTATTTGCCAACATGTCCTGTTTCTTCAAAGAAAGAGTAAATAGGCTCTTGTTAAACTGAGTCAGCGTATTTTACCATCCTCGGCTTGATAAAAGTCAAGCAGTAGCTGAAAAAGAAAACTGTTAAAGACGTAAATAATTGAAAGTGGGATTTTTAACTCTATATTTTTTATAGGAACAACTTAATGAACTGGCTATCGGAGACCGACCAGCAACTTGACCAGCTCAACTCTGAAGCCATCGTCAACGACCCAGAGAAGATCAAACAGAGGTACAGTGTTTGTACAGTGTGAATAATAATTCATATGTTTCAAAATTGTATCATATCGCTATGTTATCCTGGTGTAAAGACCATACTACCATATCACTTTAGGAGGCGATAATTCATCTCTTTTAAAATAAGTATGGAACGCCCTTCGATTAAAAGAATACTATATTATTGACTAAATCTACTTTTACGGATTTTATCGCGTTTATTTTTACTTTTTATTTACTTTTATTTTTAATTCCCGACGTTTCGGGCGCTTTCCAGCACCCATGGTCACGGGGGGACTGAGATGACTGACGTCCCGATGTCATTGTTAAACCCGGAGTACCTTCAGCTTTTTTAATTATTGTTTATGGTCCGATCTATGCAAAATGAACTATGTCCTGAGGTCTTGCAGTGGTATGCTTGGGTTTAGTTTTAATTTTATTGATTATAGGATCCCAAGCAGGTAGTAGTACCCAGCCTCCTTCTCTATTGAAATTAGGATGTTTTTTAATTTGTTAATTTCAATAGCCTCACGTATCATCCTTGGTAGGAATCGGTGTTCTTTCGCGAGGATTTGTGGTCTATCAAATCTGATGTAATGGTTGGGTTACAATATAATAATTATCAACTTTAGTACTATTAACTATCCATCTCGTAATATTTTTGCAAATATGAATTTGTCCACAGATTAAACAAACATCGTGAGTTCCAAAAGGCTTTGGCCGCTAAACAGCCCGCTTACGATCTAACTACGAAGACCGGCAAGAACCTGAAAGATAAAGCACCGAAGACCGATGAACCCACGCTCAAGACCATGCTCGCAGATCTCAAGTCCAAGTGGACTACAGTTTGCTCTAAGGCAGTTGAAAGGTAATTATCTTATGCGCCCTATTTAAAAGTAACATTGTATACCCAGTTTGTTTACGCAGCAATTGATCTATTTTTGCACACACCAAAACAAGAAATAAGAGAGAAAAGTACAATGGGCAGTCTTATTGCTAAAAGCTATGTCTTCCATATTGTGAAGCGACAGAAATCTTATTTTTAAATCTTGATTTATAACGTTCTCGGCGATAAAGTAGAACCTCTTGAGGAAATCCCTTATTATTTCTGCCTCTAAGCAACAATTAGTGTACGGCAGTGTTCGGGCCTGTGTATGGTAAAGGGAGAGGTAATATAATTAAGCTCTGTGAGGCTTTTCATCTTAATCCTCAGAGGTGCTAACGCATCTGTAGCCTTCACTTACCATCAGGTGGGCTGTAAATTCTATTATCACTTAAGTTTTGTAAAAAAAGCTCGTATTTGAGAAACACTTCGAGGCATTTGATGTCCTCCAAAAACCACGTAACCATGTAACAAATAAAAGTCTCATATACACATATAAGTGAACTCACGACGGTTACATTATTTGTTATCTGCTATAATAAGATACTCTAAAGTTACATCTTAAATGTGTTTGGTTTAAATAAACAAATTCACACAGAGGAAACGCGACAAATTTTTCCCCGTTTTAAAAACCCTCTCAGCCAGCCTTGGAACGTATATATGTCATTTCTTTAATGAAATACCTATAGATTTTAAATAAACTTAAGTATTTCTAGCACCTTATGATGGCTCGAAGGACCATTTATTCCATCGCGTTATCATTTAACATTATTAAGATCCATGCGTAACAAAGGCGCTTTGTGAGCTTACAGTGATGTTCTCAATATTTCAACAGACAAAGGCGACTGGAAGAAGCACTGCTGTATTCTGGTCAGTTCAAGGACGCCATGTCGGCTCTGCTCGACTGGCTGAAGAAGCAGGAGAAGCAGTTGTCAGGAGACTCACCCGTGCATGGTGATCTCGACACTGTGATGGCTTTGATAGAACAGCACAAGGTGAGACACGGAGATAACGTAAATACACTTCATTTGATTGTTGTGTTTTTAAATTATATTTAAGAAAACAGCGAGATATCAGGTCGCTTCTACTTTTTTCTTTACATATAAAGGAAAAAATACTACTATCACAGTATAAAGACCTTACAGTTGGAAAACAAATGTGTGCAGAGCAATGGGGCGGCCAACTTGTGCTAGCGCACTTCACTGGGTTTGAATTGGATAGACAATACATGCGGTTGGCGCGAGCGTGTTTTATAGTACTTGTTTAACTAATTTTAAATGCCGTTTTCGAAAAATATAATATCTATGATGGTGAAATACTGTCATAGTGATATGAGTTACTAAGTAAAATTGAATTCAAATGACGGCCATGCTTATGTTTCTCTCATTTTTTTTTGGTAAAATTGTTTATCCGAGTGGCAATACACTACATAATTAAATTTAATAATCGCAAACTGAATACATCTATAAAATATAGGAGCCACAAAAATATTTGACAGCGCAATACTTGTAAATGTATTTTTTCTTTTGGTAGTAAAAAATTATTTTGTTCAATAATTTAAACATTTAAGTATGTAGATAAGGTTAATAAATGATAATGAGCATTATATATCCAAAACTATTTTAATTCCATCTTTGTGACAACCCCTAGCATACACGCTGCCGCGTACATATAAATAAAATTACCCATTAATTAATTAATAAAATTATAAATAAAATATTATTACGCGACATCGTCTGACATCAAAGGCGTTGCACAACAGTGAGGTCTTTAAACTGTGCTATTATTAAGGACGATGATATCAAATACTAAAATTGCTTCCATTTATCATTAACTTTTAGTGTATGTAACTTAAATTTGAATAAAGTATATTACATCAACATTTTTTCCTTTAGCAATTCGAAGAAGATCTACATTCACGGGAGCAACAAATGCAATCTGTTATGAAGACCGGCAAAGATTTAGAAGCAACGGTAAGTAAAAGCTATATTTTGTCTATTTTTTAAACACATTTTGAAGATAATCATGTAAAATACACTTTCATTAACAGTATTAGAGATTAAATTTTATTATCATGCTTTAGGTTCCGGTGGAAGATGCCTCCAACATCAAGCAGCAATGCAGTGAACTTAAACAAGCTTGGGACGCGGTTCAAAGCCTAAGTGAGAAGAAGTCGCAAAAACTTGAAATTGCACTTAAAGAGGTAAGTCATGCAGTATATTTTAGCCAAATTACATACACAAAATTTTTGATTAAGTATATTTTATAAATTAAATTGTTAGTTTTCCTTCGTCCTTCTTTGATAAATAATCAAATCGTTGAGAAAATCGAATCTACGTAGAATATTTATCAAATTAATAAAATGCACCAAATATTACAATTTGTAAATAAAAGTGAATCTTAAGGTGCATTAATAAAAAATTGTGCATATAACTGTGTCCACACGTACAAAATGGAATTGCGTTTTGACATATCATTCTCGTTTTATTTTATTACTGATGCAGCTCCGTCGGCGATACAAGAAAACGTGACTTTTTTTTTAACCGTACTAAATTTGTCCACTACTTCGATAAAGAAGTTTCACTTCAGTAAATATGAAAATTTGTAAAAAGTTCAAGGTAATAATATAAATATGGTGTTACATAATACATAAAGTTAAGAGAGGATGGCGAGAATGCATGTATTTTGGGACCCACTGATGGAGGAGTAGCGTTCATCATGGGAACTTATTAATAATTGTGAATCGTGACAAAACTAACAAGAAAGTATAGTTGCCGACACGAAAGATGAGCACAGATGAACTATGGTGGGGTTGAGCCAGCGTAGATACACTGTCGGCCAAAATTATTAGGTACTGTTGTTATTTCAATTCGTAATTGAATATTTTCGCTCACTTTTTTTCGAAATTCTGAATCGGTAACTCCTTTAACTATACGCCGTACAGTAGCTACGTAGACATTAGTCGCCTCAGCAGTCAATTTATAAACGTCTATCATGTTTTTTGCAATACCTAATTATTTCATGTAACAAAACACTGAATAGACCATTTGTCGGGATTGTCTATTTAACACCGAACTCTTTCTACTCTGAATATTTATCCCAAAATCCGAATGCTCAAATTATAACAAAAAAAAATAACAACAAGAAATATAAAAAACGGTTAAAAACAAGAAATACACAAACAACAATTAACAACGAGGTAACACTACAATTGACAAACGAACGAATTAAAAAGTTGTCACTAAAATTGCTCTCAAGTGTACGGTAGTCGAATGATACGCGCGAACCCAATAGACGACTAGAATCAGCTGACGAACCAATCACGTTGAGCGTCAGCGTGGTCAACGTCATAACGACCAATAAAAAGTGTGCTCACGACTCGTGGCGGCAATTATAAATGTAGGAAGTAAGTCGAAAAAAGTGGGAGAAAAAAGATATACTTAAACATAGCAGATAACCTAAAAGTAGAAAATAACCTAAAATTATTATTCAAGAAATATCTATTAGATGTAGATGTTATTGCTCAAATGTATCTAAATATATTATTTGTATAAGTACATTTTGTGAGTACTTTGTCTGTCTTAGCCACATACATTAGGTGGCATGAAGTCCTAAGATTTATTCCGTAGTCAAACGTTACAGTGGTATTTTGTTAATACGCGTTTATAATCAAACTCTTACATTTAATTACTTATGTTGTCTTTGCTTGCTAGAAGAGAGATGTGAAAGTTGGACTAGCTGTGGGACAATTTAGATTATTAAGGAAAAGATAATCTATTTACTTTTACTTCGAATACAAACAAGTAACAACTGTAAAAGCAATAACAATAAAAATATTGACAAGGGCTGTCATGTCAAAAAATGTCTGGTGAACAAAGGGTAATTCACTGCCATTACTGGCGAATAACGTTCTGTTATTGCAAGACTGAATATTTTTAATAAATTATAATAATTTATTTCTTTTGACTATTCAAACTATTTTAGAGCTCCAATAATTTTTAGATAAACATTATATAAACTTATAATTATAATTAATTTAAACTAGCGTGGGCAGGATATTTCGTTAATTTTTATATATGTGGGTCTATTTTCGCCATTGACCGCTGAGCACAGGCCTTCTTTCGTTTCTGAGGCGGTTTTTAAGGGCAAGGAAATGTTTGCCGCGCTACCCCAATGCGTGTTGGCGAACTTCACATGTCTTTGAAATATTTTTTTATTTCTCAGACACACAGGTTTCCTCACGATATTTTCCTTCACCGGCCAGCACGTGGTAAATTAGCACTTAAAATTGCAAATTACAATTTGATTCGTGCCGTCGGGGGGGGGGGAGGGTCGAACCCCGGTTTAGCCACTGAGTTAGCACAGTCCATAATACATAATGATTTTTTGTTCTGTGTGGCAGGCGGAGCAGCTGCACAAGTCGGTGAACATGCTGCTGGAGTGGCTGTCGGACGCGGAGACGCGGCTGCGCTTCTCGGGGCAGCTGCCCGACGCCGAGCCGGAGGCCGCGCTGCAGCTGCGCGACCACCAGCAGTTCGTGCGCGAGCTGCACGACAAGCTGCGCGATAAGGACGACACCATCGCGCTCGCCCACTCGCTCCTCGCCAAGGCGCACCCCGACGCTGTCACCGTCATCAAGCACTGGATCACCATCATACAGAGTCGCTGGGATGAGGTTCGTTCCTTTCCTATTACGTGTGTACAATTTACGTTTCATAGCCATACTGTAGGCCACCGGGGAAGGGCAACGCTCACACAAAATACCAGCGTGAGATAACAACAAAGACCATTTTTACTGGTAAAGAGGTATCTTAGTTCTCAGAGGGTTACAACGCATCTGCATTTTGATTCTTAATCGAAGGTAGATGTAGATATCCGTGGGCCACCTACTTATCATCAGATACTCGTTTGTCCTGTATGTCCATTTCGTATCACGGATCCTCGGAAAAAATCTCAAAGTGTATTTTATTATTGTAAGTGTGTAAAATGATAAATTTATCCTTTAATATGTTTGTATTTGAAACTGTATACAGTCAGTAATCAATAAAAGCGCAGAGATTATTTTTATAAAATCAACTTGCTAGATAACACTAAATAAATCCAATTTATATCATACCACATATTGCTATGAAGTACGGTTGTTATATAAAACTACCAATTTATATCAAACACAAAAAATAAACATCACATCAAAGAGAAGTGACGTCTTCTGCTTCATATCATATCCATAATTATCATTGTATAGCTATCCTGAGATTTTTTAATATTTAAATAAATTCAAAAAACGCAGCACAAAAAAATCTTTCACCTCTTGTTGAAGTTTATTATAATGAAGTTTAAAAAAATCAGGCAGAAGCGACATTTTATACAGTCTAATGTTATGTTAACATCTTTAACAAACGGTCATTTCAGAATGAAATAAAAATATTGCAAAGAGATAAAGTAGACAACAATTGTTCATATTAAGTTTTTTTAATTAAATTTTTACATTTATTAACCTTTGCCAGTGATGAAATTGTTTAAAGTTTCTGTCATTAATTTCTATATAATAAATATTTAAAATTATTTTCACAAAATGTGTTAGTATATATTATAATGAATGACCTTTTTTGCCGTCTGGAAAAAAAATGGGTGTAACATGTGAACGGAGTAGAAGTTAATTAATTTACTTAATTAATTTTTTTGTAAAATGTTAGTGCCATGCTCCGTACACATGTTACAGACGATAGAAAGGTCATCCAGTATATTACAAAAAGAAAAGTAATCTCAATGTATCTTATCAGACGTATGCAATAGATTATTTCATTGTAATTCATAATATTTATCTAATCATTGAAATATATGATCAATATAATTACTGTTTTGGATTTATTTTTTTGCGACCTCCGAAAGAATTTTAATGTTAATTTGGCGCTAAAATCTAGTTTGAAATGAAAATATATTTATTCCTTGTGAAAAATTTCCCTGAAAATTTGTAATAAAATGCATTCGAGTAAAGCACGCCAGCTTGTGGTGACAGTTCTGCCTGTGATACGCATCTTCAGCAAGGTGTCTGCCGGACAGGTGATATTAAAACCATTGTTTAATTTCTTACACGATTGTTAGTTTTAACAATTCAAAGGTGATTAATAATTTTAAAAAGAGAGTCCATATCTTTAACATGAATTTTTGCATTTTAAATTACCTACTAGTAAGTATACGCTTCATTTTTTCCTTTCGAAGTTTAAAACTAAAAAGCTTTTACTATAATGAGGTTGTTAAATAAATAAATTAAAATTGTTACGGTTTTCTATAGCTCTAGACTTAAGGTAAATTTTTAACGAAGTTTAAAAGGTGTTCACCGAGATCTCGTTATCGACTAAATCGATTTAAAAGATCCGTTTTATTTTTTATTTCAATTTTAATATTAAATAACCACTAAGGGTTGTAAAAATAGGGAATAAAGTTTTTTTATAACTATTACGATAAAATTCTAGTTACCTCTCTTTAACCTTAAGTTTGTGATATTGCTTAATCTCCTCAAGTAAGATAGGCGCTACTTCTTTGGTACATTATGTCTTGGAACCCACTTCAGAAGCGATAACTTTTTATTAAAAGTTTGATTTAACTCTCTATACTCTCTAACTCTTCATCTTAAACTTACTTGTTGGTGTTCTTTGTCCTAGGTATGGCAATGGGCAATGCAACGCGGCAACAAACTCGAAGCCCACATGCAGAGTCTTAAAGATCTGGATCTAGTGCTGGAAGAACTTCTGCAATGGCTCACCGGACTAGAGAACACCTTGATGTGTGAGTATAAATAGCGAATCGTATAAATTTTGGATAAAATCAGCGAGTAGTATTCAATAGGCCAGTGCTTTTCATATATAAGGTAGTTCGAACCATTACATTACCAAAACCATACATCTAAAAGATCAGGTGATTATAAATAATAAATTAATGAATTATTTCACATATATATACAATACAGCAATAAGGGTTTGAAATGGTATATCTGTTAGCGCGTAAAATCAAAGTTCAAGTTAAAATAAGCTTTTATATTTAGCTTGCTGTTTTATTATTAATTATGTTTTTCAAATAGACTTTCGTTGATATAATTTAGACTTTAACACTACTTTAGTGCTTAGTTCGTAACATGTACTTTATAATAATCACTTATTATGTCAGAATGTACTTAATATGTTATTATTCTAGCAATGGAGTCCGAGCCTCTACCGGAATCAATTGAACTACTGGAAGGTCTTATAGAAGACCATAAGGAACTGATGGAGCACACGCAGAAGAGGCAGAATGAAGTGGACCGAGTTTGCAAAGCTTACCAGGTATGCATATGAACAATCAGTATCCTTAAATCGAGATTTTATCAGCCTGCAAAATTATCTGTTAGATTAATTGCTCTATGTGTATTCATACAAGTCTCCCCAATTTAGTTGAATTTGTTTTCGCCAATTTAGCAAAATTTTACACTACGTGAACAGCCCGGGTTCGATCACCTTCTGCAGTGAAATGTATGAAATTGTTAATTGTAATTTTAACGGTGATTTACCATGTAATTGGCGGTAAAGGAATACGTCTTGAAGAAAATTGCATATCTGAGAAATAAAATCAGTATTTCGAAGACACGAGAAATCCACCAACATATCGTTATCATCATTATTGTAATCATTTTAGCCTATCAAGAAAACCACAGCACGAAGGCCTCCCGGTAGATTGGGACTTCATGGGGGATGTTTTTGCCATAGATGCCACGCTTGGCAAGCGGGTTGTCAACTGCAATCTTTTACTGTTTTAAGTTGTAATCGGGAAGATACTGCTGTTCATCTCCTCTATCATTTACTACTGTCGCCTCTTTCGACACCATCGAGGTAATATGGAATAGTGGATTCTCTTACGCCGCCAGTACCTGCCGCTTATTTTACATACAAATAATAATATAAATAAGTAATATTACGACCTGGCACACTGACAGGCTTCCTCTCATTTCTGAAAAGTCCAACATCGTTAGGAAACCTGCGTGTCTGAGAGAATAAAAAAAAGAATAATTCGAAGACATGTGAAGCCCGCCAATAATCATTGGGGCCGCACAGCGATCATTCTCTTGCCCTACAACCCTCTCAAAAATAATAATTCCATATAATTATTTTATTCATTAGGTGAAGAGCCAAAGCCAAGGTCGCGACACCACACCTCGAAAGGTATCGGCCAAAAGTGCAACGAAAGGAACGCCTGGGTACGTTATAATGTTGAACGCTTTTTAACAACAAATATTAAAATTACTAGTTCATTAAAATTCTACTTTGGCTTTAATAGATTTGTTATTATCTGTCATAATATTTATTGTATATCTGTGTGCCATTTACGAATCACATTCATTTGTCATTTTCTGTTTTGATAGCGCTTTTGTTTTGTTGAAATTATTTTTAACATTTTGTATGAGTTGCTTTTCGTTTCATTTCATTTGTTTTTGTTTCTTTCCGTTTACACCACGCTCATGCACGTCGCGTCATCTCCATGTTATGACGTCATTGCATGGTGTGTACTCGGGGTTGCCATAACGGAAAATAGGCGCGGCTCCCAACACGATTTGCACCGGGAGCGATCTGTGTCGCCAGATTATTATGGCAGTAGTAGGCGTTTCAGGTTAGTTACCATTTTAGATGTTTTTATATTTAATATCATTTATTTTGTATAATTCAGTTTTTATACTAGTGTTTAGTAAATATGTGTTGTACAAAGTTATATAACGTGTTTTGGCTTCGATCAATAATACCAACTATAGGTCGGGTCGGCGCAAGAAATCCATCTCAGTAAATAAGAGCGCACATGAGACGTGAGCTCTTGCACGTGAGAGTGTAGCTCGCAAGACAATAAAGGGAAAAAGAACTTTATTTGTTATAACTTATGGTTGATTTCACACTAAAGTTTATTTAATTTATGTCTTTTTATAGTTTATATTCAAGCGGACAGTATTTAGCTATGATTTTGTACGTGAATCGTTATCTAGTTAGTATTGTTGATCGAAGTGTTTGGTTGAATTTTTACACATATTTGTTGGGCGGTATTAAAATGTTTCATTTGAATTTATTTTATACTATCGTGTTGTCATCAAATTTAACAGTTCATATTGCTTTTAAACGTTTTATGTTATATCTGTTATATTAACGCTGTCAACAGAGAATGTCGTAAAGATTTTAAAATGGTATAAACATGAAAAAGTTATTGAATTTTCGTTTTAAATTTAGTGTACTTCTATCAACATCGGGTTATACATTCTCTGAAGACATAACGACATAGCTTTATTTCGCTCTAACACTTGTAAATGTTGCTTTCTATCTCGTTCATATGTCACGCTTCGACGATCTCACGGGCAGGTCCAGGATACACAGTCGAAATAGGAGAGGAAGGTTTGATGTCATTTTTTATTGTCCTGTGTGATTTTTAGTTCGTTTAGCTATTTGTATAGTTGGAAATAGTGATTCTGGCCGCACGTTGGAAAAATAATTTGACAAATTGTGCAATAGACATAATGAAGTTCAGAATGGGTTTTGAATAACAATTGAAATACCAATTTAAAAAAAAAAGATTGTTATTTAAATTATTCTTATATATCAATAGTATGTGTCTATCTCATTTATCTTAAGTTTTGTTTAGTTTTTCCCTTTTTTAATAATATTTCTAGCCAAGTTCAAAGCTAACGAAAATTTACACACAAATTTGCTGCAGAAAAAGTAGACTAATGAATACTACCGCAACAACACGCGCAAACACGCTAATCCTTAACTACTCCTACTATATGAACTTACTTTCATTCAATAAGATACTTAAAAAATATTAGGTTGTTAGAAACTTGAATGACAATCACAATCCAGCCAAACTCACGATTCATATTATGGCTGGAGCAGATTATTAGGTATACCAGCGTGAAATAGCAGCTTAGCTCTGCTGTGCTTCGTATGGTGATTATAGAGAACCGAAGACTCTTTTTACTGGAAACGGGGCATTCCACGAGTATAAATGTAAATATGTGTCTATGGTTCACAGCATTCACTTACCATCAGGTGGACTATGTGTGTATAAAGAAAACCAAACCTAAATATCAATCATTTGTATTTCTACGTAAATATGGGCTGTGCCTTGATTAAAATGGTTAGGCCATTGGATCATGCATCAGAAGTAATCACTAAAAATTAAATGATTAGTAATGGAATGTTGTACAATTTGTCAAATTATTTTTTTCATTGAATCTGACTTGCATCATGTATTATTTGTAGCAGTATATCATAGTATATTTGCTTTGCTTTTTTCTCCATGTAGTGTAGTGTTCGTTTTCAGCTTTTATACTGTACCTTTAAAACTATATGAAAGGGTAAATTTCACTAAACTTTCGATCCAAAATCGACTGAAAAATCATTTATAAAGTTTTTCAGGTTAAGACTGGTCATAACCTTAAGTTAGTTTAAAGGAAATTATTATTATCACGCTAAACATGTTTTCACGTCTTTACAAAGTTTTAAATTATACCACAGTTCTATTATAACTGTAAAATTTTACCATTTCTTTTTAATTGAGCGCATAAATTCAAAATTAAAGATAGCGATAATTTATAAAAAAAAAAATCCAACATTTTGGCTTTTAATTTTAAACCGTTAAGACCGATTTACACTTCGACAAGTACAGTAGCGAGTTTAGTTACAAGGCAGTTGACAGTGAACGGTTAAGTGGGCAGTAGCGTTCAAACAATGTCTTCGTGGCGAGTTTAGTTAAGGACATTAGTTCATATTTTTTAGAAGTTTTTAAGAGTTTGTTAGATTATGACTTTTCAAGACTACAGAATTTTTCTGGTTTTCGCTTAAGATGGTTCTAGGATTACGTCAAGATTTAAATGATCCAGTCAGAGAAGTATTAATGGTTGTTGTTAAAGAAGTTTTTAATAATTTTCATGGGTGCAGCATCTCGAGCAGGTTTAATTTTACAATTTGAACTTCTACTATTATTCCCCTTTAAGACTAAAATTATGCTTGTACAGTCACTTATACTACCAATCGTTGATTATGCAGACGTGTGTTACCCGGATTTAAACCAAAATCTTCTCAACAAGCTAGAGCGCCTTCTCAACAATTGCGTCAGATACATTTTCAATCTCCGTAAATTTGATCATATTTCTCACTATCGCTCTCGCCTAAAATGGCTTACTATTAAACAGAGGCGTGACTCTAGAATTTTGCTTGTTCTCTTCTCTATCTTAAATGATCCATCCACTCCTTCTTATCTCAAGGAAAAATTTCAATATATTTCCCTAACGCATGATAGAACTCTGCGTTCCTCATATAATAATAAACTAAGTATCCCTCTACATTTTACTAATTTTGTTGGTAAATCCTTCACAATTCAGGCTGCACTGCTCTGGAACTCCTTGCCCGATGACGTCAGAAAAACATCAAATAAGACTGCTTTTAAAAGATTGGTACATAAGCATTTTATGAAAATATTAGATGATAGTTAATATGGTTAATTTTGGTTACCTTTGTTGTTATTTTATTTATAGGTTTATATTATATATCTATTTGTATTTAAAATATGTATATATTTATGTATCTATGAATATGTATGTATATATTATATATTATCTGTATTATATTTTGGAGTATATAAGTTTATTGAATTTGTATATATAATATTAGTTTGTTTTTAAGTTTATCAGTAGTTTTTTTCCTTGATTTACTCTATTGTTCATTTTATTTTGTCACCTATCACATAATTTCCACACGTCCCGGGTTGACTGGGAGAGAATGCCTAATGGCATTAAGTCCGCCCTTTGTAATCTTTTTATGGTGCAATAAAGTGTAAATAAATAAATAAAATATTATATTAAACATTCGTATCCTAGATACTCCTGTACAAATTTATACGTGATATCTTCCGTCCATTTTAATTAAAACTCAATATAAAACGTATAAATATTCAATAATCAGTATCGGACAAACTTTGTGCCGAGTTTAATTATAAAAGTACAGTTGTACGTTTTGGCGCGCAAACGTTGCGTCCTGTCAACTTATGCACTGAACTAAATTTGCTCCGTCGCACGTTTACACGAACGGTGAGTTTAGTTGCGGGTGGCGGGAGACGCGCGGGAGGGCAGCACTTCGCACTTAACTCGCCCAAAAATAGCTCGGCCGGCTATCCCGTTCAACTTAATCGTTAACTTGCCACTTAACTCGCTTATTGCCCTTCAAACGAGGTTCAAACTTAACTCGCCAGGTTCGAAGTTAACTCGCTACTGTACCTGTCGAAGTGTAAATCGGTCATAATAGAGATACAGATTAAATTCGTGGAACTTTTTTCTGGCTAGAAGTCAGTCTGGATGGGTACCACAATCTCACCACTTACCACCAGGTGGGATTGTGATCGAGCACTGGCTTATACCTAATAAGTTGAAAAAAACCTATTCATGCGACCAAGCATAGTGCTTGCGCTGCTGTGTTCAAATGGTATAGATCAGAGCCTACATAAGGCAGTCCACGTTAGTCCTCCGTGGAAACAATGTATCTGTAGCCATTTTTGTCTAAAATTGGCTGCAGTAGCCCGTTACTTTCAAGCGGACTATCAGTTCGCTAGTCACTAAAAAATTATGAAGAAAGATGTCCTACGAAATATCTCCTATGAAAAAGGCAACGTCTCTCGCGAAGTGTATATCGAGTATTATAGTATAATATGTGACATTGTCTTTTTTGAAAGAAATATATGCACGTCATGCATGTTTTAGCTGCAGGCATTTTCAGTGACAAGGAGATGTTTTTCGATTAGTTTTGCATATTGTTCAGTTTAAAAACGTTGTACTCCTTAAATTACATGTTATAAAATAATTCACTTATACAAAACGTTATTAATTTTCTTTAGTAAGGCATCTCCTTAAACACTAAATTGGCATGTTTAAAAAAGATTTATTTAAAAGAAATTGCATGTTTATAAATAATCCACCAAAGCAACAAATCACCTATTTAGTTTCATTCCCTTAACAATAACGACACTGTTCTTTGCTATAACACGTTAACACGCATTAGTCGTTTCGCTGCTCACTCGACTAACGTCAGCGACTAACCGTCACGCGTGCTACGATCACGACTAACGGGTTGGGTTTGTATTGTACTGTGTGTGCGTGTGTCCCGCGCTTGTGATGACAATGTTGCGTGTGCAGTCGCGTGAGCCCCGGTCGCGAGACTCCGGACCGCAATCTGCCGCACTACGGGCCGCGATTCCCGCCACGGGGCAGGTAAGCCCAGCATCATCACATCACACACAAAACCATCCATACCTCGTACCTCCCTAAAATCATTAAATAAAATTACGTACATACACAAGTAAACAAATCAAATAGGTAATAATATTGTAGTAAATCTATAATTAAAAACCTTGCAAACCATCAAAATCACTTTAACTTTTATAAAATTTCTTACGAATTCTCGCAAATTTAGAAAATGAAAAATTTCAATTGAATATTTACATTTAAATGATCTGCTTAAAATAAATATATACTTTAAAATTATCGGTAAACTTTTATAAATAAAAAATACAATAGGACGAACGGTATAATTACATAGTATAATTACAGGTTACACATAACAATTTTTTATAAAAAAAAAACAGGCTGTGATGTACTCCATTTTAGTTGTTAGAGATGGCAACGCATTTGTAGTTTTCTTTGTTTAACGTCCACCGGCCGCAGCAGCCTTAAACTGAAATTAAATTATAATATGTCATGTTATGTATATAGTTTTATATAAAAACCGACGTCGTTATTAAAGGTAAGATATACAATTTTCGATGAACATAAGTGTACTTAAACAGGGGGTTTGTTTTTTTGCTGTACATCATTTCAAGGTCATTCCTGAACTTGGTAGTGGTTTTGATTATCGCTTTCGCATTTTTTCCGCCGTTTATTAAAGTTATTTTATCCATTATCAATGTGTGTATAATCTGTTGCTATAATATAGCTTTATTCTTATCGTGAATGTTATAATGGCTGGTAGTGAATTTTTCTGGCTTTTGCTATAATAAATAAGAATTGTACTATATTATTGTTTCAATACGCAATGTAGCATGTCAAAAATAAAAGCTATATAAACAATTTTTTTAATTTAGAAACTGAAATTTTTATGACAAGTAAAAAACGAAATATAACATTTTTGTTAATTAACTTACACTATAATCTAATGTTATTTTTAATCACTCATATTTTAATCGAAAAATACTTATTATGAGTGTTTAAATCCAGGTTGCTATAAGGCATTCATTAGATACTCACTAGACTGTAATTCGAACTACGAAAACCTTTGATCCTCACTGTGACTACGTTGCAGTTATTATTTTATTCAATTATAAAGAGAGACGGTAATGATATAAGAGCGTTTACGCTCCTGGTCACTTCAACAAAATCTTGTGTGTTATTGAAAGGATTCACTTGCACAGGATTTTTTTTATTTCTCCTTTCTCCTTTTTTTTTTTTTTTTTTTTTTTAAATATTGTACCCAGTCACCTTGTCTTAATTTCCTGTACATCCAGGAGGGTTGAATGAAGTGTCGATAAACCAGAAAACCAATAACTTGTAACAAAGCACTTGGCGCGTAGTGGTGATGTAAGGCTAAGACTACGCCATATCATCCCGTATCGTAAGAGGCGACAAAAGAAAATGAACGAATGAATGAAAATCGGAAAAGAGGCATCTTTCTAATTACAACTTAATTAAAAACTGCGGTTGACGACCCGTTTGCCAAGCATGGCAGCTATCTCAAATATCCTATGGGGCAATCTATTGGGGTGGTCTTTGTGTTTAGCTTTGGCCTTTTCATAGATTGTAATGCCGCTGCCTCTGATGATGAACAAAAACTTTTTAGCTGTGATTCGATTCAATTGTGATGACTAATTAGGGTTGCCAAATTTTTCAAACTGAAACTTTGGGTAATATCATTTCTTATTATGCGAACACTACTGTATAAAAGTAATTTTCGGATAAAATTTTTTAATTACCAACCTTTAGGGCGCTTTACACCACAGGCCACGGAATCGTCGGGAATTAAAAAAGTTATTTCTTTCAATATATATTTTTTTTAATAATTTTAGACCACTATTAATCATGTTTTTGAAGATTTAAGAACCATGAAACAGAATATCATGTTTTATAGAATATTGGCAACTCTTTTCACTCACACAATTCTTAAATCATACTTGGGAACGAAGTTCGTTTAACTAATATCCACTCACACTTGGGCAAATAGCAAAGGCGCGGAACCGGAGTTCCGTTCATCACGCGTGAAGCTATTGTGGGGCAAGTGGCGCACTGTGTGGTTGCTGGCCTGGGAGAGGCAACGGAGGCTGCCCAAGCGTCTGGCTCAACTCCGAGAATATTACAACGTGTGTCTAACTTCAGCTGGGATGACTGGAGGAAGCGAGTAAGTGAATATATCCTTTTAAACCAAAAGGTTCCTTTTATTTTTATTTACTTTATACTTTTTATAGTTCCTTTTTAATGTAGCTAGATGTGGTTATCCTTTTTTGTTAGTGCCATTGGTTTTAACATTAGTAACGCTGCATCCAGTTTCGGTGAAATTTGTGTGAAAAACTGCACAGCAAACGCATACACTAAAACAGTGTGTTTACACACCATCGTGAAAATCGAAATATGTGAAAAAGGCACCTTAATGTAGCGATACATTAGGTGCCTTTTCGTGAAATGTGCGTGTTGCGGAAGAAGTATAATAGAGAGTAAAATTAATGTTGTAAAACTTGTTATTTATTTATTATTTATATAGAATTTATTTATTATTTATTAGTATAGAGAGGCCAAAGAAATTACGGATGTATGTTACGGTAAGGAGATGACGAAGAGAAGAGGAAAACATGCTATGCCGACCCCAAATAACTTAAGGAAAGGTCGAGAAAAAGTAGAAGAGAAAGTAGTTTGATAAGAGATAAGTCTTACTTAAATGTAAAAAAGTGAAAGTATTACAATTTGGATGTTTGTCCTTCAATCACTCTTGAATTAATGGATTTTAAATTCTAATGAAATTCTAATGTAATTGGACATAGAAGTTAATCGGAAGTATAGTAAGTCGGAAAGATATAGGATACTTGTTATATAAAAGTGTTATTTATACCCAGTGAAGCGGAAGGTAAACAACTAATATAGTTAATATAATAATTACGGCTCGTATCTATGAATACTAAACACGCATTTTGAATCTTACCTCATAGATAATATTGGCTAGAATCGATTGTAACTCATAGTAAATGGCGACCTCTCCTTGCCACCAGTTCCTCAAGTTCATGAACCACAAGAAGTCGCGCCTGACGGACCTGTTCCGCAAGATGGACAAGGACAACAACGGTCTCATACAGCGGAACGAGTTTATAGACGGAATCATCAACACCAGTGAGTATACTTAGTAATTTCTTCTACATTGCTTGTATTTTTAATACAAAGAAATCAAAAAAAAAAAAAGATACCTGCAACGAATATTAAATAAAGATTGCTCCAAATGGTACGCCTCGTAGCCTATAACATAACCATTTTTTTTAACGAACAAATGAACGGTGGACTATGTCAAGCTAATGGTGAATGGCTGCTGTGACCCATAGACCGCCTAAATCTATCCTCGGTTAAAAATTAATATTTAGATACTCTGTTTCATCTGAGGATTAAGAAGGAATGCTTCGTTTTCAGTAATACACTCACCATCTCAAAACACAGCAGCATTATTCTATAGGTTGTTAGAGCGCGGTCCCATCCTAGTCGAGCTGTGATCCATTCGTGCTGCAACTATGCATAGTTAGCATTTTTTAATAGAATAATGGTGACAAACGACCACACAATTCACCTGATGGTAAGTGGATGCTGTGGCCCGTAGACATCTACATTTAACTTCGATTAAGAATCAAGATACAAATGCATTGTCATCCTTAGGACTACGATGAAATGCCTCGATTCCAGTAAGACGGGTCTCCGGTTCTCTACACTTACCATACGAAACACAGCAGCATTAAGCTGCTATTTTACGCTGGTATTCTGTGAGAGCGTGGTGCTTCCCCGGTCGAGCCGACCCATTCGTGCTACAACCATAACATAGCTGTATCGTGTCTCTACCACGTAGACAATAGACATATCTAGCATGCTGCGGGGTGGCTCTACCACGAAAACGTTCATTACCCCTGAGGCCTAAGATAAAAGGCCTCTTTTCCAGTCAACAATGGTGTCTGGTTCTAAGTAGATACACGTTTCACTCTAGTACTCTGTGCTAGCGTAGTTCTTCCTCGTTCGAGACAACCATTCATGCTACAACCGTAATACTATGCCATGGTGGCTCTACATCGTATAAGACCACTCTACCCAGGAAGTCGCACAGAACACCAGTGTGCAATAGCAACATATGTTGATGTGTTTCGTATGGTGAATGACGGGAATAGGGAATCCATTTTACTGGTAGCAAAGCATTCCATCTTGTTATTCAGGGGTAACAACGCATCTGCGTTTTAATTATTATACAAGGATAGATGTAGGTGTCTATGGGCCACAGCATTCACTTACCATCAGTTAGACAAAGTTCACCTTCCATTTGTCACACTTACATCTTTAATAACAAATTAGTTACAATGTATTATAGGCTACGAGGCATTCCATTTGAGTTTACTGGAATGGAAACTCTGAGCCATCGTTACATAACATCCAATAATAGATATAGGATATAGGTGGCAGACGCCTATCGATATCGTTGCACAGTTTACTGATTTGTCACCTTTAGTTCTATAAAAAGAGAGAAAATCAAGGATGATTTAAATGAAATTTTATTTTACAGAATTCGACACTTCCCGTCTCGAAATGGGTGCTGTAGCGGACCTGTTCGACAGGAATGGCGCTGGGCTTATCGACTGGGAGGAATTCATTGCGGCCCTCAGACCTGATTGGGTGAGTATTACTAAATACAAACTTGAACCCGTCATTCCATTTAAATTTCGAAACTATATAAACTTTCAAAAAGACCATCATCAATTCATTTGTGTTAATAACATGGCTCAACTAACGCCATCTACCAGACTTGATAAACTCTACTACGTATTTGTATAATTTATTTAAATTTTTTATAAGTAGATTCAGAAAGTTAGTAATTATTTCTTAAATTTACGCGAACACTACACATTGAATAAAACTAAATTTACGGATTTTATCGCGTTTATTTCAATACTTTTACTTATTTTTAATTCCCGACGTTTCGGGTGCTTTACAGCACCCATGGTCACGGGGGGGACTGAGATGTTTGACGTCCCAATGTCATAGTTAGTCCGGCTACCTTCAGTTTTTGAAAATTATTTTTGGTCCGATTTACGCAAAACGAGCTTATGGTGGTTGGTTTTTGTTAATTATAGGATCCCAAGCAGGTGGCAGCACCCATCCATCTGGCACCATAAAGCACTGGGGAAACGTCGGGAAATTAAAATAAATTTTTCAACGATTTAGTAACCTAATACCTTGGATGTTATCATGTCGTATAACACCGGAGACGATATAAAAGTTGTATGTGTCTCATTATAATTTTCTACGCAGTTGAAACCATGGTCAAAATTGAACAGTAAAACAACACCATCATTATCATCGAATAGTGATAATCATTTATGTATACAAAGTATTGTAACATGATTAATTTGTTTTTTAATTTGTTGGAATGTGCGCAGGTGGAGCGCCGCGGCCCGCCCACGGACGCGGACAAGATCCACGACGAGGTGAAGCGGCTTGTGATGCTGTGCACGTGCCGCCAGAAGTTCCGCGTCTTCCAGGTCGGAGAGGGTAAATACAGGGTAAGTGCTGACATTCTTTTCAAATGCAATAAATTCACTATTAAACATCCTAAGATAAGTAAAGATGTTTTACTTATTTCATAGATATAGAATTAGGTATATTACTTATAATAAATAAAAGAGCCGTGGTAGCTCAGATGGTTAACGCTCGCTGTAAATATAACAGAACGCGAGTGACCCGGGTTCGATCCCCGCCGGCACCAATGAAATTGTTAATTGCAATTTTAAGTCCTGATTTACCACGTGCTCGGCGGTGGAGGAAAACATCGTGAGGAAACCGGCATGTCTGAGGAATAAAAAAAAATATTTCTAAGACATATAAAGTTCGCTAACAAGCATTGGAGCAGCGCGGCGAATGTTTCCTTGCCCTAAAACCATCTCAGAAATGAGGGGAGGTCTGTGCCCAGCAGTGGGACGTATATAGGCTGTAAATTTACTTTTTTTACTTTTAAATAAAAAAGTGTGTTTCGTCAATTGGAGTAACATGTACTAAGTACTAGAACAGACACCGTGAAATAAATCTGTACGACAGTATAGAGCTCGTGGAAGGAGGCACATAGTACCTTTTTATGACATATACTAAATAAGTTTGAGTCCGTGGGTTCTAACCTCTAACACGTGTTGCAAATTGATCAAACCGCGCCGTCTCTTCTACTACGTAATACATATTTAATGGTTTCAGTAATATTTTTTAAATAAACCAATATTTTTTATTTGCTTTTAAGGGAAACACATACAATAAAAAATACATTATAAAACTTTATATGTTTTATAATGTATTTTTTATTGTAATCCTAAAACCAATGAAGTAAGTAAGACCTAAAAGAAAAAAAATGGTATTTATAATTAAACATTAATTACTAAGCAGTTAAAAGTAATTCATACTTATATATATTTAATACAACCTATAGTGAAGGCTATCAATTATAAATTAAGTTTTACAATATTTTTTATAACTATTATATTTAAGGTGAACAATATCTAGTTCACAATATTTTAAGTTAAAATTTTTACATGTACGATTAACTTTAAAAATCGATTCTAGACTTCGTAAAACATTGCAGCTCAACAATTTCATTGAAAATAATCCATTAGAGCCGTGTGATGACGTCGTAGGATAATATTAACAAAATTTATATAACCACATGAACGCAATAAAATGTTTAAGTTTAATACATCACCTCATTTCATCCGTGGGTGTCGTAAGATGGTAGTGGCGTAAATATCCGTATCACCACATTTCGTTCCGAAGGTGTCGGAAGAGGCTACTATGAGGAATGGCTACCAAAAAGCTAATAGCGTTCAATAGACGGTGGTATACCATCTTGTTTGCACTTGACGTAAAACATCCAGATTCCACCCATCGAGCGCTGGACAGTTGTGTCAAAAGCGCGAGAAATGTGGAACTGCAATCGTGACGTCCTACCAAGCGTGACGATCAGAAAAAATTCTCCCAACTGCAACGGAAGAGGCTCATGTCCAATGTTATAATGATGATCATCACAAAATGACAGTACATCTAGTTAGGTATCATCCCAACTGTATAAAGAACCAGTGTAGTAAAATTAGAAAAGCTGTGAGGCATTCCTAGTCCTCAGAAGTGACCTAAAGCCTTTTTTGTTTGGAGTTGACTGTAAGGTTCTGTAAACTACAGAAGCCACTTACCATCAGGTAGTGTAAGATCTTTTGTCAGTTCAGTTTGATAACAAGTGGTACCATTAGAAATGTTGTACAACCGACTTCAATATAAATAAAATGAGAACATCATTAATGCAGTCGATTAAAATATGCATTATTAAGGATTACTTAAAACTACTGGTCAGATCGTGATCAAATGTGAAAATCACGTGAGAAGTACCAGCTTACAAATACATAAAGAATTATCAAAATCTGTTCGTTTAGAAAAAAGTTCGAAGGTAATACACATAAAAGATACAGTCGAATTGAGAATCTCCCCTTTTCTTGAAGTCGGTTGTGAAAAGACCATCTATATATCTATATATCATAAGTATATATCTATATATCTATAACTATATATCTATATATCATATCTTATCTAACCATCATGAATGAAAGAAACTATCGGCTTGACACCGTAACGTTACTGTTCCGCGTACGCTCTCACGTGGTGCGTCCAACAGTTCGGCGACTCGCAAAAGCTGCGCCTGGTTCGAATCCTGCGCTCCACCGTCATGGTGCGCGTGGGCGGCGGGTGGGTGGCGCTCGACGAGTTCCTCGTCAAGAACGACCCCTGCAGAGGTACGTGAGCACAGACTAACACACACGCAGACACTACTTTAACATCACTTGAAACGCGGGTGAGGTGAGGAGACCGAGCGATAGTCCTCCAGGAAGTATTTTGCTGTGTTGCGTAAATGTACTTTTTTTTTTGACATTGACACTACAAATATACAACAGTGGAAATATTAACGTACCTACTACCGAATATTATATTTATATACTACCTCGTAATCAATTTATTAATATTTTAACATGTAGTTTAAATAATGATTTCTTAATAGTTACGCGAACACTACACATCGATTCGAACTACTTTTACGGACTTTATCGCGTTTCATTTATATGATTTTTAATTCCCGACGTTTCGGGGTGCTTTCTCGACGTTTCGGGATCCTTTCCTTGAAGTTTAACAATAAAAATATATCATAATGATTGTGTTAATTGGAACTATGAGAAATATTATGGCAAAAATGACTTAAAAGAAAATACTTTTACTATTACTAAAATAGTTGTTTGAAATTACTACTAAGTAGTTATACTATATATTAATCACAGTGTTTTATTAACGTTTTGAAGATACCTATATAAAAATATAATATTATTGGTTTTCGTAAACTGGGTCACTCTCTACCTCACTTCGCTTACTTATGGACGACACACACGGTCAGTGCAACTGATCATTGCAACTGATCAGTTCAAACTAAAACTTGATATTTCTTAAAATTTCATATTTTCGATATATCGATAAATAAACATACATACATAACTCCAATATTGAAATATATATTTATAATTATCGATGTATCGAAAATTGATCGAACTGATCAGTTGAACTGACCGTGTGTGGCGACCGTTAGAGATCATCACTACTTACTACTTTTATTAGGTCCTTAATGTAGTTACAGTTTTTTTAATCAAATGAAATAATTTCCTTTTATGAAAAATATGTTGAAAATTTGACCATTATTGATAATGTAATGTAATAAAAATGTTATTAACTATTTTGATGTAAGTTCACTGATGCCACTGGTATTGAAATCCCTGTGATGGGAGCCATGAATTATTTTTGGTCGCTTTTAAAGGCCTCATTTTTCAAGCGATTGTCTGAATTCAGAAAAAAAACGGAAATCAGTACGGAATGGAGAGTTTACAGTCGAAGCCCCAGCAATTTGAGACAGTTGTTCAATATTTAAACACGAAAGATTATTTGATACCGAGCTTGTTAATAATCGTTTGCAATTCGTGACCGTAAACATGCGCAGTAAATTTTTGTGCCAGATCTCGAAAAGCAGCAACAATGCTAGCACAGATCTACGTTATAGTCATAAAAGCTTCTTTTGGATATACTTGACGACTCGAAAGCGTAGTAGCTATTGAGTGCTGCAGCGGTGTAGGCCGCGAGTTCGAATCCCGCGTGCATCATTTTTTTATGGAATAAGGGTGACAATAATTTATAGAATAAGGATGATAAACAAGCACACAGTCCACCTGATGGTAAGTGGATGTCGTGGCTCATAGACATCTACATTTATCCTCGATTAAGAATCAAAACGCAGATGCGTTTTCACCACCGAGGAAAAAGATCAGGATCAAGCTCACCATACGAAAGACAGCAGCATTAACCTGCTATTTTACGCTGGTATTCTGTGAGAGCGTGGTGCTTCGTGCTTCCACGGACGAGCCGACCCATTGGCGGTTCAACCATAATATATAGCTGCAGCGTGGCTCTACCACGTATATTTTTATTGGCCTACAAATAAATATTCCAGGTCTCGATATTTATTCATTCTTGTATATTGTCATATGTAATTGGTTATTCGCAGGCGTCGTCGAATAATTTGGATGATTGATTTGGATGATTGATTTGGATGATTGATTTGGATGATTGATTTGGATGATTGATTTGGATGTGTTAATTTTTCAAAGTAGTAGAGCTATGCTGCAGCTATATTATGATTGCAACACTAATGGGTCGGCTCTGACAAGGGATTACGGACTTGAATACCAGCGTAAAATAGCAGCTTTGTGCCGTTGTTTCTTATGGGGATTGTAGAGAACCGGAGACAATTTTTACTGGAAACCAGTCATTCCATCTTGGTATTTACTAAACGCATCTACACATCGAATTAGATAGACTGTGAACTTATTTGTCAGCTTCTTTCTGTAAAAAAAATGGGTGATACTAGCGCAGAATAAATAATAGTAACGCCGCGCAAAGCTTATTTGCCCACGTACTGTATGTTTAATGCAACCACGATACAGGAGAAAATCATAGTGAAAGGTAACCTCTTTTCAAGTAAAACTTAGAACACAGTTTTACTGCCGCCCCAGACTCCACCATTATGACAAATGTTTCCGAATATCATACAGGATCCCTTTTTTATTAAGTGTGAAATTCAGATTCCTTTCCCTCTATATTTTACAAATATAGAAAACTAAGGCTAGTTTCGACGCAATTTAATATGCATGATAGCACGTTGTCCTTCAGTAAGTTGATACAGTTCATCCCCCCTACAACGGGAGTGGTCCATGTTCAGCACTAGACGTTCACGGGCTTGTGAAGAAGAATTATTTTTATTTTACTAATTTGACACATGAATCAATATAATCATTTATGTTGACAGCCGATTTTAACACTGACGTAGTTTTTTAAATTGTATACAAATTTAAGAGGGCATAATATGCTATTTGCGCCGAAAACTTCATGTTTTAGGGTTTTTTCAAGGGCGATATCGTAACGATGTGAGCAAATTATTTGCAGAAAGTTACGGATTTAGAAAGATAAAGTCTTTATTTAGTACATTGCAACGGAAAATCATAGTTTTTAATGACGGTTTTTTAGACCGAAGACAATCCCTTCACAGTGTTTTACGAAAATATGTGTCAGAGTTATGCTTCAGGTGGAATAATACCATGATTATAAGCTAAAATACTTTATTTTAAACATTATTATAATAGAGTATACAGTCTTTTAGTGTAAGTATAGCAAAGCTTAAATTACGAAAATATTTCGATTCAATATTAAAAAACAGTACTATAAAATCACCAAAACTGTCCACTTCAATGTAATTTTTTCCGTGTATTGGGATATAAACTTATCTATTTTAATTATTTTCTCAAAATACAGGTAATGTTAAATATCAAAAGTTCGTTTTATTTAGTCAATTATTTTAAAAATACTAGGTATATATAAATCATCACGCGCAAACGCCGTCCGATTCAGTACGCTCCGGCTCCGGGTTCCAAGTTCCCAACGATAGGGCGTAGGACGTATCACTTTTTCCCGCCACAACCCGCGTAGGTACGTGTTAATTCACACCGATAGCAGCTAGTGTTGCCAAGTGTCCCGATTTGTGCGGGATTTGTCCCGATCAATGATGAATCGGGACGCCAAATGTTCCGAATTTTCACTAACTAGTCTATATTTCGATCGATCATTTTGACAGCAAAATTGAATATATCTTATACCGGCCTTTGCATATTTTCCTAAATAGGCAACATCAAAGTTTGCTTTGTGCGTAATGTGATGGCATGGCAAGATGCAGATATCAATCATGTTTACTTGTTTTTTTTTCTCACTGCATGTGTCAAAGTTCTTCCACTAGTCAATTTCTTCAATCGTTTGTAGGTACTTTAAATAAAGTAACATTATATTATGTCCGATGCAAGGATTTTATCTAGGCTATCAAGGTGTGAGGTATTAAAACCGTTGGAACTATGCCCTTCCTTTTTAAAGTGCTCTTTGAAGTGCATGAATTGTGAGTTCATAAGATTTATTACTATTTTCACAGTTATATTATTCAGAAAGTTCCGTCTTTAACGATGTTTGGACCAAAAATGATTCGTTAATTTGATCAGTTCTATATAATAATTATAAAACACATTTCGAATTGTGTCAAAAAACCTGTATAACTAATAGCGACCACAATGGCTACAAAAAATTTGTTTTTTTGTAGCTATTGTAATTGTCCCGATTTTATACGGACACACTATCGGAAACGATGATAAGGCGCATAGCTACTGGATAAACAATAGTTCGCGCAACACAACGTAAGGAATGATACTTTGTTAAATAATATTATTTAAAATAATTATTAATAATTGTTCAAGTTTATTTAATAGTAAGCAATTTATAACTAAAATATTTATCCCTACAAAAGATATATTTGACGGCTTCGTGGCGGAGTGGCTTAGCAATAAATTTAACTCTAAGGGACGCGGGTTCGAATGTTTCGGGTCTGGATGTTTGTCCTTGTGAAATTTTATGTTCTTATGTTAACTGCCTCCACTATATACTTAGGAAGCATTCTTAGTGTGGAGGTAACGTTATATTATAGCTATGGTAGCTCAAGGGCAAAGTGCTCGCCGTAAACGCGCAGGGTTTCGGTGCTTTACGGCCGGGTTCGATCCCCGCCGACACCAATGAAATTGTTATTTAGATAAATTATCTTTACATTATGATACAGAATAAATGTATGTCGAACGAAATCTATTTTATATAATACATATTTTTCAATATCGAACATATATTACTTACCCCTTTCTAGTTCTTAACTAACTTGGCGTTGTGAGATTCCTTAGTCTACTTACTCAATAGAGTAAGAAATAAAAGCCGAATTCAATTTACTACAAGAATAAAATAATTTATACATATTAGCTTCCGATGTCAGGGCTAGATCGGATATTACACTATGTCTTAGCTACGGCCATGAGTCAATCGTAACAGTCAGTCGTAAGTGTCATAAACTATTATGTGGAAATTATTTTATTCTCTTAGTTCCAATAGTATCAAGATGTTTCGTGCTAGATACAAAAATCTTTGGATACAACTATTATAGTAACCTTGCGCTCGCCCCACCTCGACCAGTTACGCACACAGGGAACATTGTAGTGTGCTTCAATATTACGCCGTTCCAGAACGATTTTGACTTGCGCAAATTTGAAAATACGCTCTTAACTTTCAATTCGTCATTATTGACCTGTTTCCGATCATCTACGGAGCTCATTGTTGTGTTAGAAACTTCCAGAACGGCAGCAACGAAAAAAATCAGTGCCTTCATTTGCGATAGTACTAGGTCAATAGGTACATATACCTCTTTGATGCTACGAGAGGTATATTAGACATTGATACCACAAAAGAACTCATATATCAGTGGTTTATATCTTTTTAAGGAATATAAAAACGACAGGAAAACTGATAAACGTGTTTGTTTCTTTAAAGAAAAAAGCTATAAAACATTTTTATTACGATCTTAATTTGAATTCAAAGTCAAACGCAACGCAGTGTTAGAAAACTACAATTTGAAAGTTAAGGACCTAATACTAACTATTCTAAGAACTATTGTGTAATTAACATAAGGAGAATTGAAGTAATATATCTTTCTCTAACAACAATTTTTTTAATTTCTTCATGACCAGTTACTGAATGGTAACTATTTTTATTTAAAAGAAATCGACTTAGATATGTAAATTCTCTTACTTTGAACTCTCTAATTTTAAGTAATAAATTAATTAGTCTTTATAAGATAAAAATCAGTAGCAGCATTGTTTTGCTATTTTAAAAGTTTATTTCAATTCTCCTACTTTTGTCTAAAATATGTGCCTTAAACACCATTCAAATCAGGTTACAAATAAAGGATTTAGAAAATATTATATGAAGTTGATTGGTGTTTGTACATATAACTGTGAACAATATGAGCCTGTGATGTGATTTTAACTTGTTTAATTAATTTTTTTAACTAAGTTTGCACCACAATACTTTTATTTCTTTGTTGTTTTTAATGGGGCATATTTATCACAGGTTTATGTTTTAAGCCAAACTCCAAGTAAAATTATTTATACACTCAAAACGAAATTGTCTAGGTATAAATACTTCATATAAGATACTTGTATTTTGGCTCTAAATATTATTGAATCTCATAAGCATTATAAGTTTCTAAAATGTATTATCAACCTTCTGTTAGTAAGAAAAATTGTTTTAACCAACGGAAGGTTTAGTATTAATGTCTCTGGTATTCAAAGTGTCAATCAAAAATATTTCGCGGTTTAAATTTTGTGTATTAACACCGTAACAGGGAAAATAAGTGTATTTGTCCATTAACTGCAGTTGTTGACGGGAGAAATAATTACAATTATTAAGTGTTGGACGCTTTCCTTTAAATAACAAATTAATCAATTGAATTTTAATCATATTTATTTAATTACTAAGATAGGCTACAGTTATATTAGCTTGCAGAGAAAATAACAAAAATCCTTATAATTATAGTATTAATGCTGGCAACATCAATTTAAATCTATATAAAAATACTGTCAAAAATGTAAATTTCAGAAATCAAATGTTAACACAAAAACAGTTACTAAGAGCCATGGTACAGGAAATTAATACATTTAAAACTTGGAAGCTCATTTTTTTTAACACTTAATTTAGTAAAGGTTGTAAAACCTGTTTACAGGTCAAAATAAGGTCTGTATTAGTCACACAACAACACACACAAGCTTTACAACAAACAATTCGAAAATAAATATTTAATCAAGCACACATACTGAGATTCACATTTCACATTCGTTTTAAAAGCTATTACCTATTACTAAAATGGTTAAACAACTACAAGCTTAAAGATAAAAGAATTCTAAATATGGAATATGGTTTGTTTTAAATATGTGAGTACATGTATTTTTCCATAAGTATCTAAGTAATACTGGTAAAGTTTCTTACGTCTAGGGAAGAAAAACCTTAAATATAAAGTATAGATTTAGACAAATATCAGTTTTACATTGATTCCACTAAAAGACATTAATATTGTAAAGACCTTTTACTTATAAATGGCAAAATTTAATCAACTGTGGTCTTTCGGATAAAAGATGTCAAAGACGAAATCTCACTATTTCTCTCACATGGTAATGGACTAAACTCGATTTCTTCGCTTAAATTCTGAGTATCAGAAGTGTTTTCATTGACTGGCCAGCGCTTATGGCTTGGTGCGTACAGTACCAGTAGAGCAAAGATATAGATATTCCACATTCCATACACTCCAGTGAAGAATGCTGAAGTATACTCCAGCTCAATACTCTCGTCCCATTTCCATTGTCCCTCTGCAACTTGTCCCAAAATAAATCCAATTACAGTTAGAGCAGCACATAACAATGTTGCCAACATTAAAAATTTGAAACGATATATAATCCCCTCATAATGCAATCGCCTTACAGAACACATAGTCGGCAGTGATTGACGTTTATGAGATATATTAATGAACACCTGCCATACCATATAGCACAAGAATAAGAAGTACACTCCAGTAGATATGCCGGCAAGTATTATGAAGGTCAGAGCAAGGTTTGTGCCTAAATCTGTCACCCAGATTGAATAAAATGGATTACGCAACTGAACTCCTCTTTCACACATATCAAATATAAAAAGTGAAATACAACCCATTGCGACTGCGCTTAAATGTCTCCAGTACTGCTTCAGAGAACTTTGAGCAGATGTGTCTTGAATCAACATGTGCTCACCAGCAAAAACAAGCCAAAATGAGAATAACATTGCATAAAATACACCTTGTTTGATATCTCCCAAAAGTAACATAAATGGAAGATCAAAATGTAATGTAAAATATTCTAAAGGCATGTTAAGAAAACATAATGCTATTCCGAGACTCAAAAGCATTTTTTTCCAATAATACAGGTTTTCTTTGTAGCATGTGAATGCGATTCCAGAACCAGGCTAATATTGCAATAATACATGGAAAAAAAACAGTTTTCAACGACAACCACACTTTTGTAAATCCTCCATTTTGATTAATGACTGTAAGCCATAAATCTTGTATATGGCCTATGTTAGTATTCATATCGGGCGTGTCTACTGGTAATCTTATATTGAGTAGGTAAAAATCATGATACAAAGAACCAAGTTCAAAAAGTGGTATTGCAGAACAATTGTACAAATATTCTTCAGTTCCCACATCAATATCACAGTCTAAATGTCGTTTTTCGACGGACCGAGTATAAAGTTTCCAGTCTTCATCCGCGTCGCCTTTGTTCTTGTACGCAAGTCGGGCATCTATAGTTATTGTACTTCTAGGTTTAACTTCCATTTGAGAATGATACTTCAAATCCAACTGTAAGACACCAATTAAGTTTTGTTGCCATCTGGAGAAGTCTAAGATTTCGCCGTCTCTCGGAACCGGCATTTGGAACGCAAAAACAACATCCGTTTCGGACAAGTCTTGATGCATGTCGCCAAGGTCAACAGTTTTACATTTACCTTTACCGCGGTTGTAAAACCACTTCGTTGTATCATTTTTGATAATTGTCGTGTCCTTGCATACTGTAGCAAGAATATTCTGAGCATTCCCTGGCGTGGGTGCGATTAATCCGCCGATGAGAAAACATGTTAATTGACATAACAAAAGAAACGTGACTAATACAGCCAATTTTCTACCGCTAAGATTTTCTATTATGGCTCCCGTCATCGTGATTTAAACACTAATCGAGTAATTATATCTCAAATGTTCCACGGTCTTAAAAATAACAACCGGTTTCCATTGTTGTCTCGGATGACAACGCTTGGCGACGACAATATGTCGAATGTCGATTGTCGATCGAACGCGAATTTGATGCGATGTTTTTGACATGCGCAAATAAAAATGTTGCCAGTTAATTCCATAGCAGTTATATATAGCAGCGAAATAATATTAGCTTTTTCTTAAATTAAATAATTGATACTTATAATTAGATTTTGAATAAATAGTTTAATCAATATCTTACGCGCATTTCATGTACATTTCATTTTAATTAAATGTAATAGTCCCACTTAAAAACCACAGTAGTATTCCGTGACTATCTCATATTTTCCACGAAACGTTTATAGCTATTATATTGCTAGTACAACAAAACGCAAAATTATACACGATAAATATTGATGTTGCTACTAATTCACTAATTCGTATTCGCTTTACCTAATCCAAATCCTTCTTACATTATGTTTTTGTTTTCATTAATATTATTTATCCTTCCTAAACAAACCTTAAATAAGTAGTATCATTAGTGCTACCGCTGCCTGATCCGAGCAAGCCGGAGCAGCATGAAGCTTGTTGCCCGCTCGGTAAGATAACGCAACTTGCTTTTGGAACCTACCTTTAATTTTTAAATATTTTAACGTTAAAAAAATAATTTTAATTTTATAATTAAAGATAGGATTCTAATGAAAGTTGTTATACTTGGTGTGGCTATAATATTGTAACGTGTTATATTTTAAATAGCTATATTTTTATTTTTTGGGATGGGGATATCTTGCTTTTATTGTAGTTAGTTATCACCACAAATTTATACGTATTAAGCACATATTTTTTCTTTAATTTTATACGGGGTACAAACTCGTCTACTTTAAAATAATGCTTTACGTATTTATTGATAATATAGCATGTCAGTGTATTTGGTTGCATTAAGTACATATTTTTTATAATAATGTAGATACTAATCTCAAAATAAAACAAGTGCAAGATTTTTTTTTTTGATTTAGCAAGCCGATATTGTAAATATTCATTTTCACAATTTCAGTTAATTAGAAAAGATTACGAATCATTTTTATTTTAAATAAATAATATACTTTATTATTTCCTTCAAACTTGCTCTTGGTTTACTAAATTTGTGTGTTTCGGTGACAATAAACTAATTGTATTTTTGAAATTCCTATTCCTAATTGCACCTTTTTTTGCAAAAAAATGTCCATATTTTTGATGTGTTGTTTTGTTTGACTTTTTCTGATTATGTTTGTTATTTTTTTTCTCCTTTCTTACCCTACTACCATTGCACGTATCCTCGTTTTACACTTATGTGTTGTTTTTTTTAACATTCCTATTACCGAATGGTTTTCGTTTTGCCCTTCCTCTTCCCATCCTGTTTGCAATCCCACGCACTGGACGCCGCCCGCATGCAGCTAAGGGACGCACGAACATCGAACTGCGGGAACAGTTCATATTGGCTGATGGAGTATCACAGAGCATGGCAGCGTTCCGACCGCGTACGCCCCGCTCTAACACAAATACGCCACCATCCACAGGACCTATAACAAAGGTAAGTAGCTAATAGTTCCTATAACTATAAAAAAATAATTAAGTTTCCTTTCAACAGGTTAGAATATAGCTGTAATTTCGCACACGTACTACATAAAACGCACGTAGTTGATAGAGGGAGCAATCGGTTTGGGATTTATTTTTTGTATTCGCTTTTTCTGTTGTCTTTTGTACATGGATTTATGTATCCGTTTGCAAGAGGCATTTTCGTGAGTGCAGCATGCGTTCAGCTCGTAGTATTTGATCTCGTATTGCATTGGTGTGCTCAAGGCTGTATTGAAGTATAAGCTCGTGTAGTGTTTGGTGTTGTTCGTTAGTGTAACTATTCATTGGGACCACTGAATTGGAGAGGTGGCACTTCAACGCCCGTGGACCTCATGGTAAAGTATTTCGTTAATCCCTTCCGTTAGATCCCATCATACCCGAAAATTTCAAATTCTTCCGCGTCCGTGTCAACCAAGCGTGTGAAATAACCGTAACACCGTTGAAACCTCGTAAATGCGCGTTGTGGCAAAAAGATTGGCACTATGAAAGATTTTTATGTAATGGTACTGGCTATATGCCTTTCCATCCTTAATGAAAGTCCCGGTTTTGTATTGGTGGGTTTAGCTGAAGAATTCATGGAGCAGCTGAGGCCCATTTTTGAGGCCCTAAGACAACGGGAAGAGCTTCCGTGTTCGTACCCGCTGCACGTGGGATCGACGCATGGCACTAAGCAAGCTTTCATTTACGGACACTCAAGATCTCAGGGTTCTACAACACCAGGCGCACATCACTATACGCATCACCACGGATACCAGCCTTCACCAGGATATCATTGGGTAACGCTACTTAGGCAGTGTGAAAGTGTCGCGATTGAAATGCACCTCAATTATTTTGAATTGAATTTTTTGATTTTCGTTTTATTTCTATTATTTGAAATCGTTGTCATTGTGTTAGAAATTGTTATTCATATTGGTGAATATCCTATTCTAGTTCAGCATGCTCGTAAGTTAGATTTTGGTAAAAATCACAGAAATATTCACAGTGTAACATACTACTCTTGCTTATGTAATTAAATGACAATTTAACTATTTAATATATTATATTCGCGTTATATATTTTCAAGAATTTCAAATGTTTTATGTATGATATGTGATATGAGGTGTGAGCAACGTAAATGAGCAAGTTTCTCGATTTTCTAATACTTTTTTTTTAAATAAAATATGCAGGTAAGGGAACGAACAGTTCGCTCTGTGCCCATGTCAGGCACGGGTGCTACAGGCCGCGCGTCAAGATCTTCTCTCAGCGCTGGTACACCTGATTCTCTTAGTGATAATGAAGCAGCAAGTGGACTTGGAACCAGATATAGGAAACCAAGTGTACCCAGGTAATAAAAAAAATTTGGTGATCGCTTATGAAACTCAGTCACGTCTCCTTCTTTATTTTGATTGCCTTGTAACTTATTAACTTTTTACCCAATTTTTAACAGGACCTTTTGAGTGATCTTTTTGTTGTTTATTTATTTTTAATATATATTTTTTTCAGATCAACTCTAACACCTGGTGGTTCACGACCAGGATCAAGGCCAGGGTCAAGGACGGGATCCAAACCACCTTCAAGGCATGGATCGAACCTCTCCCTAGATAGTACAGGTATAAAATTTTAAGTTCAAAGTTGAGTATGTATTTGTAACTTATAACTTGTGTTGCAATAAAATATTTTCTCCTTACAGACGAAGTTTTAACACCATCCCGTATCCCGATGCGTAAAGTGACAAACACACGGGCATCAACAGCTCGAGCTGCTGCTACAGCTAGTAAGCTAGGAGTAACCACGCCTAATGGTGGATCTCGGCCAAGGACACCAACAGGATTCCTTACACCAGCCAGTGGAAGGTACGTTGCGATTGCATTAAATAGAAACTTTAAACTATTTTAATTTCCATTTTAAAACTATTTTAATTTCCATTTTAAAAAAAGTATCTGTATTTGTTACTTAACTTGGATGAATCCACATGAATTAAAAACAGTAAAATTTTATTATTTTAACGTTCACTATACTTGCATTAAAAAGGGATTATCCCACAACTTTAAATTTGTGATTCCAACTGGACAATCATGCATATGGGCAGGTATCCCAGCGGGGCGATGTATCGCACGTCCAGTATACCGACACTGTCACCGGTGCCGGCCTTAGCGAGGTATAAAAACTAATTGGAGTTTGCTCGTGCGTTGTTTGTAGAAGGGATAGGTCATGGCTGCATTTTTTTTATTTTAACTGAGACAGCTAGTGAAATTGACATAAGACTAAACTTACATAAAAAGTTAAAAATAAAAAAATTGCAATCATTACTATGGAAAATATCAATTGGAATTGGCACGTTGCTTTTTGGGGTTATAGGTCTACCGTGACGTATGTATTTTAGGGACACGGCGCATATATATAAATGTTGGAAAGAGTGTAATGATCATAAGATGTATAATTGTAATTTCATAAGGTTCTCTGTGGTGGTGTTGGTGGTGGTGTTTGAACTATTTCAGTGCTCTTCGAAGATAAAATATAATGTAATATAACGTCAAAGTTACGACGAGATCTAAGCATGTTGCAAGTAGTTCGACAAACAAAAATAACATTGCTTTAAATTGTAAAAAGCGTGAAATGAATCTAACGATATTATATTTATTTATATAAAAGGATTGGGTATTGATGATTATTAAATAATTATATTTTTCCTTCCCGCATGCCATACAATACGAAATGGACACAAAATAAAACAGCTCTACACATTCCCAACCGTCGTCGATGGCATCCGAACATCCCAAATCTCTATCATATAATCATCCAGCATTCCAAACCCAAGGTTCCACAAAGATACCAGTTTATGTTGGCAACCGTTCACAAAGATCACCCTCCGTTGATCGAAATCTGAAAATATCACGTAAATCTCACTCCAGAGAAATTTCTTTAGAACCCAGTCCTACATCCCATGATCCCTCACGAAAATCCGACCAAAGGAGTCCAGAAGACGATTCTTCACTGTTCAGCATATCTGGAATGACGAGCGACAATGAATATGAAAGTAATATAAGCGAATCAAGTGGCGAAGCACCAAAGCCAACTCAGCGCAACGTTAAAGGGTACAGGCTTCTAGAATGTTAACTGTAGTGTTGCCCGATTATTTTGATTGAAGCTCGTTGAAATTTGATAACTTTTTGACATCACAGCATCAGTTCCATTCACGGTTACATAAAGCTTCGCCGTATCGTACAGTCAAGTCACCCATGCTCCTCAACTCCCATTTGCTCGTACTTGTATCGTACATTTACACAGTTCATGCCATCGAAAAACGCAATGTATACACATATTTTAAATTATTATTATTAATTCATGCACATTCAGGTTTCTTTTACTATTTATTATCAATATATGCAACTCTTTCAAATTTAACATATAATCATAAGCTTATGCACATTATGCCTAATGAGAATACTTGTAACTAATAGCACATTTTTGATATCTTTATATGGTTTTGGAATATATACCTTTTTTCAGCTGTATTTTAAAGAATTTTACCATTTATACTATTAATGAACGCTTTTATATGTTGCATTCTTGCTAAACCTTTTTTGTTATTTTATTGTTTGCCCTTCTGTTTCTGCCATTGTTATTGCACATGCGATGTTAATTACGCACAACAGTGTTAAGTCTGTATCACTTATTATCCTTTGAACTTAAATAAGTATTTCCTTGTAGTTAAATTATATTTTTAAAAGCCATGGTAGCTCAGATAATTGCAATTTTAAGTGCTGATTTACGACGTGCCTGGCGATGAAGTAAAAAATTGTAGGAAAACCTGCATAACTGAGAAATAAGAAAAAAAATTATTTAGAAGACATGTTAAGTTCGCCAATACGCATTGCGTGCGACGGATACTTCATTGCCCTAAAACCCTCTCAGAAATGAGAGGAGGCCTGTGCCCTGCTGTGGGACGTATATAGGCTGTAACTTTTAACCTTTTTTCACTTTAAATTCTTCTTTATTTAAGAATGATTTTGTTTGTTGTTAACTTTTATCTTAATGCAACAATGTATGTTAACATTTTACATACAAAAATTGCCATGGGCTTTGGTTACATGTTTTCGAATATTACTAAACACAGTAGCATGTGCGATAGCAAACAAATAATAACATATTCTTCTCTGTTGTCTGTCACTAATGTTCTCTACGTGTATGTGCTCACTAACATCATCGTAGGAGCGGGTCGTTTGCTTCCACCGAAGGACAAACGCCTGGCCGAAGTCGCATACCGGTTCTTAAGGATCAGCACACTAACAGTAACGTTACTAGGTAATTTAATTCTTTCCTATCATAAAACCGTTAGCTTATTGTGATTTTGTAGTGACTGTAAATTTATGTTTATTTTTCGTACCTTCTGGGGTTTTATTTGTGAAATAAGTTTGTTTGTTACTTTGGTGCATGTTTTTTTTAGTAGTTTATATAGACTTTAATATTTATTATTTAATAGGCAAAGGACACCATCGGGCAGTACCACGCCCGTGCGACCTGGTCAACAGACGGCGACTTCACGTTTGCTTCGAAAAAAATCAGATGCGTCAGATAGTGGAGCACCTACTACGCCTCTGACTCGACGCGGCACTCCAGCATCATCTCGAACTACGGAAAAACGCGAACCGTTCCGACTTTAGACAAAACAATTGACATTCTTAACCACATTAAACCGCAATATTGAAAAGGAATCTTTTTTTTTTTTCAATTTTGTAGTTTTTTCGATTGTGCGTTAATTATTGTGCTATGACAGTCGCTATGATACGTAATAATATACTTAAAACAATTATTTGCATATATTTTTCACCGTGTTACGAGCTAAGTATAAATGTATAATAAAAATAATAAAAATCACAAAAATAAAGTGTCAAAGGGTCTGGCATAGCAATTTAATGAAGTGTTGGTATGTTTATTATATTATACTAACCATAAATTAACGTATTCGCGGATGAAGCCAAGCTTGTAAAAATTTGCGAATGTGGCTTTTAGTTAGGATGAAGAATGATAGTAGTAAACTTAAAGTCTGCACTTGTTGCCTTGTATACTTTTTTTCTACAATCTGTGCAAGTTACTCAGTTGACTACTTACTTATATTGTCAGTATTTATTGTATCAAAATAAAAAAGCCTACAATACCTTGTGAATACGTTTTCTATTTATTTATTGTCAACGTTGCCATAATTGTTAGTGTATGTTTTTGTATGTTAAATACGTATAGAGTCTCTATCTAGAGACCAGAAATGAGTGTGATTTGAAATTTTTCTTTGTATTAATTTCTTTAGGGACCATTTTATTTACGAAATAATGACTATATTTGATTATCGGCCACGGCTTTTTTCTTGTAATTCTCGTCTGTAGTAACGCCAGACTACACGCGCTGACAAAGGGGCAAAAAGCAGTTGTCGATGATCCCCATGAGGTGATAATAGGTAATATTGTTTCATTTTTGCACAATCATGGTTATTTTGTCAATTTATTCTTGTGTTCAAACGAATGCTTTGAACACAATGCTGACATTTCATTATTGTCACTAGGTATATACATTATGTATGTGATTTATTTATATTACGATTTTTGCACAATATTTTGTACGTGAGCAAGTGGTATGTTTGGTAAATAGAACGTGGGATCTCTCGACTGTCGCCAGAGTTGATGAGAACCCTCTGTTATAATAACCTGCTTACAAAAAACGAAATTCCATAGCGGACTTTAATTTAAGTAAAATAACTAAAGTACACTTGTCGACACAAAAGACAATTCCTTAATAGAGCTAAGAATACTTTTTATATTAAAATAAAAAGTGCTTCAAAATGTAACTTTCCTTCAATTAAAAATGTTAACCAACACTCACATTTACTTGTTAATTTTATTATAAATCTGACTCTACGATTAAACATTTATTATTAGTAATATTATAAACCTATTAATCTGGTCATATTATTTAAATCGTTGTATTTGTTGAAAATAAAATCAAAGCAAATTTACTAAAAGCTTACAATATTTTTTTGTATAAAATAATGATTCTTTAGAGCAACAATCTCATTATTGATTTCAAAATAAAAAATAACAAATAAACACGGCGTTTTATTCAAAGTAAAGAACAGAAAAATCTTCATAAATCCCATTGTTTTGATATTGCATCTCCTCATTTCTAATAGTTACGAAGCGGGAAATTTCACAAGTTTTTTTTTAATCTAAAAGTACTTACATACGTACACATTATGTTTTTATTAGAATACTATGTGGTGAATCATTTTTCTAAAGAAATGTTTGGCATATTTAATGTTAAACAGTTAATTATTAGTATCGTTTTAGTAACCGCTTGGTAGTGATTAAATCCTTCCCGTAGGTTATCAATAACTGGTTAGGTATTCATTAATATTTATCATCGTCATTATTACAGCCCATCACCAGTCCACTGCTGAACATAGGCCTTCTTCAAGGAATGCCACAAAGCACGTTTCTGAGCCACCTGCATCCATCCATGCATTTATTACCAGGTCGTCACTTCATTCAGTGGGGCAGCCTTACACTTTGCTTACCGGTACGTGGCTGCCACTGGAAGACCTTTCCTTCCCATTGGTTGTAGGTTCTTCGAGCTGGATGGCTGGTTCATTGTTGTGATTTGTTGGTTACTGCGGTTCTACCGCGGATATCCTCTGTAATTAATTACTATGTGAAGTCGGGCAAGTGAAAATAAAGGTACTAATTACTGTTTGTATCCAGATTTTTCAGATTGTATATTTCTTTTTTTATTAAATCATGTTTTTGTTTTAACAATATATTAACTAATGATTCTATTTACGCGAACACTACACATTGAAATAATACTATTTTTACGGAATTTATCGCGTATTTTAAACCCAGTTTCGAGTGTAGGGAAGGACTACATAACAGTCCTTTGTTGGATAATTGTTATATCAATATTTAACTTTCGTAAATATATTGAAAGCACAAAGTTAAAATACTGTTGAGACTTATAATATTTTTAAGGCAAACTTAAAGCTAACTGTGCCTGCAAATTTAAAGTTTATTGCTATATATAAATATATTTTTACTAATTACGCTAAATTAAGACTCAGTTTACTAATATCCTACAAAACTTGAGAAGCGCCTGGTGAAAACTAGAAAATATTAATAAATAAATGCTAATCCGTAGTTAGAGATCACCATGGGTTAGAGTTTTATTTCTTAAATATTATGAAATTTATTGACAACTGTGCGTCTCATTACTGTTAGCTGACATTTCTGAAGCTCTCAATTTTTTAAACGATTGTACTTACATAAATATTTCGGGTTCGAGTATCCTATGAATTATGAATATATCGACGTGTTTCCTTCCTGTGAAAATATTAATAATTTGGCTGTTCTACAGTAATGTAGGTACTGTTTCTTCTATAAAATAAGGCTTTGGAAAAATATTTGTGAATGATGGAAAATAATAAAAATACATATTTTTTTAATCTAAACTCGTCCTCTAAAATTTTAACTACATTTAAATTTCTAAACTGAAGTGGCTTAAACGGTTCTGATTTTTTATTCTAATCTTTATAAAAACAAATCTTGATATTTTGTTACGTTTTTACATGTTCTAGCGTAGAAAAAATATTAAAATAATATATCTATAAAGTACTATTTTAACTACCATTATTTAACACCAACGTATAAAATCTTTAAAAATACTAAACTACATAATATAAATACACTATATATACTCGTAGTACATGCACATACTAGTTAAAAATACTATTAAAATCAATCCATTCACTAACTACTTGTTCAAAAATCACACCTTATCCTAATTTCTACTTATTTTGATATTGTACTCGAAATAGACACACGCTAGCGCTGCCTATCTATTCAACACACAGGAAGGAAAGACATTAAGTTTGAGGGAGTGCAAATCTACAACAGGCTGCCTAATGTTGTGAAGTAATGTAGCACTATTGCATTATTCAAAAGATGCCTGTTGAAGGTACTTATCCTAATTTTTACTTGTTTTGACCGCAGATTTTTTGTATATTTGTTAATTCTTAAGTATTTACTATTTATCACTGTTAAGCGAACTCTATATTGTTCTTATGTATATAATAAATATCTTTGACTTGAAGAAAAGTCTCAACTTCATACCATGGACTGTTGTCAGGTGAAGTGTGACGGTTTCTTTTTTTTATTTGTTATATCTTCTTCCTGGCATTGTGCGTTGCATTAGAAATCGCAATAGTTTTGAAAAAAAAAATTACGTTCTGATCAGCACAATGAAATTCAAAAAATTATATATTATAAGAAATATCGTAACTACCGTAATAAAATAATTAAAAAAGTAAAACAGAATTATGAAGGACAGGTCCTGCAGATGTCTTTCAATAACAGTAAAAGTCTGGAATAATTTTAAAAGGATAGCACATCTAAATCAAACAAACTAGGTAATACGGATTTATTGCAAACAAAAGCAACACCCTTAGATTCAGTAAATTATGCTAATAACTTCTTTTTTAATGTAGTAGGTAAAAAATCTTGCCAAAAATATAACTAGAGATAATGATAGTATATGTTGTATAACACTAATTGAATAATTCCAGATTTCTCCTTTGTCTTGCTAGGTATGGATCCTCACGAAGTACATGGTATTATCGTGAATCTAAAATCAAACTGTGCTCCTGGATGGGATAACATTCCAGCGTACTTCCTAAAACTTGCAGTAATTCAAATAACTCATATAACTCACTTTGTAAACCTTTGCTTTAAGTATGGCGTTTTTCCTAAACCTTTGAAACGGGCTGTTATAAAACCAATGTATAAGAATGGGGATAGAGGTGATATTAGCAACGATATGCCAATTTCTATACTACCTTCGATTTCTAAAATATTAGAAAAACTTATCAACGCAAGACTTTTATCTTAATAAGTTCGATATCTAGTCTAACTGTCAGTATGGATTCAGACAAGGAAAATTACAGAAGATGCAATCTTAGCTCTTAGGTCGTTTATAATTAACAACTTCGATCAAGGTTAAAAATGTCTAGCTGTTTTTCTAGACCTGAAAAAGGCCTTTGATACTATATTTGCCGCCATCCTACATTTACATTAATAGAAAACATCTGCATAAGGAACACATTCTTGACTTTAAGAATTACTTATTAGACCGTACACAAAAATTAAAAAAAAGGTAAGTTTATTAGTGAGGACACATAATATACTATCTACGGTGTACCACATGGTAGTATTTTAGGCCCAACATTGTTTCTAATTTATATCAATGATCTTTGTAATCTGAAAATGTATGGTGCCCGTGTGTTCACATATGCCAATGATACTACTGTAGTTTTTACGAGAGCATCATGGGATGAAATTCGTAAAGATGCATAATCTGGCCTTACTAAAATTGCAAAGTGGCTTCAATCCAATTTTCTGACAATTATTGCACTTACAAGTAATTATATTTGTTTTTTTATTAAAATCCGGACGCAAACGGGAAAAACTTTAAATTAAAGATTCACACTTGCAACATTGACAAAGCTCAAAATTGTAACTGTTCTGTCATTACTAAAGTTTCTTCAACCAAGCTTCCTACTTAGGAATCATTTTAAATCAACGTTTAAATTGTCATGAACATATTGATATGATAACATGTAGATTTA